TTTTGAATGCTGGCTGGGCACACCCGGGTCGGACTTCCTAGCTAGCACGGATCCCTCGGACAGCTGCATCCTGTAACATGCCATGCCAGCCCGACCTGCACAGCTCCTCCCTCCTCTTCTGCGGGACCCCCTCCTCAAATCTCCAGCGTGTCAAAAGAAACGAGTAAAATATGGAATATAGAATGAAACCAACCCAAGCAGAAAAATTGGCATTTTTGAGGCCAGGAAGAAACTTGTAGGTTTTGATAATTAGGGGACCGGAGGCTCAAACATACGATGGACGGTTGCAGGAACTGGGCCTGGCTAGTCCAGTGAAGAGAAGGACCAGGGGAGACAGGAGAGCATCTTCCAATATTTGGGGGGCTGCCCCAGAGGGGAGGAAGGGGGTCCAGCTATTTTCCAAAGCTGCCCTGAGTCTCTGGAGAAGGGCAGCATATAAAAATAAAAAAATAAAAATAAAAATAAATAAAAATTAAAAAAAACAGTGAGAAACAATCAACCGATGGACCAGAAGTTGCCTTCAGAAGTTGTGGGAGCTTCATCCCTGGAAGCTTTCAAGAAGAGACTGGACTGCCCTCTGTCAGAAATGGTGGAGGGTCTCTTGCTTGGGTTGGGGGTTGGACTAGATGACCTCCAGGGTCCCTTCTGACTCTGTTAATCTGCAAATCTGTAATCTGTAGTCTGGAGAAATATGTTTTGCTATCATCGGTCAGCGGCCGACAACTGAATTTTTCTTTTTATTATTTTGTTTGGTCTTCCTTTCTCTCTTGTCTGCATCTCTATTTATTCTCTCTCTCTTTTTTTTTTTTGCAGGAAGTGAATTCCTTTGATTTCGTTAAAAATATCTTCTCCGGAAGAGAACGAGCAAAGAGTCCCGCAGTGGGCTGAATAAACAGATCATCGGCTGCTTCCCATCTGCTTTTTGTGGTCTCGTTGACCCAAAACAGTGCCGGGTGTACAGGGAGGCCGTCCTCGATTTACGACCGGCATTTTTGTTGCTAAGCGAGACATTGGTCAATAAGTGAATTTGGCCCCCCGCGTTACCATTTTTCTTGCCAGGGTGGGTTAAGCGAGTCACCGTGGTTATTAAACGAGTCACACGGTTGTTAAGTGAATCGGGCTTCCCCGTTGATCTTTGCTCATCGGAAGGTCGTAAAAAGGGGATCGTGCGACCCTGCGACCGTCGTAACTATGAGTCGGTCGCCAAGCGTCTGAATTTTGACCGTGGGGATGTTGCAACGGTTGTAAATGCGAGGACCAGTCGTCAGTGACTTCTTTCCGTACTGTTGCAACACGGAACGGTCACTAAGCGAACGGTGATAAGTCGGGGAGTACCTGTCTTGTGACGTTTATTGTGACAGCAGGGATGTTGGCAACGGTCGTAAGTGAATGGGTGATTATTCCCTCTGCTGGTCACAAGGGCTGTTTGCACATTTGTCAGAGCAAAATATGTGGTCGATTGCAAGCTGGAGCCCTTCCCCTCCAAGAGGATTGCAGAAAATAAGTCTAATTCCGTGTTGTTTTTTTGCAGCACAGAAAGTTGCAAGGATTTCAACTTCCCAAATTCTCCAGCCATCCTGCTTTTTTCTCCCCCCCTCCCCCAAAATTGATTGGGATAAAAAGTGACCAAGCTGGTGATTTATTTACTTGTTAGGTCTGTCTCCTGCCAGACATTCCTGCTTGGTGTGGAACGTGGTGTTTTAAAATCCACGTAAATAAATAAATGCATTCGGGAGCAAAGGGCAACACAGCAATCCCTCCCCAGCAATTCGTAGGTTGAACGGAAAACCGATGAACAAAATCAACTATTAGAAATACATAGGCTGGACTAGATCGATGCATTTCGACGGAGCCAACTTTAAAATGTGGACTTCAGTTCCCAGAATTCCCCAGCCGGCCACAAATTCTGCCTCCCTCCACCCCCCCGCCAGACCGAAATGTTAAGGGTCAAGGCAGGAGGTTAAAGTCCGGCTCTGATCTGCCAGGGAAGAAAAGAGCCGGCTTTGTTTGGGGTGGGGGGCTCCCTCGGAAGGAATCCTGGCCTGGGTTTCAGTTTTAATGTTGGGCTTAACGCTCTTTTTACTCCGGTGTTTATATTGGTTTATTGTCTTGGGGATGATATGTCCAGAGTCACTTAGACGAGATGGGCAAGGTAGAACTTGGAAGGATGGATGGATGGATGGATATAGCTAGATAGCTAGATAAAAATGGATGAATATGATAGATAGATAGATAGAATAAAATGGATGAATATGATAGATAGATAGATAGATAGAATAAAATGGATGAATGATAGATATAGATAGATAAAATGGATGAATATGATAGATAAAAATGGATGAATATGATAGATAAAATGGATGAATATGATAGATAGAATGGATGAATATGATAGATAGATAGAATGGATGAATATGATAGATAGGTAGATAGATAGATAGATAGATAGATAGATAGATAGATAGATAAAATGGATGAATATGATAGATAGATAAAAGGATGAATATGATATATAGAATGGATGAATATGATAGATAAGATAGATAGAATAAAATGGATGAATATGATAGATAGATAGATAGAATAAAATGGATGAATATGATAGATAGATAGATAGATAGATAGATAGAATAAAATGGATGAATGATAGATATAGATAGATAAAATGGATGAATATGATAGATAAAAATGGATGAATATGATAGATAGAATGGATGAATATGATAGATAGATAGAATGGATGAATATGATAGATAGATAGATAGATAGATAGATAGATAGATAGATAGATAGATAGATAGATAGATAAAATGGATGAATATGATAGATAGATAAAAGGATGAATATAATATATAGAATGGATGAATATGATAGATAAGATAGATAGATAGATAGATAGATAGATAGATAGATAGATAGACAGACAGACATATGGATGATAGACAGAGAGAAAGATAATAGACAGATGGATAGATGATAGACTGACAGATAGATAGTCCAAAAGAGAGAAAGATGATAGACAGGTGATAGATGGGTAGATGGATGGATGGATCTATCAAGAAAGATAGATAGATAGATAAATGATAGATAGATAGATAGATAATGATACATATATGGATAATAGACAGACAGACAGATATATGGATGGATGGATGGATGGATGGATGGATGGATGGACGGGTGGTAGACAGACAGACAGACAGATAGAGGGAGGGAGGGAAGGAAGGCACCCAGGCAGGCAGGCAGGAAGAAGTGAGGAAGGATGGCGGAAGGAAGGAAGGAAGAGGAAAGAAGGAAGGGAGGATAGAAAGGATGGAAGGAAGGAAGGAGGACAAGAGACATAGAGGGAGGAAGCAAGCAAGGAAGGAACGAGACAGGACGGGAGGGAGAGAGGCAGGGAGAAAAAGAGAAAGGAAGGAAGGAAGGAAGGAAGGAAGGAGAGAAGGGGAAGGAAGGAAGGTAAGAGTGGAGGGAGGGAGGAGGGAGGGAAGGAAGGAAGTCACCTTGCATTCTGAGGGCGGCAGGTGAGCCCCCACCCACTCACTGTCGCCCCTTTTTCCCTTTCCCTTTGCTTCCCATCCCCCACGAGTCGACCCCCCACCCCAGCAGATCCTCAGTGCGGCTGCGCCGATCTCACCGCCTCCCCCCCCCCCACCATAAGGAAAGGATTCTTGGACCGCAATGAACGAGACGGAGTGGGAGGGGGCGTGGCTTCTGGCCCAGGCCCCGCCTCCTCGGGCTCCTGCAACATTGTAGCCGCCGCCGCTTCCTTCCTTCCTTCCTTCCTAAGCAGCTGGGGCTGCAAAGGGGGGCGCCAGGTTGGAGACCCCCCCGTAAGCAAAGGGTTTTTTGGGGGGGCGAGGGCACAGGTGTTGGGCATCGGATGCTGCACCTGCTGGGCTTTTTTTGGGGGGGGGTAGATGTGGTCCATGGGGGGGGGGAGCATGGGGTTTGCCTTTGAGGATGCTCAGGAGGGAGGGGGGGTCCCCAAATCCCAGAAGCTCTTCCTGGATCCCTGCCCAGGTTGGAAGGACCGAGGGGGGCTGTTTTTCTCGCCCTTCCCCCCTTCCTCCCACCCCCCCTCCCACCCCCCAACCAGGATTAATCTGCTTGCAAAATGCAAAGTGTGGCTTCCCAGATCCTGCAACGGGGGTGCAGGTGCCATGGGGGCGAGAGAGAGAGAGAGAGAGAGAGAGAGAAAGGGGGTCCAATTGCGGAGAGCACTTTGCACTTTGCACGTCCTCAGAGGCCCCCTTGCTGGGCGGGAGGCTGGCTACAGAATACCCCAGATCCTCCCACCCTATTGCATTTTAATTCCCTCCCCACCAAGGGGGGGGCATCCCAAAAATAGAGGCCAATGCCAAATCTTAAAAGCGCCCCCTCCCCAAATCTTCACATCTTACAGAAGAGGGTTGCTAAGCAGGATTATTAGGGGGTCTTTGCAAGTTTTTTTTCCCTTTGCATTCGCTCATTCTCACTTTGAGAATGAGAGGGAGAATGGGGGGGGCAGGAGTTTTCTGGGTACTTCAAAACAAACCTGGAACCTTCTACTAACCAGGTTAATGGGCCTGTCCTGCAGGGTTAGGGTTCAAACTAGTCACGGTGGAGGCCACAACTTTTGCCATCAATGTCCGGCCTGTTTGGTGACCCACCTGGGGAAAAAAATAAACAAATGGCTGCCATTTTGACTTTTTTGACCTATGCTGCACAAAACTAAAAGAGAGAAACGCGAACCACAGAAAGCCAGAGAGAAAGGAAGGAAGGAAGGAATTAAAGAAAAAGAAAGAAAGAAAGAAAGGAGTAAAAAGGGTAGAAAAGAAAGGAAGAAACAAAAAGGGAGGAAGGAAGGAAAAGAAAGAAAAGGAGAAAAGGTGAAAAAGAAAAAGGGAAGGAGAAAAGGAAGGAAGGAAGGAAAGAAAGAGAAGGGAAGAAGGAAGAAAAAGAAAGAAAAGGAAGGAAAAAGTAAAAGAAAGAGAAAAAAGAGGGAAGGAGAAGGAAGGAAGGAAGGAAAGAAAAAAGAGAAGGAGAAAAGGAAGGAAACAAAGGGGAAGGAAGGAAAAGAAAGAAAAAAAGAAAAAGGAAGGGAGAAAAAGAAGGCAGAAAAGAAAGGAAGGAAAGAAGGAAGGACGAAGGAAGGAAGGAACAAAGAAAGGAAAGAAAAAAGAAAGGCAGGGAGAAAAGGAAGGAAAGAAAGCGAAAGAGAGAAAAAAAGGAAGGAGTAAAGGAAGGAAGGAAGGAAACAAAGGGGAAGGAAGAAAAAGAAAGATAAAGGAAGAAACAAAAAGGGAGGAAGGAAGGAAAGGAAGGAAAGAAAGAAAGAGAAGGGAGGAAGGAAGGAAAGAAAGAAAAGGAGAAAAGGTGAAAAAGAAAAAGGGAAGGAGAAAAGGAAGGAAGGAAGGAAAGAAAGAGAAGGGAGGAAGGAAGAAAAAGAAAGAAAAGGAAGGAAAAAGTGAAAGAAAGAGAAAAAAGAGGGAAGGAGAAAAGGAAGGAAGGAAACAAAGGGGAAGGAAGAAAAAGAAAGATAAAGGAAGAAACAAAAAGGGAGGAAGGAAGGAAAGGAAGGAAAGAAAGAAAGAGAAGGGAGGAAGGAAGGAAAAGAAAGAAAAGGAGAAAAGGTGAAAAAGAAAAAGGGAAGGAGAAAAGGAAGGAAGGAAGGAAAGAAAGAGAAGGGAAGAAGGAAGAAAAAGAAAGAAAAGGAAGGAAAAAGTAAAAGAAAGAGAAAAAAGAGGGAAGGAGAAGGAAGGAAGGAAGGAAAGAAAAAAGAAGGAGAAAAGGAAGGAAACAAAGGGGAAGGAAGGAAAAGAAAGAAAAAAAGAAAAAGGAAGGGAGAAAAAGAAGGCAGAAAAGAAAGGAAGGAAAGAAGGAAGGACGAAGGAAGGAAGGAACAAAGAAAGGAAAGAAAAAAGAAAGGCAGGGAGAAAAGGAAGGAAAGAAAGCGAAAGAGAGAAAAAAAGGAAGGAGTAAAGGAAGGAAGGAAGGAAACAAAGGGGAAGGAAGAAAAAGGAAAATAAAGAAAGGAAGAAAGAAAAAGAAAGAAAGAAACCCAGATTCAGACAAACCCTTCCATCGATTTTGGAATTTAAACCCAATTTACTCTCATTTCCCCCCATTTCTTCTTGCCCCCCCGTCCCTCCAAGGATCCATGCTGGTCCGGAGAGCTGTCGTCCCAGCCCCCCCGGATGGGGGCTGGGGCTGGGTGGTGGTCTTGGCTGCCTTCCTCCAGTCCGCCTTAGTCTTCGGCATTCTGCGTTCCTTCGGCGTTTTCTTCGTGAAGTTTGTGGCTCATTTCCAAGAATTGTCCGGACGGATCTCCTGGATCACTTCCATTGGGATCGCCGTGCAGCAATTTGCTAGTGAGTTATTGGGAGGGGGGGAGGCAGGAGGATTACGGGGGGCGGGGGGGGGATGCAGGATGCAACTGGTATTTATTCAACCCCAACAACTGTCCGCCTACCACGCGGGGACCTCCAGACTTGGCAACTTTAAGACTTGTGGACTTCAACCCCAGAATTCTGTGTGCTTCTCAGCCTCAGGCTAGGGAATTCTGGGAATTGAAGTCCACAAGTCTTAAAAGTTGCCACTTTGGAGACTCCAGGCCTCCAAGACAGTGCTTCTCAGCCGGTTTAAGGTGGGTGGACTTCAACTCCCAGAATTCTCTGCATTTCTCTGTCTCAGGCTGCGGAATTCTGGGAGTTGAAGTCCACAAGTTGAAGATTGCCGGCTGAGGAATTCTGGGAATTGAAGTCTACAAGTTTTAAAACTTGCCAGGTTTGGAGACCCCGAGCCTCCAAGACAATGCTTCTCAGCGAGTTTAAGGTGAGTGGACTTCAACTCCCAGAATTCTCTGCGTTTCTCTGTCTCAGGCTGCGGAATTCTGGGAGTTGAAGTCCACAAGACTGAACATTGCTGGCTAAGGAATTCTGGGAACTGAAGTCCACAAGTTTTAAAAGTTGCCAGGTTTGGAGACCCCGAGCCTCCAAGACAGTGCTTCTCAGCCGGTTTAAGGTGAGTGGACTTCAACTCCCAGAATTCTGGGTGCTCCTCAGTCTGAGACTAGGGAATTCTGGGGATTGAAGTCCACAAAATTGAACATTGCTGGCTGAGGAATTCTGGGAATCGAAGCCCACAAGTTGTCAGGTTCGGAGACCCTGGGCCTCCAGGACAGTGGGTTTAAGATGGGTTGACTTCAACTCCCAGAATTCTGTTGCTTCTCAGTCTGAGACTATGGAATTCTGGGAGTTGAAGTCCACAAGACTGAACATTGCTGGCTGAGGAATTCTGGGAATTGAAGTCCATAAGTCTTAAAAGTTGCCAGATTTGGAGACCCCGGGCTCCAGGACAAGGCTTCTCAGTGAGTTTAAGGTGAGTGGACTTCAACTCCCAGAATTCTGTGCGTTTCTCCATCTCAGGCTGCGGCATTCTGGGAGTTGAAGTCCACACAAACTGCTAAGCTTGAGAAACTACAGGGGGCATGCAATGACCTGAGAATCAGGTATCAGTATAAGAACCAAGGACAGCTTCGGCCTAGGGATAGTCCTCAGCTTACGACTACAATTGAGAGAAGAATTTATATAGCTAAGCAAAGTTTGTCGTTCTTTTCAGGTCCGGTGGGAACTGCCCTGAGTTCCCACTACGGAGCTCGGCCCGTGGTTATGGTTGGTGGGTTTCTCTCCGGCCTGGGTCTCCTGTTGGCATCGTTTGCTACCCGGTTGGTGCATTTATACCTCAGCATTGGGCTCCTTTCAGGTACGTGGTTAGAAACGCCGCAGTTTCTTCGTGGCCCAATTATTGCCGTGAAATTTTCCCGCTCTTCAAAAAATCCCGAATCCTTTTGCAAAGGCACGGTCGCTAAGTGAGGCCCTTTCACTTTCAAATCACTGTTCCTTAAACTCGGCAGCTTTAAGATGGGTGGACTTCAACCCCCAGAATTCCCCGACACCAATGCATTCCTTTCGATACGGAGACGCCTGTTGTGGCCTGCTTAGTCTCTTCTAATCCCTTCCTCTGCGATCTCTGAATTCTGGAAATTGAAGTCCACCCGTCTTTCTTTAAGCATGCTGGCTAGGGAATTCTGGGAGTTGAAGCCCACTTGTTTTAAAAAGCATGCTGTGTGGGGAATTCTGGGAACGGAAGTCCACCCCTTCAATTGAGAAACTATGCTGTAGAACGGTGATGGTGAACCTTTTCTTCACTCGGGGAAAAAGTCGCGTGGAAACGTCACGTCCACGCTCGACATGGCCGCGCTATGGAAAAGCCAAACTTCCGGGGTCCAGCGCACACGCGTGCCTGATGATCAGCTGGCTGGCGTGCATGCGCACACCGGTTTTCGGCACTGCCGCGTGCGCGAAGCACAGCTGATCATCGCGTGCTCATTCACGTCAGAATCCCGGAAGACAAACAGGCAGGGCCGCGCGTGCTGGGCGACACAGCTTAGCACGCGTGCCAGAGGTTCGCCATCACGGCTGTAGAAGACCTTCAGCAAAGTTTTAGCTCAACAGGGAAGCTGGAGGCAGTGTCTGATTTCGTTGCAGGGTTCGGCTGGGCCTTGGTCTTCACGCCATCCGTGGCCTCCGTGGCTCGCTATTTCAAGAGGCGCCGTACCCTGGCTACCAGTTTGGCCTTCACCGGCGTGGGAATCTCCTCCTTCGCTTTCTCGCCTCTCTTCCAATTCCTCATGGACACCTACGCCTGGCGGGGAGCCCTGATGATCGTGGCTGCCATGTCCTTCAACCTCATAGTCTGCGGCGCCCTGATCCGGCCCCTGACCCTGAAGGACGACGTGTCCCCTGGAAAGCTGACGGTCTGCAATCTCTTCGGCCTGCAGCTACTTTCCCACTGCCCATTCATGCGGTTTGTGGTGGCCATCACCTTGGTCAACACAGGTTATTTCATCCCCTACGTCCACCTGGTGGCCCGGGCACGAGAACTGGGCTTTGACGAATACCAGGCTGCCTTCCTGATGTCCCTCACGGCCGCGGCTGATCTTTGCGGTCGCCTCTTCTCCGGCTGGCTGGGCAGCTGCAGGTCGTCGCGGTTGATCCACCTGCTGGTGGCCTGGACTTCCTTGACGGGCATCTCCTTGTTGCTGATCGCTTGGGGTCACACCTACCCGCTCCTCGTGGCCATCAGCCTCGGCTACGGATTCTTCTCGGGAGCCCTGACGCCCGTGGTCTTCTCCATCGTTCCGGAGATCGTGGGCATCGAGAACATCTTCAGCGCCATGGGGTTGTTGCAGATGATCGAAAGCATCGGGGGGCTCTTGGGGTCCCCCCTGTCGGGTAAGTGACACAGTCTGTTCTGTCCCAGGTCTCCAAATACCACAGAACCTCTGAAATGAACTCAAAGATTCGTTTATTAGGAGCGCCGGCAGCCCCGGCAAAAATATTTCTCTCTCACCGCCAGCTAACAAGTCCGTCCGTCCGGGAGATGAAGAGTTGTCTGCCACACCTATTCATCTCCACCCCCTGGTGTCAGGTTTCAAGGTCGTCTCAAATGAATTGCATTTCAAACAAAGTCTTTGATGAAAAAACACTCCCATTTATTAAGCATGACATTCTAATTCCGACTCGATCGCAGCCAACACTGACTTCCAGACCCAAAACCCTCCCTTTCCGTTCCCCACTCCCCTGCACTCATTGGCCATCTTCCAAGTCACTCTACCCCTAATCTACCGCTCCAGCTCAAAGGAATTTCCCCCCTCCCATCCCATCTCCTAGGGGATATTATCTCCAGGGAAAATAAGTAGGTGAAAAGTCAAACGTCCCTTTCCAGACGCCTCCGCTTCTCCTTCTTATGTCAGCACTAGAGTAACTGCAGCTTGAAGTGCTGACACCTGCCTTTAATTCCCAAAGCTAGGGAGGGGCTTTGCTAGCAGCAGTGGCTATTCCGTCCCGAGGACTGGCCCATAGATTTCCACTGCTCTCCTCTCCTCTGCCTTCTGTGCACCAGTGCATCAGGCACTGGACCCAGCTGTTCCTCCTCTTCCTCATCAGTCACCTCCAGACCTAGAGGCTGTTGACTCCCCATTGGAGGGCTGATGAACGGCCCAGGCTCCGCCCCTCTCCCTCTCCCTCCCTCTCTCTCTCTCTCTCTCTCTCTCTCTCTCTCCAGCTCCATTTCCTCTTCCTCCTCAGAGCTCTCAGGTTGCCTTGATGCTGACCCGGACTCCCATGCCTCCTCCTTTGATTCAGCTGCTGGAGGGGCCGGGGGCCGAGAGGCCACAACACAATTGTGGGCGCACGTCAGAACTCGTTCTTCTCATTTCCGCGGGTGTTGCAGGGATCCAGGTCAAAGGGGAAAGCAGATTTTTATCGTGTTGAGATGTCGGCGGGACAGCGCTGGAGGAATTCTCCAATGTTGTCGGGCGGACCCGTGGGAAACAGAGATGGCTAGGTCCTTACCGCCAGTGTCTGATCCCATGTCACATGGTGGTTTGCTTCCGGCTTCAGGCAATGGAGCAGGGGACGAGACCCCTTAGGACATTGCCTGCAGAAAACAGGAAGCAGATCAGGGTAAGGGTCCCGACGCGTGCTGACACTGTCCAACATGGGTGGAAAAGAAAGGAGAATATTGGTAGCTCGGGGTTGAAATGAGGTTGCTTGATGCTCTCTGAGCTTGGTGGTTTTCTTGCAGTGTTGCTGGCACTGATGATGTTACCTAGTTGGGCAATGAAACGTCTACAAGAAAACCACCAAGCACCAACCAACGACCCCTCAGAGGTGGGGAAGCACTTCTCCTCTCTCGTGTCCATCAAAAGCTGGCCAGCAATATTGTTTCAAGTGTCCCGGATCTTCTCTAGAGGATTACGATGATCCAGAAGATCCAGTGCACGTTGAGTTGTGTGATTTCCCCCGGCTGAAAAGTTTTGCGGATAGAACCCCTCACTTCCGCTCCAGGTGTGGAGTTCGGAAGGTGCAGAAGCTCCTGAGATGCCTGAAGGGACATCTGGTGGACGTAGCGAGGTGATTTGTGAGCCTACTTGGAGAATATTAGCAGCCACGGAAAGGACTCGGAGTTGGCTCGGGGCCACGCGGTAGTCTGTAGTTCCTTTTGAAGCCAAGAGAGACACCCAAGTTTCTTTTAAGAGTTCATCCGGTTAACGCCCAGACTTCTTAAAGTCTGGATTTATCAAAATTAAAGACTAGGAAGTAGGAAATTTTGGGCCGAGTTGTTGTAGATTACAACTACAACGCGGCCCCAAATTTCCGATGCTTAAGCAGGACAGTGAAATGGGCCCTTTGGCTCCGTTTTTACGACTTTTCTGGCCGCCCTCGTTACATGAACCGCTGCTGTCGTTAAGCGAGTTGCGCGGTCCTTAAGTGAATCTGGCTCCCCCCCATTGTCTTGGCTGGACAGAAAGTCGCCAAAGGGGGATCGCGCGACAGCCCCCACCACCACTCCCGGGACGCTGCGACCGTCGTAAATAGGAACCGTCCAAATTTTTGATCACGGGACCGCGGGAATGCCGTAACGGTCGTAAGTGTGGAAAAACGGTCCGAAGTACCTTTTTTTCAGTGCTGCTGTGACTTCGGTCACTAAACGGATTGTTGTAAGCTGAGGACTGCCTCTACTTAGAAGTAGTTGAACCCCCTTGGCTGCTAAAGACCAGCATTTTCCCATCTGGGGTTGGGGTGTCTTTAAGTGGCACTGCACCCCTCCAAAAAAACAGCCTTAAGTCACTCTTTTCAATGCCGTTGTAACTTGAAACGGTTACTAAATGAGGATTACCTGTACTGGATCTGTCCAGCCTCATTGGGCCCATTTTTGGGAGAGAGAGGTGTCTTCCTTGGGTCCTGCATGACCTTAGACTCCAAAATTTGTCCCTTCTCCGTCCCCCGTTTTGTGTTGATCAATGATCAGTGGGAGCTGGACTAGATGACCTCCCAAGGTCCCTTCCAGCTCGGTTAATCTGACTGACTGAATCAATCAGAATAGAGCTGGAAGGGACGTTAGAGGTCTTCTAGTCCAGCTCCCTGCTCAAGCAGGAGACCCTATATGCCCATGATGGCGAACCTATGGCACGCGTGCCAGAGGTGGCACGCGTAGCCATATCAGTGGGCACACCAGCTCAGCTCTGGTGCGCACGCGCGGGCCCGCCAGCTGATTTTCGGGCCTTCTGGGCCCACCAGAAATAGGGAAACAGGCTGTTTCCTGCCTCTGGAGGGCCGGGTGGGGGGAGGCCCGTTTTTCTTTCTCACCTGGCTCCAGATCCTCTCTATGCATCTGGGGAGGGCGAAAACAGCCTTCCCCACCCCTTCGGAGGCCCAAAACAGCCTGTTTCCCAACTTCCGGTTGGACAAGAAGTGACGTTTTTTGCTTTTCCCCAGACTGCAGAGACTCCATCGCGTGCCAGGAGCAGGGGGGGGGGAGAGGGAGTTGCGCACGCATGCGCAGGGCGCATAGAATTATGGGTGAGGGCAGACACGTGCGCGAACCACCACCCCTCCTGGCACATGATGGCAAAAAGGTTTGCCTTCACTGCCATATACCATTTCAGACAAGTGACTGTCCAGTCTCTTCTTCAAAACATCCAGAGCAGCCTCAAATTTCTGGTGGCGAGCTGTTCCACTGGTGAATTGATCTGGGATTACAGAATAATAGTGTCAAGTTTCGAGGTCGTCTCAAATAAATTGCATTTCAAACAAAGTCTTTGATAAAAACTCCCATTTATTGAGCACGATATTCTAAATCCTGGCTCATCGTATTTCCAGACCCAAAACCCTCCCTTTCCTTTCCCCACTCCTCTGCACTCATTGGCCATCTTCCAAGTCATTCTACCCCTAATCTACTGCTCCAGCTCAAAGGAATTTCCCCCCTCCCATCCCATCTCCTAGGGGATATTATCTCCAGGGAAAATAAGTAGGTGAAAAGTCAAACGACCCTTTCCAGATGCCTCCGCTTCTCCTTCTTATGTCAGCACTAGAGTAAAGGCAGCTTGAAGTGCTGACAAACAGAATTAGAGAGTTGGGAGGGACCTTGGGAGGTCTTCTAGTCCAACCCCCTGCTCAAGCAGGAAACCCTATAACATTTCAGACAAATGGCTGTCCAATCTCTTCTGAAAAGCTTCCAGTGATGGAGCCACCCACAACTTCCGGTGGCAAGCTGTTCCGCTGGTTAATTGTCCTCACTGTCAGGAAATTTCTCCTCAATTCCAGCTTGCTTCTCTCCTTGATTCGTTTCCATCCGTCGTTTCTTGTCCTGCCTTCAGGGGCTTTGGAGGATAATTTGACCCCCTCCTCTTCTTTGGGGCAGCCCCTCAAATACTGGAATGCTGCTATCATATCCCCCCCTAGTCCTTCTTTTCATTAAACTAGCCAAATCCTGCAGCTGTTCTTCGTATGTTTTTAATCTCCAGGCTTTTAAATCATCTTAGTTGCTCTTCTCTGCACTTTTTCCAAAAGTCTCAACGTCTTTTTTGTAACGCGGGGACCAAAAACTGGGTACAGAATTCCAGGCGTGCAGAATTCCAGGCGTGCAGAATTCCAGGTGTGCAATATTCCAGGTGTGGTGATGTCTAAATTGGTTGGTCCACACGGCTACGGGTGGATGGAACTTCCCGCCGCCGTTCACCCTGAATTACCTTCTGGTGCGGCTTCACGATTGGCTGTTTTCTTTCAGGTTGGCTGCGAGATCTCACCGGCAACTACACGGCCTCCTTCCTCGCCGCCGGCTCCTTCCTTTTGGCCGGGAGCCTCGTCCTGACGACGGTGCCCAATTTCTCCCCCTGCCTGACCCCGCCGGATTGGCACGATGCCCGGCTTGGCAGGGAGGCCGGAGATGACAGCCACTTGACCACGGTGGCTGCCGCAGACCTCTCTCCCGAAAAGTGCCTGGGGGGGCCAGCGGCCGAGCAGACCCCCGTGAAGAGCTGAGTGGCCGCAGGAGTCCAAAGGTGGACGTCAATCCAGAGCGGAGATGGACCAGAAACACACGCGTGTGGGCGTAATTGCGTGTGTAAATGTGCGTGCAAGAACGAGGGGTTATTCGCCGCAGCGACATAAAACCACGTGTCGCTACAGATTTATCTACCGGTGCCTTAAACCGTGGCCCCTTTAAGACTGGTGGACTTCAACTCCCAAAATTCTCTGCTGGCTGGGGGATTCTGGGAGTTGAAGTCCTCAAGTCTTAAAGGGGCCGAACTTGGAACCTCCTGCCTTAAACCTCTTTTATCTGCAAAAGAGCGGGTTTTTAGGAAAATTGAACCCGGAACGCGGAAACGAATGCCTTCTGTTCAACTGGGCAACCCGGCGGGCGCAGACTCATGATGCCAGTCTCGATGGACTCCCTAGCCCCTCCTCCACAGCCCTGGGATGAGATGGCCCTTGAAACAGGGATTCTGTTTCAAATGGATCTTCCCTTGATTGTCTTGGGACGGGAAGGGGGGGGGCTTCACTGGGGCCTTTGTGGGCATCTGCCCACAGCAAGACCCTTCCCCCCAAAACTGCCCCCGTTAGCCAAATGTGGGCGTAGTCCCTGGGATTGGAGAGGTTAAAATCCAGCCGGGGTGGCCAAATCTCTCAGCCGAAACCTGCCTCAGCCACCTCGGTTCCTGCCACTCTCAGCAATGGGGACATACTCGGTTTGGGTCCAAGCTGCCCCATGGCTTAATTCCCCCTTCTCCTCCTGAAATATTCCCTGCAGAAATTCCCTTGTCCAAATTCGCTTGCAGAAATTCGCTTGCAGAAATTCTCTTGTGCAAATTCCTTGCACAAATTCGCTTGCACAAATTCTCTTGCACAAATTCCCTTGCACAAATTGGTGAGTCTTAGATCTTCTCCTTGATAGCCGAACATTCAGCCTCAGAGGAGGAAGTCCGCAGGGAATCCAAACCGCCAAGATGGCGTCCACACGGGGCTGCCATTTTGACTTTTATGACCTCCCCGCAGCCACCTCTTGCACCCTTCCCCCAGCTACTCCCACCCGCCACCCTTCCCGCTCTGTTTCCTCCTTCCTGCCAGATTGATGGGGCTGCTGCCTTGGGGGGGGGCTTCTCGAAGGGGGTGGGGCAGGGCCTGCATTTGGGGGGGAACGGCCTCTGCTGAGGCTATTTGGAAACTCACACTGGGGTGGCGTGGGGTTCCCCTCTCAAGTTGTGGACTTGTGCAAAATGCACCCCTTCTCTTGTGCATCCTCGAGGGGACCCTCGGATGTCCCCCCCACTACCCATCTTCCCTCCATTAATGGCACCGAATTCTACGCCAAGGCTTAGCAAAGGAACAGAAACGTTGAGGTCCAAGTGCCAATTATCGGTGCCCAGCAGGGGGCAATCTGGGTGTATTTGATTACCTATCCCATAATCCCCAGCCAGTACACCTACGCTACAACGGCTGGGGTGGGGAGGCAATGTCTGATATTGTTTTAGTCTGTTTTAGTCCGGCATTTTTCAATCCCGGCGTGTTGTACGACGGGTGGACCTCCACTCCCAGAATTCCTCAGCCAGCCTAGGATAACGACGAACTGGGGGCATTCTGGGAGTGGAAGTCCACCCGTCTTAAAATGGCCGAGGTTGCAAAACTCTGCTTTAGTCTTTACACGTCTGTAACTTTACATGTCTGTGTGACTTTAGGATACACATCGCCTGTGGAAAAAACACGTTTGCAAGTATTTCCGTTAATTTTAACCTTTTTGTAAAAACTCTTGGAATAAAATGACAAGCAAAATCAGTGTGAAATCGGTTTGCACGAGTGGTTATTTTATAGCTGGTTGTGTTTTATTGGTCAAGAAACAACAGACAACAGGTAGTCCTCGGCTTACAACCACAATGGACCACCTCCCCCGCCCCAAGCGTACCTTGTTAAGTGAGTTTTGTCCCATTTTACGACTTTTCTCGGCCGCATTTGTTCAGTGAATGGCTGCAGACGTTAAACGGGTAACCCGGTTGTTAAGTGAATCTGGTTTCCCCCTATGGACTTTGCTTGTCAGAAGGCCGCAAAAGGGGAATCACGTGATCCCGGGACACTGCAGCCATCGTAAATATGAGTCAGTTGTCAAGCGTCTGAATTTTGACCCACGTGGCCTAACGTCGTAAGTGTGAATAACAGTCGTAAGTCACTTTTTTCACTGCTGCTGTAATTTTGAACAGTCACTAAGCGAGCTGTTGTAAGTCGAGGACTACCTGTAGTACAATTCGAAGAACAACCACATCTCCGATCCTGGGAAAACTTGAGTTCTGGATTCGAATCTTCAAATCAGCCCAAATAGTGTCATAAATTACACATCCAGGAAGAGTTTTAGGGATGCCACCCAGCTACGCCCCAACACCGGATAGGAAAATACTTTTCTTTAGCAGCCGAGGGGGTTTGATTACTATGTACAGGCAGTCTTCGACTTACGACCGTTCATTTAGTGACCAAATTTACAACGGCACCAAAAAATAGTGACTTACGACTCTTTTTCACACTTACGACCTTTGCAGCATCCCGCCAGTCACATAAAGTTTGGACGCTTGGCAACTGACTCGTATTTACGACGGTCGCAGTGTCCTGGGGTCTCGTGATCCTTTTTTTGCGACCTTCTGACGAGCAAAGTCAATGGGGGGAGGGGGAAGCTTAACAACCGTGTTAGTAACTTAACAACTACACTTAGCAAGGAAGTTGGTAGGTAACATGGGGCGAAGCTCACTTCGCAACCATCTTGCCTAGCCATGGAAATGTTGGGCTACCTTATGGTCGTAAGTCGAGGACTCCCTGCATTCCAGCAGATTTCAGTTTTCCATAATTCACTGTCCACGAATTACGGTGCCAGTTACTCTTTGGGAAAGCAGTTTTGTCAACCTGAAGACGGGAGGACAGATTGTGGAGCGTTGCCCTCTGCACGTTCTCAGAGGCTCTCTCTCCTCATCCGTCTTGCCTTGCTGGGTTTCCGGTGTGGGAATGGCAGGACGGGAGGGTTGGAGTTCCTGATTTTGCCAGCTTGCAGAGACCTTTAGCTCAGGGGTGTCAAACTGGATTCCTTGGAGGGCCGGATCAGCATTATAGTTGTTCTCCAGCTGGGGGGGAAGTGGGGAGGAGATGGGGTGGACGGCCTCCTGCAGCTGGTCCCGCCAGGTGGATCTAAACACCCTGTGGGGCAGATCCGGCTTGCGGGCCGTGAGTTTGACACCCCTGCTTTAGCTAAAGAATCATCAAAAGAGGAGGAAGGGTATCTCCAGGTTGAACTGTGCTGTCAAGCTGGACCCATAATTCCTTCAATTCCCCCCTCCCCAAAAATCTGGTCATCGAACGAGGGATCCTCCCTGCCTCTGGGCCGCAAAACGGAAAATTCACGTGGAAAAAAAGGGACAACCGAGCAACCTAGGTGGCTTTGTTTATAAGTCTCAGGTCAAGCACAAACCGCTTTCCTACCTTGATCCCTAATGCAGGGAGTCTTTGCCTTGCGACCGTTCGTTTAGTGAGCGAAGTTACAACGGCGCTGAAAAAAAAGCTGGGATGTTTTTCTCACTTGCTTTTCACCCCACGCTCAAAATTCACAGTTCGTTTAGTGACTGAACTTACAACGGCACTGAAAAGAGTGAGTTACGATCGTTTTTCGCATTTTAAGACTGTTGCGGCGTCCCCCGTGGTCACGTGATCAAAATCCAGACGCTTGGCCACCGACTCCTAATATGGAAGGTCGCATTGTCCCGAGGCTCCCGGGATCCCCTTTTGTGACCTACTGACAAGCCATTGGCTCCATCTTACGACCTTCCCTGCCACAGTTCTTAAGTGAAGCACCGCGGTTGTTTAGTTGGTAGTACGGTCGTTAAGTGGATCTGGCTTCCCCCATTGCTTGTCGGGAGGTCGCAAAAGCGGATCCCGTGACCCACCGCAACCATCATAAGTACATGCCAGCTCCCAAACAACTTGAGTTTCGATCACGTGACAAACAGCCATAAGTCTCTTCTTTCGGTGCCGTTGTAGCTCCAGACGGTCACTAAAAGGACGGTTGTAAATCGAGGACTACCGGTATTTTATTGAAAATGGTCGTCGTTGAACGGCATGTGCCAAAATCTGCATTTTTTTTCTTTTTTACTGCCAGGAGAAAGTCCTGATGTCAAATTCCTGGAAAAACTCCTGACTCTGCATATTGCAAGATCTCTCAAGTTTCTTTCCTCCTCTTTTTGTAACCTTCGGCCGAATAAGAAATTTCCTAAACTCAGCATTTTTTCCTGACCTTTGAATTGGTTTAATAAACCTATCGCTCTTCATAGGGATACAGGCCGTCCTGGGCTTACAACCATTCGTTTAGTGGCCATTCCAAGTTGCAAGAGTTCTGCAAAAAGTGACATGAGCAGTCCTCACACTTATGACATTTGCAGTTCTATTCTATTCTATTCTATTCTATTCTATTCTATTCTATTCTATTCTATTCTATTCTATTCTATGTCTTAGCAAATGCCTCAATTGTGGTCGTTAAGTCGAGGACTTCTTCCACGGAGTGGCCCAGACCCAACTCCGAGTCTTACTAACTTTAACAACTGCGGTGATTCATTTAACAACTGCGGCAGAAAAGGTCATAAAATGGACCAAAGCTCACTTAACGACTGCCTTCCTTAGCAATGGAAATTTTGAGCTCAATTGTGGCTCGTACGTCGAATTGAATTTTTGTCTCGGCACGGAGCAGCGAGATTCCCACGTTATCCTAAAGTGCTTTTCTGTGTGTGTGTGTGTGTGCAAAAAAAAAAAAAAGCTTTAAAACTGGACTCACTGGACAACCTACAAACCCCCAAGCAAACCAGGCTCCTTTGGACTGGGTGCACCGTGCGAATTCATCCAGATTTTTTTTTATTTGGTAGATCATGAGTTGGCCTACAATTCCCCGCACTGTGACGACTACCCTGTTTCCCTGAAAATAAGGCCTATCCCAAAAATAAGCCCTAACACTGTTTTTTTTGCATGTGTACCTAATATAAGCCCTACCCCTGAGCTAAGCCAGTGCGGGGCGAGTGGAGCAGCTCCAACCCTCCGCCTCGCCTCGTGGCTGCAGGACCGACGCGTCTCTCGGCCTCCTGCTCCGTTGCAGCTGCGAGCAAGTAGAAGCATTGGGCCGGCCGTTATGCGGATTCCTGCTGGACGGGGCTGCTGGAACCGCCACTGCGAGGTGAGGCAGATGTCGGGGCGAGGGTGGCTGCAGGACCCTGAGGTAAGCTCGTGTGGGGCACATGGGGCAGCTTTATTGTCCCCGCGGCACCATTCAGTCTTCTGCCGTAGCACGAGCAAACAAGTGAAGGAGGAAATAAGACCCCCAAAAATAAGCCCTAGTCCTTATTTTGGGAAGCAAAAGAAAATAAGGTCTTATTGTCAGGGAAAAACGGGTAGCAGCTCAGAATTATTATATTTGGAAGGGGAAGGCAAATCCCCCACCTCTCTCTTAAAGGTAAAGGTTCCTCTCGCACATATGTGCTAGTCGTTCCCGACTCTAGGGGGCGGTGCTCACCTCCGTTTCAAATCTGAAGAGCCAGCGCTGTCCGAAGACGTCTCCATGGTCATGTGGCCGGCATGACTCGACGCCAAAGGCGCAGGGAAGGCTCTTACCGTGTTTCCCCGAAAATAAGACCCTGTCTTATATTTTTTTTGAACCCCAAAATAAGCGCTTGGCCTTATTTTCGGGGAGGTCTTATTATTTTGGGGCGCATGGACCAAAATGGGGCTCCTCTTGCTGTCTTACCTGATTTTTAGCTCTGCGTTTAAATATTTTCGGGTAGGGCTTATTTTCAGGGGGGGAGACTTATTTTAGCACATGCGCTCAAAAACCCGATTGGGCTTATTATCAAGGGATGTCTTATTTTCGGGAAAACAGGGTACCTTCCCACCACAGGCGGTCCCTATTTTTCTGCTTGCATTTTTTACCTGCTCTCGAACTGCTAGGTTGGCAGAAGCTGGGACAAGTCACGGGAGCTCCCCCCGTTACGCAGCACTCGGGATTCGAACCTTCGATCGACCTTCGAACTTTCGATTGACAAGTTCGTCTTAGCCACGGAGCCACTGAGCCCCACTCTTACTGAAGCTGTAAACCAGGTTGCGGCCCATTTTTAGACATCCAAGGGAAAAAGCGGCACACAAAACACGCACTATGTTGCGTGTAACACAATCTCAGCACAAGCGTCACGCAGAAAAACTTTCTCCCAAATTTAATGCAAGCCCTCGCCCGTCAAAAGATGCCCTCTGCTCCAAACCGGCCTTCCCTTCCTGCCATGACAATAAGTTGCTGCTTCTTTGCTTAAGAGGTGGGGAACACTGCTCCGAGCACGTGCAGAGTGCTTTTTCCCTCCTTGCTCTCCAGCGTCCTAGTCCACGCCGCCTAATACCTGCAGCTCCGCTCCAGGCGATGCAGAAAAATTTCCAAGAATTTTTTATGGCCTTCCGAACTGGCACCGGTCCGGTCTGTCTCTCTTCTCCGAAATCCTTCAGCCTTGCTGGCATTTCCAAATGGAAATTCTGGCAATGAAAAGAGCAGCAAATTTATTGGCCGGCAAATAAAGAGGATTTGAGGACATGGAGCCAGACTTTGGCCGGGGGTGGGGGGACACACACACACACATACCAGAGTCGGTTCGGTTCAGCTCGGCTGCAAGCGAGGCTGTTAAATTCGACATCCGAGACCCGGGGAAGCCAGGAAGGGTCCTCTTGTCTCGTGCGCTGGCGAAGTCATCGTGGTTAAATGGTGGGTTATTTGGGACTCTGGCTCAGTGGCCAGGATTGTGAGACAGAGCGAGGGGAGGTTTAAAATTTGTGAATGTTCAACAAGGTGCAAAAACCTCATTTTGGGGGGGAGATATTAAAAGTCAAACTTCTAAGGATGCAACGGAGTGGAGAATTAATCGTCTTTCTGGCTGCATTCTTACAACCCTGAGTTAGCTCCCAGGAGTTGTAAATTTGCACGAATCCTTGAATGTGCAACCAGATTAGAGGAGGCCAGATGGAGGGGGAGAGAGAGAAAGAAAGAAAGAGAGAGAGAGACAAAGAAAGAAGGAAGGAAGGAAGGAAGGAAGGAAGGAAGGAAGGAAAGAGGAAGTAAGGAAGAAAAGGAAAGAAAGAAAGAAAAAGAAAGAAAGAGAAAATAAAACTAACCAAAATGGATGCTAGTTGAGCAATTGCAGCTGTTAGCTTTCTAATATGTTTTTTTTGGGTCCAGCATTGTTTCATTGCAACAGGTTGCAAGGTAGGAGAGACATTGGGGAGAGCTTCTGGGGTAGGGAAACAGGGCTGGTGTAAACCAGGTGTAATTTAAGCTCAGGGGCAGCCAGGGTGTGGGTTCAGGGGGCAAATCTTGGCCACTGGTGAGAGGGGAGCAGAGGTGATATTCAGCCGGTTCGTACCTTTAAGAGGTGCGGACTTCAACTCCCAGCATCCCCCAGCCAGCATTCAACTGGCTGAGGAATGATGGGAATTGAAGTCTGCAGATTTTCAGGTGCTGGCTGAGGGAACGTTGGGAGTCGGAGTCTCTGAAAAAGGTTGGCTGAGGCATTCTGGGAGTTGTAGGCTCTACCTCTTAACTTGACAGCTGAGGCATTCTGGGAGTTGAAGTCCGTCCAGGCCTCTTAAAATGGCGGCTGGGGAATGCTGGGAGTTGAAGTCTGCACGTCCTAAAGGGGCTGGCTGGGGAATGCTGGGAGTCAGAGTTGTTGAAGGTTGGGAGGTTAAGGAACGCTGCTCTAAAGGAGGGGGTTTCCAGGCCTCTAAAATGGAGAAGTTGCAGGGGGGGATTTATTTTAAATCAGAGTTAAAACAAAATATTCTTTTGAAGAAATTTTAAGTTCCAAATTTGGGCTGTGGGCACCGTGAAGATCCCAAGAGATGCAATATTCTTCTTTTTAAAGATGAGACGGGACAGCTGTTTGCCCCAAATGGCCTGGGGTTGGACTAGAAGACCTCCAAGGTCCCTTCCAATAATGTTTTTTTTCCTCTCTCTCCCTCCCTCCCTCCCTCTGTCTCTCCCTCTCTTTCTCTCCCTCCCTCCCCCTCTGTCCTTGTCCCTCCTTCTCTATCCCTCCCCCTCTGTCTCTCTCTCCCTCCCTCCCTCCCTCTTTCTCTCCCTCCCTCTCTTTTTTTCTTCCTCTCTCTGTCCCTCCCTCTCTCTTTCTCTCCCTCCCTCCCCTCTCCCTGTCCCTCCTTCCCTCTCTCCCCCTCCCCCTCTCCCACCCTGTCTGTCCGTCCCTCTCTGTCCCTCCCGCTCTGTCTCTCTCCCTCCCTCCTTCTCTCCCTTCTTCCCTCTCTTTCTCTCCCTCCCTCCCTCTCCCCCTCCTCCTCCCTCTTTCTCTCCTTCCCTTTCTCTCTCCCTCCCTTTCCATCTCCCTCCCTTCCTCCCTCCTTCTCTCTCTCTCCCTCCCTCCCTCCTTCCCTCACCCTCTCCCTCCCTTTCTCTCCCTCCCTTTCTCACTCCTTCTATCTGTCTCTCCCTCCCTCCCTCTTTCTCTTTCCCTCTCCCTCTTTCTCTCCCTCCCTTTCTCTCTCTCCCTCCCTCTCTCTTTCTCTCCCTCCCTTTCTCTCTTTCTCTCCCTCTTTCTTGTCTCTTTTCCCACTCTGTTCTTCCAATTTCTGCCGGCCGAAAGGAGCCTCCTCCTCCTCCTCCTCCTCCGTCTTCTCCTGCAGTCGCAGCCGTCCCGGATGGCGGCTGGGGCTGGATGGTCGTGCTGGGGGGCTTCGTGCAGTCGGCCCTGGTCTTCGGGGTGATCCGCTCCTTCGGCGTCTTCTTCGTGGAGTTTGTGGCCCATTTCGGAGAATCGGCCGGTTCCGTCTCCTGGGTGGTGTCGCTGGGCATCGCCGTCCTCCAGTTTGCAAGTAAAGGAGAAACAGCGGGGGGGGGGGGGGGCAGGGGGGCACAAAGCATGGATTCCCCCAGGAAAACTGGAACGAGTTTAAAATTCCCTTTTAGCTGTGCAGGTAGTCCTCGACTTACGACCAGCATTTCCGTTGCTAAGCAAGGCGATTCCTAAGTGATTTCTCTTGCCACGGTTGATAAGCAAATGCAAACGGCAGTCGTTAAATGAATCACATGGTCACTAAATGAATCTGGCTTGTGACATTGGCTTTGCTTGTCAGACGCTGTCTGGAAAAATTGTAAATTATTATTATTATTATTATTATTATTATTATTATTATTATTATTATTAATTAAATTTATTTGCCGTCCACTTCGTTGCAAAGCGAGTCTGGGCAACTCACAGACTGATGGCGATCATGTGACCTTGAGGGGGGGCCCACAACTCACATCACTTCCATGATGGTCCTGTGATCAAAATTTGGCCGCGTGACTCGTATTTACGACGGTCCCCAGGGTCCCGCGATCCCCTTCCGACAAAAGTGATGGGTCAGCCTGATTCACTTAAGAACCGGATTGCCCACTTCGCAACGGCGGCGAAAAAGATCGTATAATGGAGCCGAACTCTCTTAAGCCCCGTCTTGCTTAGCGACAGAAATTGTGGTCATAAGTCGAGGATGATCTGTATAACATTAGGCCCGGCATTGCACCCGGGACAAACGTCAACTGCCAGTCCAAATCTGGAAAACGGGGGCATTGTCGTCTTCTCTGTTTTGGAAAACAAAACATTTTTCAGTTTGGGAGTTCTAGTATTTCTTGAGCGCGCCTAGTATCTCTCGCCGGCGCCTAGTTGGGAAAAATGTAACTGAGCAGATTGCTGGGTGAGTGGGCTCAGGGATCTCCTAATAAGCTCTTGATGCTGGTGTCTTCCCCAGGTCCTCTGGGGAGCACCCTCAGCGCCCACTACGGGGCGCGCCCGGTTGTGATGGCCGGTGGTTTTCTGTCCAGCGTGGGGCTGTTCCTGGCGTCCTTCTCCACCAGCCTGGTCCACCTTCACCTCACTGTCGGTCTTCTCACAGGTAGTTGTGGTTGTGAACATCTCCCCTCTCCCGCCCCCCGATCATTCAAAAGGGGCACAGGAAAAGCGAGAATCCCTTTGTCAACACACCGAGGTTCCAAAGGTGGCCTCTCAGAGCATGTCCAGAGTGCTTTCCCCAGTGTTGGGATTCAGCCGGTTCGCGTTGTTAAATTGCTGGCGGGCCCCACCCCTTCCAGGAGTCGTTCCCCCCCCCGTGGCCCGTTTTTGCTCCCAGGTAAGTGCAGGGAGGCCTATTAGGCCTAAAACGGGGCATCGGGGGGGGCGGAACTCCTGGAAGGGGCGGGGCCAGCCAGCATATTTAACAACTGGTTCACGCGAACCGGCTGAATCCCATTTTTGCTCCCAGGAGGCTGCAGGGAGGCCTACTAGGCCCAAAATGTGGCATGGGGGGGGCATTGCACCCCCCTGCCTGTTTTTGCTCCCGGGGGTGGTACGAGAGGCCGACGGCTGCTTGTCACACCCTCTGACCACACCCACCATGGCCACGCCCACCCAACCCGTCATTAGGGCAGAGAACCGGTTGTTAAATTATTTGAATCCCACACTGGCTTTTCCCCTTGCTGCTGTTAAATTCTTGGGAAGGGGCGGGGGGGTGTCTCTCAATCCAGCTAGAAACAAACCAGCCGATCAAAATTTAAGGAAGTTGGAGGTCGAAATCTTCCGGGAAGCCAAGATGGGGCAGTTGGGGTTGGAGAAGATCAACCTGAGTTTAAGATAGCTGACCTTAAGATAGGCCACATCGCTGTGTCAACAAGTGTACTTAATTCACTGAATACTTCACTTAATAGTAATTGTGTCCAGAAAGTCGTAAAAGGGGGCAAAACTTCACAACCAGCAATAAGGATCTGGGGCTCAAATGTGGTCGTACGTCGAGGACGACCTGCGTGGAAACCACCATCTCCATAAAGTTGGACCTCAGGTTTCCAGAATGCCTCGGTCAGCTTCTCGTAGGCTGATGTTCTTCCCGTGTTAGAGACCCCGTAGTTCAACATCTTCTAGATTGCAACCTCACGGCGCCTGGTGCCTGGGATCGGATCGACCAGGACGGGTGGGATGAGGGGGTTCCTGTGGGTCTGATCGAACTGGGGGACCTCGCTGAGTCTGACCGTGGTCTTTCCTCCCCCCCTCTTTCCTCTCTCCCATTGGAGGTAGGTCTAGGTTGGGCTCTGGTCTTCACACCTTCGGTGGCCGCCGTGTCCCACTACTTCGAGAAACGACGGACCCTGGCCATGGGTCTGGCCGTCTCGGGGGCCGGCGTCTCCTCGCTGGCCTTCTGCCCGTTCTTCCAGTACCTGGTGGACTTGTACGGATGGCGGGGAGCTCTCCAGATCGTGGCAGCGATGTCTCTGAACCTGGTGGCATCCGGCGCGGTGTTGCGCCCGTTGGCGGTAGAGGACGCTCAACCCAACGGCGAAAAGGACAGGGACGTCCATCAGGAGCCGAGGACCCTTGCCTCCTCCTTCTCCCTGGAGCTGCTCCACCACGGACCCTTCCTGCGTTACGTCTTGGTTTTCGTCCTGGTGGACATGGGGTACTTCGTGCCCTACGCGCACCTGGTAGCTTACGCGAGGGACGTGGGCTGTGGAGAGTATGATGCCGCTTCCATCATGTCGGTCGCCGCCGTGGCAGACATGGTGGGTCGCGTCTTCGCCGGGTGGTTGGCGGATGCCCGGGTCTTCTCGCGTTCGGTCCACGACCTGACTCTCTGGATGGCCTTGACGGGCATCTGCCTGGCCCTGGTGCCCCTCGGACACAGCTTGGAGACCCTGATGCCCCTCGGCCTCTGCTACGGTTTTTTCGCCGGTGCTTTGGTCCCGCTGCAGTTCACTAGCCTGGTGGAGATCGTGGGTGCCCGCTACGTGATGGCGGGCATCGGGTACATGCATATGCTGGAGAGCACGGGGGCCCTGGTGGGCACCCCTATTTCAGGTAAAAAAAATGGGGGGTACCCCTCCTTTGTGAGAAGATCCTCTGGAGTTTTGCGTTAAACGTTTGCGTTCAAACCATCGCGGGACATTCGCTCAACAACCGCCACACACACACAAAAAATGTCACGATACAGGTACTCCTCGACTTAAAACCATTCGCTTAGTGACTGTTCAAGGTTGCAACAGTACCAAAAGAAGCGACTTACGACCGCGTCTCGCATTTACAACCGTTGCAACATCCCCACGGTCAAAATTCAGACGCTTGCCAACAGACTCCTATTTATGACGGGTTGTAGCGTCCCGAGTGGGGAGGTCACATAATCCCCCCCCCTCCTTTTGCGACCTTCTGACAAGCCAAGTCCACGGGGAAACCCGATCTCCTTTACAACGGTGTGACTCACTTCACAAGTGCAGTGATTCACTTAACAACTGGGGCAAGAAAAGTGGTTAAATTCCCTTAAGAAATGCCTCGCTTAGCGGTAGAAACGTTCCATTGTGGTCGTAGGCCGAGGACTACCTGTACTAATTGAATTCAACCATAGAGTAACATGTGTTGCAGAGAGACCTCCTTTGATCAGTGGTTGACGATTTGAGGGGTGGGGGGGAGTCCCGGGGAAAAGTCCGGTTACGCAACATCCTGAGAGCGAACCCCCGTTTTTTGCATTGCAGGCTGGCTGAGGGACATCACGGGGAACTTCACCGCGTCCTTCATCTGCGCCGGAGTTGTCCTCTTGGCTGCCAGCCTACTTCTTCTCACCTTGCCCGACTACTTCTCCTGTTCAAGGGCACCCAAAGCCCATCTGCCTGGCCCGGCCAAGCCCCATGGTCCAAAGAGCCTGGAATCCAGAGGGGTACCCCAACGAAGCAGGGAGCTTTACCGGATAGAAACTGGCTAGTTCACCCCGACGATCAAATAGAAGTGAAGCCTTCTCCGCAAATCTTCGTACGTCCTGCAGGTCAGGAGAAGAAGCACTGATGATGTTACCTCAATGGGTTATGAAATGTCCACAAGGAAACCACCAAGCTCAGAGAGCTCCAGGGACTGCACAGTTCTTTTTCTTCTCCTCCTCCTCCTCCTCCTCCTCCTCCTCCTCCTCCTCCTCCTCCTCCTCCCCCTCCTCTTCCTCCTGCTCCTTCTCTCCCCCCTACAAACTCCGCTTCCTTCCTTCCAAGTTCGGAGAACACCAAGAACCCTATAGTCTTCCTCCTCCTTTTCCTCCTCCTCCTTCTCCTCTCCCCCGCTTCTAGCACTGATGACACTCCCTAGTTGGGCCACGAAACGTCCGTTCCTTGAATTTGTTAATTTTATTCGTCGGTTTTCTATTCAAGCTAAGAACCGTTGGTGGGGGGGGGGGGAAATGGGAATTTGTAGACTATGCATGCCTTCTTTTGCTCCTCGACATATTTATTTATTTACACATATTTTTTAAAAAACTCTCAACTCCTATCCACTCTGGAATTTCTGGCAGGAGACAGATTTAGCAAATAAATTACCAACTTGGTTTTTTTTTATTTTGGTCACGGTTAACTGGTGTGTGGAGATTAGTTTTAACGTCAATAGTTGTATTCTTTTTTTCGAAGGAAAAAAAAATCCCACACCTTAGCCAAAGCTTTCTTTTTTTTTTTAAATAGTTTTTATTGAATATAAATATTAAAAAAGACATACATAATATATACACAACAAACATTTATACAACATATACACAAAAAGAGTGTAATTTCTTCTTAAGCATTTTTTCAGAGTGACGTTCTACAATTCTACTTATGATATATTCCTTCACCTCTCCTTAATCTAATAACATTTTTTATTATATATATATATTTAAATCGGTACTATTTCCCCTATATTTTTTGTATATTTCTAATTTTTAACCAATTATACCAATTATTCCATATTTTATAATAGTCTGATTCTTCTTTTTCTTGTAATTCTTTGGTTAACCTATCCATTTCAGCACATTCTAAAATTTTCCCTATTCCTTCTGTTTCACTTGGTATTTTTTCTTGTTTCCAATTTCTTGCGTAGGTTATTCTTGCAGCAGTTAATATGTGAATTGTAAGATATTTGATATCCTTAGGGTATGATTTGTTAAATATTCCTAATAAAAATGTTTCTGAAAAACGCTACGTCAAACTTTGATCTGACCTCACATCCCCAACATACCGGATTTAAAATAAGGGATTCGAATTTAAAATAGGAACGAATGTAGCTAGACTACCTTCCTCGATTTTTTTTTTTGATAGGGTACCGTAACTTTCTTAATAGACGGTGGGAATGCAGTCGATGTAATATACCTTGAATTCAGCAAAGTGGGGAAAAAAAAAATAACCCACGACAATTTACTCAAATATGTTAACTAACTAGTTAAATATGAACTAGATGGTATACCAAGTGAACCAGAAGTAATAGGGAACATTTTAGAATGCGCTGAAATGGATAGGTTAACCAAAGAATTACAAGAAAAAGAAGAATCAGACTATTATAAAATATGGAATAATTGGTATAATTGGTTAAAAATTAGAAATATACAAAAAATATAGGGGATATATTACTGATTGATACATATATATGTAATAAAAATATTATTAGATTACAGAAAGGTGAAGGAATATATTATAAGTAGAAGTGTAGAACGTCACTCTGAAAAAATGCTTAAGAAGAAATTATATTCTTTTTGTGTATATGTTGTATAAATGTTAGTTGTGTATATGTTACGTATGTCTTTTTTAATATTTATATTCAATAAAAACTATTAAAAAAAATGTTTCTGGTTCTTTTTCAATCTGTGTTTTTGTTATTTGTTCCAACCATTTTTTGATGTTAGACCAAAATTTCTTTGCTGCCGGGCACGTCCACCATAAATGATAGAAAGTCCCTTGTGCCTTTTTGCACTTCCAACAAATTGGGCTATTTTTAGGTTGTATTTTTGCCAATCTGGTTGGAGACATATGCCACCGATAAAACATTTTCAGTTGGTTTTTTTATTTTGGTCACGGTTAACTGGTGTGTGGAGATAAGTTTTAACGTCAATAGTTGTATTCTTTTTTTCGAAGGAAAAAAAAAATCCCACACCTTAGCCAAAGCTTTCTTTATAGTTACAGTTTATTTATTTTTTTCTAAAGGATAATTTCACTACTGATTTTTAGAGTTGTTCCAAAGCTGATCAAGAAGACGAAAGAAACAGTATTTTTATTGGACATTCTACCGGAAAAAATATGATATATCTGGTCTTGCATTGATTAAAAGCAACTCGAATTGTTATTTGCACAGCAATGGAAAAATGATGAGATTCCATCTGAGGGGAAACGTAATTAAGAAAATATTAAGAATGCGCAGAAATGGATAGATTAACGCTCACTATGAAGGATAAAGAAGAAACGGAATATTTTTTGATATGGGATATATTCTATCGATGGCTAGACAATTGAAAAAGAAGTGAGAAAGGAGGAGATATAAAAAGAGGAAATGTTAATGTGGAGAATCGTTAAGGAAGAGGGTGTTAAGTATTATTGTTATTATATTATTAATAATATTATGGCGATGAATACTACAACGAATATGTGGACTATCATTGCTTAAAAATTAACTGTGCCCAGATCACACACTGTTTGATGGAAATTGAATGTTATATAAATAAAATTAAAAAAAAAACATTAAAAAAGAAGAAGATGATGAAAGACAGAAAAACAGCAACTTCAGGAGAATAATGGACTCAAATTTTATTTTAAAATATATGGGTCGAGTGATTTTAAACAGCTCTCTGTAAAGGGACATCCGAAGTAATTGGCTCATGAGTGTGCAAAAGTGTAAAAGTGTGCAAAGCTGCACACCGCAGCATGTTCTGCCTTTGGGGGGGGTCAAGCACGGAGACCTTCATTTTACAAAAATACCCCCCAAATATTAGTATTTTTTTACCCCAAGTTAGAGAAGAAGAACGCCAGGAGAGGCATTTGGGAGCCCCACCCACAAATATAGGTCGTCCTCGAATTACGACCACAATGCAGTCCCAAATTTTGGCTGCTGAGCGAGACCGTCGTTAAGTGGGTTTTGTCCCATTTTATGACCTTTCTGGCCACCGTTGTTAAGTGAATCACTGCAGTTCTTAAGCGAGTCACACGGTTCTTAAGCGAATCCGGCTTTCCCCTGTTGACTTTGCTCATCGGAAGGTCGCAACCCCCTGCCCCCGGATGCTGCCACCGTCACAAATACAAGTCACGTCTTTCAATACTGTCGCGAGCTTGAACAGTCACTAAGTGAATCAGTAACATGGTTGTTAAGTGGATCTGGCTTCCCCCCATTGACTTGTCAAAAGGTCACAAAAGGGGATTGCAGGACCCCGGGACGCTGTGACCGTCATAAATACGAGTCCATTGCCGAGTGTCTGAATTTGGATCACGTGACTCTGGGGATACTGCAGCGGTCGTAAGTGTGAAAAACGGTCATAAGTTGATTTTTTCAGTGAGGTTGTAACTTTGAACGGTCGCTAAGCGGATGATTGTAAGTCGAGGACTACCTGTGTAGCTCAACATCACCCCCTGATGCCTCTCCTAAGAATGACATCATTGCAAAGATGATGAGTATTGAACGTACAAGGGTTCCTTGACTTATGACGCATTGCTTAGTGACCGTTTGAAATTACGGCCGACCTTCCTGGGAGGGGGTACTTGAGACCCAGTTCTGAAATTCCGGCGGATGTCCCACCCACCCCACAGTCACATGACTGCATTTTGGGGACTCAGGACATTTACAGACATTTGCAGTGTCCCATTGGTTCACTTAATGACGGCCTTATTTGATAACATGCACTGTTAAAAAAAGGGTGAAAATATAGTTAGTCCTCAACTTATGTCCATTTGAAACCTTCCCGCTTGGCTTCCGACGAGGAAAATTCAGGGGGGGAAGCCAGATTCGCTTAATGATGGTGTGACTTGTTTAACGACTTCACAGCGATTGGCTGGCAAAAAAAAAAAAGCCATTAAACCGGGCGGGACTCGCTTAACGACTGCCTTGCTTAGCCATGGAAATTCTGCTGCCCATTGTGGTCGTAAGCCGAGGACTACCCCTATCAGTGGGTGACCTGATTTACAACCGTCGTGACTTACGACCGTGATGGGCAGGCCCCATGACGGTCGTACGTTCGAGGACTACACACCTATATGATCCAACAGTTTCTAGGTCATCCCACAAACTCGGGAGCTCCCTGTGGCCAAAATTTAATTTTTGTGGACGTAGCAACAGGCACCCGTGTCCCCTTTCAACGTCGGACACTAGAGAAGGCACCAGAGATGGTCTTCAAGGCAGTGGATGATGGGTTTGATGCATTGGAGAAGGGGACAGGAATCCGGGGTCCCATAAGTAGGTTAGATTCCCACTCCCATCATCCTGGTCGGGTGATGGGCATTGCTGGACGACCCCAGATAGAGGAATGTGGGGTGTCTTTCATATTTCCAAATGCCTCCTGGGCGGCATGGGGCAGGGAGTCTTCGGATGCCCCACAATGCTGGGCATCTCGTCTTGCTGGGCGCCGCGGCACCCGGACGAAGGCGAGGGAAGGGCCAGGAAAACCAGGCTGGCACAGAGGACAAAGGCACCCCCGACCAGGAACGAAGCAGTAAAGTCTCCTGTTTGGTCCCGCAGGAAGCCTGGAAAGAAAAGAAGAGACAAGAGAGGCATAAACCATCATTGGTGGCTTAATCACGGCTTGTCAGATAAACCCTTAATCTGGCTGAAAATGGAGGCTTGGGTTCACTGTTTGCAAGATTCCCAGGCTGAGCTAGAAAGCAGCTGGGATTTAGTCATGTTTCTCAAACTTGGCCATTCAAGACGGGGACTTCAACTCCCAGAATTCCCCAGCCAACATGCTTTAAGATGGGTGTACTTCAACTCCCAGAATTCCCCAGCCAACATGCTTTAAGATGCGTGGACTTCAATTCCCAGAATTCCCCAGCCAACATGCTTTAAGATGGGTGGACTTCAACTCCCATAATTCCCCAGCCAACATGCTTTAAATGTCTGGACTTCAACTCCCAGAATTCCCCAGCCAACATGCTTTAAGATGCGTGGACTTCAATTCCCAGAATTCCCCAGCCAACATGCTTTAAGATGTCTGGACTTCAACTCCCAGAATTCCCCAGCCAACATGCTTTAAGATGTCTGGACTTCAACTCCCAGAATTCCCCAGCCAGCCTGTTTTAAGATGGGTGGACTTCAACTCCCAGAATTCCCCAGCCAGCCTGCTTTAAGATGGGTGGACTTCAACTCCCAGAATTCCCCAGCCAGCCTGCTTTAAGATGGGTGGACTTCAACTCCCAGAATTCCCCAGCCAACATGCTTTAAGATGTCTGGACTTCAACTCCCAGAATTCCCCAGCCAGCCTGCTTTAAGATGGGTGGACTTCAACTCCCAGAATTCCCCAGCCAACATGCTTTAAGATGGGTGGACTTCAACTCCCATAATTCCCCAGCCAACATGCTTTAAGATGTCTGGACTTCAACTCCCAGAATCCCCCAGCCAACATGCTTTAAGATGTCTGGACTTCAACTCCCAGAATTCCCCAGCCAGCCTGCTTTAAGATGGGTGGACTTCAACTCCCAGAATTCCCCAGCCAGCCTGCTTTAAGATGGGTGGACTTCAACTCCCAGAATTCCCCAGCCAACATGCTTTAAGATGTCTGGACTTCAACTCCCAGAATTCCCCAGCCAGCCTGCTTTAAGATGGGTGGACTTCAACTCCCAGAATTCCCCAGCCAACATGCTTTAAGATGGGTGGACTTTAACTCCCATAATTCCCCAGCCAACATGCTTTAAATGTCTGGACTTTAACTCCCATAATTCCCCAGCCAACATGCTTTAAGATGTCTGGACTTCAACTCCCAGAATTCCCCAGCCAACATGCTTTAAGATGGCTGGACTTCAACTCCCAGAATTCCCCAGCCAACATGCTTTAAGATGTCTGGACTTCAACTCCCAGAATTCCCCAGCCAACATGCTTTAAGATGCGTGGACTTCAATTCCCAGAATTCTCCAGCCAACATGCTTTAAGATGCGTGGACTTCAATTCCCAGAATTCCCCAGCCAACATGCTTTAAGATGCGTGGACTTCAATTCCCAGAATTCTCTAGCCAACATGCTTTAAGATGCGTGGACTTCAATTCCCAGAATTCCCCAGCCAACATGCTTTAAATGTCTGGACTTTAACTCCCATAATTCCCCAGCCAACATGCTTTAAGATGGGTGGACTTCAACTCCCAGAATTCCCCAGCCAACATGCTTTAAGATGTCTGGACTTCAACTCCCAGAATTCCCCAGCCAACATGCTTTAAGATGTCTGGACTTCAACTCCCAGAATTCCCCAGCCAACATGCTTTAAGATGTCTGGACTTCAACTCCCAGAATTCCCCAGCCAACATGCTTTAAGATGTCTGGACTTCAATTCCCAGAATCCCCCAGCCAGCCTGCTTTAAGATGGGTGGACTTCAACTCCCATAATTCCCCAGCCAACATGCTTTAAATGTCTGGACTTTAACTCCCATAATTCCCCAGCCAACATGCTTTAAGATGGGTGGACTTCAACTCCCAGAATCCCCCAGCCAACATGCTTTAAGATGGGTGGACTTCAACTCCCAGAATCCCCCAGCCAACATGCTTTAAGATGGGTGGACTTCAACTCCCAGAATCCCCCAGCCAACATGCTTTAAGATGGGTGGACTTCAACTCCCAGAATTCCCCAGCCAACCTGCTTTAAGATGTCTGGACTTCAACTCCCAGAATTCCCCAGCCAACATGCTTTAAGATGGGTGGACTTCAACTCCCATAATTCCCCAGCCAACATGCTTTAAATGTCTGGACTTTAACTCCCATAATTCCCCAGCCAACATGCTTTAAGATGTCTGGACTTCAACTCCCATAATTCCCCAGCCAGCAAAGGTTTACCAGAATTCAGCCATGGATAGGATGAGAAAAAAAATTCACATGGTTTTTGATTGAGTAACTTTCTTAGTAGATAGTGGGAATGCGGTCGAGCAGATGTAATATATCTTGAATTCAGCAAAGGGGAAAAAACTACCCCACGACAAGCAAAAATGAATAAACCAGTTGGGAGGGAGGGGTGTTAGAGGGTAGGACAATTAAATGGGAAATTGATGTGCTGTCCGGGGCATTCTGGGAGTTGTAGTCCGCCTGTCTTAAAGGGGCCAGGTTTGCGAAATTTTAAGTAAACACGGAAGCCATCTTGCCCAGAACAACATCGGGACTCTGCTCCCCAACGGTGAACCATACAAGCACCTCACACTAATCCTTTCCTCCTTACCTGAGAGAGGGGGTCCCAGCAGCCCCCCGACGCTCATCGACATCATGCACAGCCCCGTGGCGTTCACGACGCGGCTGATGCCCACCAGCTCGGGCAAAACCGCAAAGGCCACCGTCGCGAAGCTTCCTGCGCTGGCACCGTAGAGGACAGCTAAGAGGAGCAGGCTGGCATAGGAGGAGGCGGCCGGGAAGAAGAGGAGGGTGGCTCCCACCAAGGAATTGAAGGCCACCAGTAGGTAGACGGGGGGCAGGAGACGCCGGTCGGCCACGCAGCCGGTTAGCAGCCGGGCTACGGCGTCGGCTAAGGCGGCTAGCGAGACCACGAAGGCTGCGCTGTACGGTTCTATGCCCAGCGCCCGTCCGTAAGCGTCCAGGTGCACGTACGGGGTGAAGTACCCAGCGGCCAGGAGGGCAGTGCCCAGGGCGAACGCCCCAAAGCCTCTCTGGGCCAAGAGGCCCACATCAAAGATGGAGGTCAACTTAGGGGGGTCTCCCCGCAGGGCCAGGGGCCGAAGGAGGGCCCCGCCGGGCAACAGGTGGAGGGTCAGGGCAGAGGTGGCCAGCAAGGTGCCTCGCCAGGCGAGATGGTCGGCCACCAGGCGCAGGAGGGGAGAGAGGGCAAAAGAGGTCAGGCCGTTCCCGGTCAAAGCCAGACCCATGGCCAGCGACCTTCGGGTGGAGAAGTAGCGTGAGAGAGTCCCCATGGTGGGGGCGAACGCCAACGCCCAGCCCAACCCTGCAGGCGGACAGAAAGAAGGAAAGGGAAGTTTTCCCCGTAAGGATTTTGTTCCACGGTATTTATTTTTATCTTGATTGATTCATTTATATCCCATCTTTATAACTCGAGGCTCCCTCCTCCTATTTTCCCAACAACAATCCTGTGAGGTAGGCCGGGCTGAGAGAGGGACTGGCTCAAAGTCACTCAGTCTGCTTTCACGGATAAAGCGGGACTAGAACTCACCGTCTCCTGGTGATTGGCCCTAAGTCATTTGGCTGGCTTTCGTGCCTAAGGCAGGACTAGAACTCACCGTCTCCTGGTGATTGGCCCTAAGTCACCCAGCTGGCTTTCGTGGCTAAGGCGGAACTATAATTCACTGTCTCCTGGTGATTGGGTGAAAGTCATCCAGATGGCTTTCGTGCCTAAGGCAGGACTAGAACTCACGTCTCCTGGTGATTGGCCCAAACTCACCCAGCTGGCTTTCGTGGCTAAGGCGGAACTATAATTCACTGTCTCCTGGTGATTGGGTGAAAGTCATCCAGATGGCTTTCGTGCCTAAGGCAGGACTAGAACTCACCGTCTCCTGGTGATTGGCCCAAAGTCACCCAACTGGCTTTCGTGGCTAAGGCAGGACTAGAACTCACTGTCCCCTGGTGATTGGGCAAAAGTCACCCAGCTGATTTCCAAACTTAGGGCGGGACTAGAACTCACCGTCTCCTGGTGATTGGCCCAAAGTCAACCTGCTGGTTTTTGTATCTAAGGCGGAACTAGAACTCACTGTCACCTGGTGATTGGCCCTAAGTCACTCTTGTATGTCTACGGTGCAACTAGAATTCACAATCTCTAATTTTTTAGCGGCGCCTCTTAACCACAAGACCAAAGTAGCTCTAGATGCAAAACTTTCAGGCAGGTGTCTCTGCAGGGAGAGGTCAAAAGAGTCAAGATGGCCACCAAGGGAAGCATCTGGCATCAAAAGGGGTGGAGCTTCAACTAGGCGCTGGCAGCCATTTTGACCAAATCTGGGTGCAGATTGATGCACTCCGGAAAGCAGGTTCTGCCCGACTCACCTGTCAGGAATCCCAGGCTCAGGTATAACTGGAATAAGGAGGTGCTGAAGGACGCCCCAAAGATGCCCAACGAAGACAGTAGCCCACCCAGCATGACTACCGGACGCGCTCCGTAGCGGGTACTTGCTGCTGTGCCCAGGGGACCTGTCCAGGAAGAGACAGAGAGGGGGTTTGGGGGTGGGGGGTGGGGTTGGAAAAGAATAGCCGGTTGTTAAACGAGTCGCCCCTCGTTTTACCACCTTTGGTCTCCACCGTCGTTAAGCGAATCATGCGGTCGTTAAGCGAAGCCGGATGACACCATTGATTTTGCTTGTCGAAAGACTCCTGGGGAGGTCGCAAATGGGGGGAATCCCACCACCGAACGCCTGAATTTTTATCACTCGCCCTTGGAGATGCTGCGACGGGCGTAAGTCTGAGGACTGGTCGTAAGTCAGTGTCGTAAGTTTGAGTGGTCGCTAAGTGAATGGCCGTAATTCTATATTGTCCTTTTGAAGGCATCGCTCTCCCACTCAAAAGTTAAGTTAGGTGAGGATTGAAAAGTAGGGTCCCGGGTGCGAAAATCACCCCCCGGCTGAATGTAGCAGGGCCTTCTTGGGGTTGGCCCCCTTCGGGGGGGGGGAAACTTACTTGCAAACTGTTGGGTTGCCAAGGCGATGGCCGTCACCCAGGACACCTGGGCCGTGGTGGCCTGGAAAGCCCCCACCAGGTCTTCAAAGAGGACGCCGAGGGATCGCAGAATGCCAAAAGTGAGCGAGTTGGCCAGGAACCCTGCGAGGACTACCAGCCAGCCCCAGCCTCCATCTGGGGGGTCTTCCGGGGGCAGCATCTCCAGCCAGGGGTGGGGTCTTCAAGAGGGAACCTTGCAGAGAAGGGGGGTCCACTCACTCCACACCTTGTCCTGGAGAGGAAAATAAAAGCATCTCTAGGTTTTTGCAAATGAACAAAATCTGGATCGGTGCAATACTAAGCCTGGCCTGCGGGTGGCAGGAGCAGACTTCCATCAACCATGGGGAACTTATAAGTTTCTTGTTATGGGGAACATGAGTTTTTGTGTATATTCTGAGCGGGAGATTGTGAATTGCTGGGTTCTGCAGACCCCAAAGCGAAGGTGGAAGAGGGATTTTATGGGTTGTTACATTCTAGACAGGCAGTCCTCCACGTACGACGATTCATTTAGTGGCCAAAGTTACAACGGCACTGGAAAAAAAGTGATTTACAATCGTTTTTCATATTTACGACCATTGCTGCATCCCCGCGGTCACATGAGCTTGGCAACTGGTTCACATTTACGACGGGCGCAGTGTCCTGGGGTCACACGATCCCCTTTGCGACCATCTGATGAGCAAAGTCAGTGAGGAAGCCGGTTTCGCTTAAGAACCGTGTGACTATGCTTAACAAAGGGATTCGCTTAACAATGATGGCAAGAAAGGTCGCACAATGGGGCAAAGCTCCTTTAACCAGTGTCTCGCTTAGCGTCAGGAATGTGGGCCTCCATTGTGGTCGTAAATCGAGGAGTATTTGTCGTCAGCCTGCCACCTCTCCACCTCTCCATTCCCTCCCCTTTCAAGAAGAGATTGGAGTGCCGTCGGTCAGAAATGGTTTGGGCCGTGATGGCGAACCTATGGCACATGTGCCACAGGTGGCATGTGTAGCCATATTGGTCCCACCGGAAGTTGGCAAATGGGCCGTTTTTGGACTCCGGAGGGCCTCTGGGGGAATGAGGAAGGCCGTTTTCACCCTCCCCAGACTCCTAGAAAGACTCCGGAGCCTGAGGACAGCAAAAAACGGGCCTTTCGGTCCTACTGGAAGTTGGCAAATGGGCCATTTCCGGCCTCTGGAGGGCCTCTGGATGGGGGGGGAGGCCGTTTTCACCCTCCCCAGACTCCCAGAGAGACTCTGGAGGCTGGGGATAGCAAAAAGCGGTCCCACCGGAAGTTGGCAAATAGGCTGTTTCCAGCCTCCAGAGGGCCTCTGGGTGTGTGTGGGGAAAGCCGTTTTCACCCTCCCCAGACTCCTAGAGAGGCTCCGGAGACTGGGGATAGCAAAAAGCGGGCCTTCCGGTCCCACTGGAAGTTGGCAAATGGGCTGTTTCCGGCCTCCGGAGTGCCTCTGGTGGGGTGGGGAGGCCATTTTTGCCCTCCCCAGACTCCTAGAGAGGCTCCGGAGACTGGGGATAGCAAAAAATGGGCCTTCCAGTCCCACCGGAAGTTGGCAAATGGGCTGTTTCCGGCCTCCGGAGTGCCTCTGGTGGAGTGGGGAGGCCATTTTTGCCCTCCCCAGACTCCTAGAGAGGCTCCAGAGACTGGGGATAGCAAAAAATGGGCCTTCCAGTCCCACCGGAAGTTGGCAAATGGGCTGTTTCCGGCCTCCGGAGTGCCTCTGGGTGGTGGTGGGAAAAGCTGTTTTCACCCTCCCCAGACTCCTAGAGAGGCTCTGGAGGCTGGGGATAGCAAAAAGCGGGCCTTCCGGTCCCACCGGAAGTTGGCAAATGGGCCGTTTTCGCCCTCCCCAGACTCCTAGAAAGGCTCTGGAGCCTGGGGAGAGAGAAAAACGGGCCTACTGGGCCATCGCGTGCCAGGATCGGGGGGAGCGTGGGGGGGTACGCAAATGCGCAGGGGTGGGGTGCATAGAATTATAGATGTGGGCATGCTCCTGGCACGCGATGGCAAAAAGGTCACCGGGGTAGGGTCTCCTGCTTGGGCGGGGGGGGTTGGACTAGATGACCGACAAGGTCCCTTCCAACTCTGTTAATCTCATCTCATCTAATCTAATCCCCCCTCCTTGGAAAACAGACCTGGTCCAATTTAAATAATCAAGTTGGCCAACCGAAGGATTACAATAAACCGAGAAGGAAAGAGGAGAAGTTGGAACTGGTTGGATTGGTTTTTTTGGGGGGTGGGGTCAGCGGGAGGGGGCTGAGCTGTAACCCCATCCGTCTGGGAAATGGACTTTTATTTATTCATTTTTTTTGCAAGATGGCAAATTTTAATATTAAAATGGTGGGTTTGCCCGGAATTAAGATTTATGCTGCTGTTGTTTTTTTTTACCTGGGATCGCAGGTGAGAAAGTGGGCGGGTGGGGAGGGGGCTGCAAAACAGGGAGGAGGGTGGGGAGAGAAGGGGTTTGGGGGGCAAATGGAGACCCAAGAAACCCCCCCACCCCGTAGACTGAAGGGGGCACCCTCTATGTCTATGGGGAGGGGGGGATTGGTACCTGGTCAAGACCGCAAGTCCCCAAAGCAGGTAGGGGAGCCGTGGGGTGGTGCAATTCAGCCCCTTTGGGGAGGGGGGGGGTCTCAGGTTACCTGTTCCTTCCCCCTCCCATCCCAATGAAGGTGTGAGAACTGAGACAACAGGACGAGCAAAAAACCGGCTGCAAGAAATAAGAGGAAGGTGTAACATCTTTGGGGAACCAAGGTGTGGGTCAAATTCCTTCCCCCCTTCCTCATTCCCTGACAAACCCCCCTCCCCAATTCTTTACCTGCAGCAGCCGAAGGTAGAAACGCACCTTTAAGCAGGTGAGGCTTTCTTTGCCAGGAACCCGGGGTGAAGGGGGGGGAGATGTCTGCGCTTTCGGGCACCCGCAAAGGGGCAGCTTTGGTGCTCCTGGAAAAAGCTAGAATGGTGAAGGATGGCTCTTCCCCCAAGGAGGGAGGGAGGGAGGGGCTGCCCCCCCTGTCCCCCCCCCCGAGGATTACCAGAGGTGGCTTAGAGGTGGAGCTCTGGCCTCACAATCAAGAGGCTGTGAGTTTGATCCTAGGGAAGAGCCAGGTATTTCTCTTTCTGGGCAAACTGAGAATATATCTGCTGAACAAAACTCCTCATCGGAGACAGGAAAGGCATCTGGCCATTCAAACACTCTGCTAGCTCCATTCAGTTGCCCAGACTCCACCCGGCAAGGGATTATGGGGTCGTTAAAAGGAGATGGTGACAGGGAGGGCCTGGGTGGCGCCTGCTGGCCCAGAGAAGGCCAGGCAGGGTAGGGCAGTGCCACCTGTTCGTGGCTGCAACCCCGAACTTCACACTACGGTTTTGTGGCTCCCGGTGACATCCATTCGGTCACTTCCAAGGTTGAACTGGAATATTCCGAAGATATTCCAGATGCGCGACAGTAAAGATGAGAGTTCTGTTGAGCATGTGCAGAGCGCAAAGCAAATAGGACCGGGGAAAAGCTGGGTTGTTGCCAGCGTGCGCTTCAAAGGAGGCCGTGCCACCGTTTTGCAGGTGCTCCTTGACTTACGACGATTCATTTAGTGACCGTTTGAATTTGGAATTGAGTTTATGTATTTATGACCATTGCAGTGTCCTGTGATTCCCGTTTTGCGACCTTCTGACATGCAAAGTCCGTGGGAAACCCAGATTCGCTTAACAACCCTGTTGCTAAATTAACAACGTAAGTGATTTGCTGAACGGTGGCAGGGAAAGTCATAAAATAGGGTAACTTAACAAACATCTCGCTTAACAACAGACATTTTGGGCTAAATTGTGGTCATACATCAAGGACCCCTTGTATTTTCTGGTGTGTGCAGTTCTGCAGGATTCAACTATTTATTCATTGATTGCTTTATTAAATTTATACAGTAGTCCTCCACTTACGACCGCAATTGAGCCTAACATTTCTGTTGTTAAGCGAGACCTTTGTTAAGTGAATTTCGGCCCCATTTTACGACCTTTCTTGCCACAGTTAAGTGAACCTCTGCAGTTAGTACTAAGTTAGTAACTCGGTTGTTAAGTGAATCCAGCTTTCCCTACGGAGCTTCCTTGTCGGAAGGTCGCAAAAGGGGATCATGTGACTCCGGGACACAGCAACGTTCATAAATCCGAGTCAGTTGCCAAGCAAATGAACGGTCGTAAATCCGAGTCAGTTGCCAAGCCTACACATTTGTGGTGTCCCGCGGTCACATTTTATAAAGTTTTTGCTAAAACCCACCATTTACTTCCAATAAACAATTAACCGCCCAGAATGAACCATCGGTTCGCTTAACGACGGTGCTGCTCACTTTACGCCCGTTGCGTTCACTTAACGACGGTCGTAAAGTTGGATCGGTCACGTGGGTGACCCGCTTTACAACCGCCGTGACTTAGCACCGTCATGGACAGGCTCCGTGACGGTTGTAAGTCGAGGAGTAACCTGTACTATGACCAAAAAAACCTGGTTTCCCACACGGGGGGTTTGATCCCTCAACCTCTGGAACTTTAAGGCACATGGACTTCAACTCCCAGAATTCCCCAGCCAGCATGTTAAGGAATATCTGTTGTTGTGGTCACGCCATCCAGCGGATCCAGCTGTGGCATCATCAAGTGCCCATATTCCGCCATTTTATTAAGAAGAATCTATCCTGAGACACTCTAGTTCAGGGCTGTCGAAATCAAGGCCCGCGGGTCAGATCCGGCTCGCGATGTGGTCGGATCCGGGCCCGCGGGGGCCGTCCTGGTGTACTGAATGCGAAGAGGAAAGATCAGGCCTGCGTCAGGGGCGGGATTCAGCCGGATGCGAATTTTACATCCGGTTCGCCGAACCGGTAGTTGCAAGGACTGACTGGGCCCGGCCACTCTGCCCCGCCCGGGAGTCCCCAGGCAGCCCCCGTTTTGGGCCTAGGATTTTTCGCCTCGCCTGTTTCACCTTAAAAGGTTTTCGCCTCTGCGTTATTAGCCACAAACTTTTCTCCTCAGCTGACACGCCGCCAGTCTTTCGCCCCGGCACAATCAGCCGCTGCCCCTCCGTCCCAGTCCCTTAAGCCGGGGCCCATTCGTCGAAGTACAGTTCGCGTCGGGCTTTTGGCCTCCCAGGGCAATTCGCACCCAGGCAATCGGCACTGGGTCTCGGCACTGGCGCTGCTCTCGGCAGCCTCGGGAGGCTCCGAACTGTCTCTCCCCTTTCTTTCTTTTTCTTTCTTTCTCTTTCTTCTTCCTTCCTTCCTTCTTTCTTTCTTTCCTTTCTCTTTCTCTTTCTTTTTCTTCTTTCTTCCTTCCTTTCCTTTCTTTTTCTTTTCCCTCCCTCCCTTTCCTTCTTTCTTTTTCCTCCCTCCCTCCCTTTCTTCCTTTCCTTCTTTCCTTTTTTCCCTCCCTCTCTCCCTTTTTCTTTTCTTTTCCTTTCTCTTTCTTTCTTTCTTTCTTTTTTGTCCCTCTCTCTCTTCTCTTCTTTCCTTTCCTTCTTTTGTTTTCTTCCTTCTTTCTTTTCCCTCTCTTCCTTTCCTTCCTTCCTTTCTTTCCTTCCTTCCTTTCTTTTCCCTCCCTCCCTTTCTTTTTCTTTCTCTTTCTTTCTTCCTTTTTTCTTTTTCTTTCTTTTCCCTCCTTCCTTCCTTCCTTCCTTTCCACCCCGAGTCCCTGCACTGATTGGCTGGGTGCGAATTGTCCTGGGAGGCCAAAAGCTGGACGCGAATTGAACTTCGACTAATGGGCCCCGGCTAAGGGACCGGGACGGAGGGGCAGTGGCCGATGTGCCGGGCCAAAAGACTGGCGGCGTGTCAGCCAAGGAGAAAAGTTTGTGGCTAATAACTTAGAGGCGAAAACCTTCAGGTGAAACAGGCAAGGTGAAGAGACCGAGGCGAAAAGTCCTAGACCCATTCCGGCCCGTTTTGGATGCCAGGTAAGTGCAGGGCCCACGCGGAGGCTCTGGGAGGGCGAAAAACGGGCTTCCCAGTAGTTCCGGAAGTCCAGAAACGGACCTCTTTCTGGCCTCCGGAGGCCGGGGAAGGCCGTTTTCGCCCTCCCAGAGGCTCAAGGAAAGCCTCCAGAGCTTGGAGAGGGCAAAAATGCACTCTCTCCACTGTGGTGCAATAGGTTGATAGGCCACGCCCACCATGGCCACGCCCACCATGGCCACGCCCACCCAGCAACCGGGCAGAAAACTGGTTGCTAAAATTTTGGAATCCCATCCCTGGTCCAGCGTGGCTTCAGCCCGGTCCACCCAACGCAAAGAGGAAAACATGCCAGCAGCTTGAGGAGTGGCGTCAAGCTGGCCACGCCCACCCAGTCGGCCACGCCCACCTGGTCAGCCACACCCACCGCAGTCAACCACAGCTCTGATGCGGCCCTCAAATGAAATGGAGTTTGGCACCCGTGTTCTAGTTAAATAAAGCCTTTGCTTTGATATCAGGATAAACTATGTCGGGGCATTCCCCCAATCTACTAAACGAGAAATGGTGAAAAGTGGAAACGTAGGCGATTCAAGACACACAACCGCGAGAAGTTGCTGAAACAAACAAGCAAAAAATAGAGTGCGGAAACTCCCGTTTTGAGACCTTATTCCAAAGAATCTACCACGTCCCCAACAAACCATCATTCGTGCGCTCTGGAGAGCCGTGTTTAATTCCCAAATAAAATCCGCAGCTTTCCCAGCTTCCAAAAACACCCCACGTTCCCCTCTCCAGAAAACCGACACGTTTCCAGACACAGGAGAAAAAACAAAAAAAAAAATTCGATTTGGGGTGCACATCGATTCCATAAACTGTCCCTTAGAATCATCCGGAGACGATAAGACAGTCCAAAAGCAATAAATTAAAAAAAAAAAAAAAGGAAGATCAGAAGGAAAAAAAAAAAACAAAAATCCAGAAAGGTCCAAAATGAAGAAATGTTCTGATCTTCGCTGTCCTGGCTTTTTTTCTTGCCAAATTCACCCCAAAGCCAACCGGGGTGGGAAGAGAATTTGGGGGAACCGTGCACAAAACTAGGTCCCCCTTGGGCATCCTGAGTCCACCTGTAACTTAATTTGATTTTTGGACAGTCCAGCCACCCCGTCGGTCCTGGCCGAAGGAAAAAGACCCACGTTCCTGGTGGATTTTCCTTCTTTTGGGGAAGCTTCTCCCGAACTTCACAAGGTGGTGAGTTTGAGGTCGTAGGTCTTCCTGGCCAGCTTCTCCGGATCGTTGGATGCCATGAAGGAGAAATCTTGGAAAATGTCCAGATAGGTTTCATCGCCTGGAACCCAAAGGACAAAAGATATTTTATTATCATGCCTTGGTAGGACCACACTCGGAATACGGCATCCAGTTGTGGTCGCCACGATATGAATTAATATCATGTTTCCTCCCCCCCAAAATAAGACCGGGTCTTAGATTAATTTTTGCTCCGAAAGACGCATTACGGCTTATTTTCTGGTTAGGTCTTATTTTGGGGGGAAATAACAGTATTAAACGCCTCCGTCTGCTGACGAGCTTAACTGGGGCTTATTTTTGGGGTACGGCTTATATTACAAGCATCCTGAAAAATCATTATAGGCCTTATTTTCCGGTTGGGTCTTATTTTGGGGGGGAAATAACAGTATTAAATGCCTCCGTCTGCTGACGAGCTTAACTGGGGCTTATTTTTGGGGTACGGCTTATATTACGAGCATCCTGAAAAATCATTATAGGCCTTATTTTCTGGTTGGGTCTTATTTTGGGGGGGGAAATAACAGTATTAAATGTCTCCGTCTGCTGACGAGCTTAACTGGGGCTTATTTTTGGGGTACGGCTTATATTACAAGCATCCTGAAAAATCATTATAGGCCTTATTTTCCGGTTGGGTCTTATTTTGGGGGGGAAATAACAGTATTAAATGCCTCCGTCTGCTGGCGAGCTTAACTGGGGCTTATTTTTGGGGTAGGGCTTATATTACGAGCATCCTGAAAAATCATGCTAGGCCTTATTTTCTGGTTGGCTCTTATTTTGGGGGGGGGGAAATAACAGTATTAAATGCCTCCGTCTGCTGACGAGCTTAACTGGGGCTTATTTTTGGGTAGGGCTTATATTATGAGCATCCTGAAAAATCATGCTAGGCCTTATTTTCCGGTTGGGTCTTATTTTGGGGGAAATAACAGTATTAAATGCCTCCGTCTGCTGACGAGCTTAACTGGGGCTTATTTTTGGGGTACGGCTTATATTACAAGCATCCTGAAAAATCATTATAGGCCTTATTTTCCGGTTGGGTCTTATTTGGGGGGGGGGAAATACAGTATTAAATGCCTCCGTCTGCTGACAAGCTTAATTGGGGCTTATTTTTGGGGTACGGCTTATATTACGAGCATCCTGAAAAATCATGCTAGGCCTTATTTTCTGGTTGGCTCTTATTTTGGGGGAAATAACAGTATTAAATGCCTCTGTCTGCTGACGAGCTTAACTGGGGCTTATTTTTGGGTAGGGCATATATTACGAGCATCCTGAAAAATCATGCTAGGCCTTATTTTCTGGTTGGGGGAACAGGGTATATGTAGAGACTCTAGAAAGAGCGCAGAGAAGAGCAACAAAGAGGATTAGGGGACTGGAGGCTAAAACATATGAAGAACGGTTGCAGGAACTGGGTACGTCTAGTTTGATGAAGAGAAGGTTTGATGAAGGGGGACATGATAGCAGTCTTCTAATATCTCAGGGGCTGCCCCCAAAGAAGAGGGAGTCAAGCTATTCTCCAAAGCACCTGAAGGCAGGACAAGAAGCAATGGGTGGAAACTAATCAAGGAGAGAAGCAATTTAGAACTAAGGAGAAATTTCCTGACAGGGAGAACAATTAATCAGTGGAACTGCTTGCCACCAGAAGTTGCGATGGAGGTTTTCAAGAAGGGATTGGGCAACCATTTGTCTGAAATGGTGCAGGGTTTCCTCCTTGAGTAGGGGGTTCGACTAGAGGACCTCAAAGGTCCCGTCCAACTCTCTTCTTCTGTTAAAAGATGGGTCGGAAGGAATGCGACGACGAGGCTATCACGATAAATTGGGAGCCCTCTGGATAATCTCGCCTCCCATAATCCTCGGCCAGCAGGAACCCCAAAAGTCAGTTTAGGGTGCCCCAAAGTCACTTCCACTGGCCAATTTCCCTTTGGGTTTGTGGGAAATCCGTAAGAGACCTCCCGCCCAGAAGTTATTCCTTCCAAGCTTGAATTTCCTGATTCTTCGAAGGAATTGTTAGGAACGCGCCAAGGAGAGAAGCAACCTGGAACTGAGGAGAAATTTCCTGACAGTGAGGACAATTAACCAGTGGAACTCCTTGCCACCAGGAAGCTGTGAATCATTCCAACACTGGAAGTTTGGTGAAGGCATCAGAGTAGAAACCAGGAGACGGTGAATTCTAGTTCCACTTTAGGCATGAAAGCTGGCTGGGTGACTTTGGGCCAATCACCAGGAGACGGTGAATTCTAGTTCTGACTTAAATATGAAAGCCAGTTGGGTGACTTTGTACCAATCACCAGGAGACGGTGAGTTCTAGTCCTACTCTAGGCCTTAAAATCCACTTTTTTCATCTGAAAATCTACATTTGGCAAAGGAACATCCGGGTTAGAGCCGAGTCGGTCTCCCTCTTCCATCTCCCGTCTCCATTCCTTCTTACAGAGGGCAAGACTCACCTGACTGGCCCAAGGCCAGCTCAGCTTCCCGCATCTTGGCCAGTCGCAACCTTTAGAGAAAGGAAGGAGACGTCATAGACACCGAGAGTGGTACATACGCATGGTACATTTATCCTGGTTATGCCCAGCCCCTCCCTCTCAAATATGGCACCCCCTCCCCTCAAAATACCCCACCAACGTAAGTCTCTACCTTGCAGGAAATTTGGAGACTTGCATCCCAACCATATGGAGAACCTTACTATAATGGCGACTAGACTACTGCAACACACTGTTTCCGGGGCCGCCCTAGGAGACTATTCAGAAACTCCCACTCGTTAAGACCCGAGTGGGAATCTTCCAGGCTGCATTCAGTCCTGGTTGATCTTTACATGCTCAGAGGGCAAACAGGAAGGGACAAGAAACCACGGAGAACGTGTCCGATCTTAAAACCTGGTCACGGAACCCCCCCTCCCAAAATGGGAGGGTGGGTCTGGATGGCCACTGGGTGACCCCGTTCCATGCCACAAATCCACTTCTGGCACCCCGATTCATTACCCTCCTTTCTCCAAATTGGGGGGGGGGGCAGGGCGGAGTTTCAGGGAAAGCCAAGATTGTCGAGAGACCCCCCCCCCAATATATCCCGCCTTCCTCCAAAGGCCAAGATTGGCACCCGCTCCCCGGCGCCCCCTCTCTTACAGGGTCACAATATCAGCGTTGGCCGAATCGATGGCGATGCCAAGGGGGTCCTTGCCTTCCCCGTCGACCGCATTCATGTTGGCACCCCGTTTCAGAAACAGGCAGGCCAGCCTGGGGAGGGGGAGGGAGAAGAAAAAAAATGGGGTACAGAGGTTGAAATAAGAGGAGAGACAGATCGTTCCGCTCCTTGGGTGAACTGAAATCAAAAAAAAAAAAAAAATCTATAATTTCAGGTAGTCCTCGGTTTACGACCACAATCGGCATTCCCACCACTAAGCGAGGCCTTTGTGGGGCTTCGCCCCATTGTGCAAGGTTTCTTGCCACCGCTGTTAAGCGAATAATTTAAGTGGGTTTGCTAATGAAATGTCTGCAAGAGACACCCCCCTGTCGTTAAGTGAGTCACCCGGTCGTTAAGCAAATCCGGCTTCCCCATGATCGCGCAACTGTCGTTAAGTACATGCCAGTTGCCAAGCCCTCTGGATTTTGATCAAGAGGCTGTGATGGTCGTAAGTGTGAAAAACGGTCATAACTCGCTTTTTTTCCCAGTGCCACTGAAACTTCGGTCACTAAGTGACCCAACGGTCATAAATGGAGGATTACCTGCGTCGTATCATAAAAACGACAAAATTTGAGCGCAAATCGCGTGTTGCAGAAACCCACGGACTGATACATCCCAAGGACAATCTTTCCCTGGTCGACTTCAACACCCATCATCCCCGACCTCAACAGCTTTTGCAAACTTCTCATTAGGGCAAGCTCAACCTCGGTCGTTTTTATGAAGGGCGGACTACAAGCCCCAGAATTCCCCAGCTAAGCCAAAGCCAAGCCGCCTGGGGAATTCTGGGAGTCGAAGTCCCACCCGTTTGAAACTTGCCGAGGTTGAAAAATAAGCCATAAGTCGGTTTTCTCATTGATATAACTTCCAACGGTCACTAAACGAACTTAAGTCGAAGGTGTAATTCAGCCTCTAAATATATATTATTCTAAGCGGCTCAGGCATTTCTTTCAAAAATCAGCCCCCACAATTTCTGGTGGCGAGCTGTTTCACTGGTTAATTGACCTGGGATTATAGAATAACAGAATAACGGAGTTGGAAGGGACCTTGGAGGTCTTCTAGTCCAACCCCTTCTCAAGCAGGAAACCCTGTAACATCTCAAGACAAGTGACTGTCCAGTTTCTTCCTAAAAACCTCCAGTGATGAAAGCACCCACAACTTCTGGTCGCAGGCAGTTCCACTGGTTAATTATCTTCACTGTCAGGAAATTTCTCCTTAATTCCAGATTGCTTCTCTCCTTTCTTTTCTTTTCTTTTCTTTTCTTTTCTTTCTTTCTCTTTTCCCTCCCTCCCTCTTCTCTTTCCTTCTTTCGTTTCCTTCCTCTTTCTTTCTTTTTCCTCCCTCTCTCCCTTTCTTCTTTCCTTCTCTTTTCTCTCCCTCCCTCTCTTTCTCTTTCTTCCTTTCCTTCTTTTCTCTTTTCCCTCCCTCCCTTTCTTTTTCTTTCTTTCTCTTTCTTCCTTTCTTTTTCTTTTCCCTCCCTCCCTCCCTTTTTTCTTTCTTTCTTTCTTTTCCCTCCCTCTCTTTCTTCCATTCCTTCTTCCTTCCTTCCTTTTTTCTTTTCCCTCCCTTCCTTTTTTCTCTTTCTCTTTTTTCTTCATTTTTTCTTTCTTTCTTTCTTTTCTCCCTTCTTTTTCTTTCTTTCTTTCTTTTCCCTCCCTCTCTCTCTTTCTTTCTTTTTTCTTTCTTTCTCTTTCTTTCTTCCTTTTTTCTTTCTTACTTTTTCTCTCCTTTCTTTCTTTTTCTTTCTTTCTCTTTTCCTCCCTCCCTCTCTCTTTCTTTCTTTTTCTCTTTCCTCTCCCAGTTGCTCTTCTCTGCACTGTTTCCAAAGTCTGAGCATCTTTTTTCCAATGTGGGGACCCAAACGGGAGGCAGGATTCCTTCCAGGTGTGGCCTTACTAAGCCTTTCAAATAAATTGAGATTTAAACCCGGAGACAGAGCGCCACGAGGAATAGACCAGGCGCTCGTGAGAACCACGGATCCTACCCGGTGTGGCCCAGGATGGTGGCGTGGTGCAAAGGTCCCCGGCCTTTGGAGTCGCTCTGGTTAACGTTGGCCCCGTTTTGAAGCAAAAATTCACACGCCAGCAGCGAATTCTGCAAAAAAAACAACACAAAAATATGGGGTTCCGTAGAAAAGGGAGAGGCGGGGCAACCTGGGGCAAGCCCCTCCCCCTAGGGACATCACTCAACAGGCCCCTCCTTTATAGGCACCTGTCATGACACCCCAATGAGTTGGCATCACTGCACATGCTCAGAGGCCACAAAAAGCCGAGTTTGTGCCTTGCTTACCGGCAAAACAACGGGCTCTGGTTAGATTTCTTTTGAATTTTCCGGGAAGCCAATTACAGGCAGTCCTCGACTTACGACCACAACATGGCCCCAAATTTCTGTGGCTAAGCGAAACAGCGGTGCCCCATTCAATGACCTTTCCGGCCATAAGTTGTTCAGGGGATCGCCGCAGTTGTGAAATTAGTCCCGAGGTCGTTAAGCGAACGGGGCTTCCCTGTTGAGTCTGCTTGTCCGACGGTCGCAAAAGAGGATCACGTGAGCCCGGAGAACGCTGTGAGCGTCGTTAAGTGTGAAAAACGGTCCTAAGTCACGTTTTTCAGAGCCATTCTAACTTTGACCGGTCACTAAGCAAAAGGTTACAAGTCATAAATACGAATCAGCTGGCAAGCATACAACTTTCGATCACGTGACCCCACCCGGGACGCTGCGACCATCGCTAAGTGTGAAAAACGGTCGTAAGTCACATTTCCCAGAGCTGTTCTAACTTTGACCGGTCACTAAGCGAATAGTTATAAGTCATAAATACGAGTCAGCTGGCAAGCATCCAACTTTCGATCACGTGACCTCACCCGGGACGCTGCGACCATCGCTAAGTGTGAAAAACGGTCGTAAGTCACATTTTCCAAAGCCGTTCTAACTTTGACTGGTCACTAAGCGAATGGTTGTAAGTCGAGGATGGTCTCTACGCCAATCGACCTCATGGGGGCGGCACAGCCGTCGGTGATGGGGAGACCCTAACCCATCACCCACTCCCAAGGAATGCAGACTTACGGCAGCCACGGCCTGGAGCAACGGGGTCCGGCTTTCCTGGGCCGTGTTGACCCAGTTAACGTCCGCCCCGTGAGCCAGAGCGTCCGACATGGTGGGCAAGCTAGGGGGTGCTGCGGCCGCGCGGTAGAGCAGGGCTCCTGGGTGCAAATGGCGCAGGTCCTCGGAGGCTGGAGCAGCCCGGCTCGGGGAGACCCCCTCGCGGAGCCCTGGGAGAGGAAGCGGGAAAAATAAACACGATGTAGAGGTCATCCTCAGTTAGTGACCACAGTGGGGACACAGCAACTCGGTCATTAAGTGAAACTGTGACTCTGATTTCCTTGCTGTTCAGACCTGTAAGGTCAAGAAAGTGAGAACTGGTTGCCAAAATTTTTGTAAAGATTTGATAAAAAGGCGGTTGGTTGGAGATGGGAAGAAGGGAAGGAAGGAAGGAAGGAAGGAAAGAGGGAGGCAGGGAGGGAGAGAGGGAAGAAGGGAAGGGAGGGAGGGAGGAAAGGAAAGGAAGGAAGGAAGAAGGGAGAGAGAAGGAAGGAAGGAAGGAGAGGGAAGGAAGCAGAGAGGGAGGGAGGAGGGAAGGAGGGAGGGAGGAAAGGAAAGGAGGGAGGAAGGAGGGAGGGAAAGGAGGGAGGAAGCAGAGAGGGAGGGAGGAGGGAGGTTGGAAGGAAGGGAGGGAGGAGGGAGGAAGTAAGTAAGGAGGGAAGGAGGATGGAAGGAGGAGGAAGGAAGGAGGAGGAAGAGAGGGAGGGAGGGAGGTTGGAAGGATGGAAGGAAGGATGGAGGGAAAGAGGATGGAAGGAAAGGAAGGAGAGAAGGAAGGAGGAGGGAGAAAGGGAGGGGGGATGGAAAGACAGAAGGAAAGATAGGAAGGAAGCAGAGGGGGAGGGAGGAGTGAGAGTGGGGGGAAGGAAGCAAGGGAATGAAAGAAAGGGAAGGAAGGAGGGAGGGGGAAGGAGGAGGAGGAAAGGAAAGAAGGAGAATTGGAGGAAGGAGGGAGGATGAAGAGAAAGGAGAGTGGGAGGGAAGGAAGGAGAGAGGAGGAAAGAGAAGGAAGGAAGGAAGGACAGAAGGAAGGAAGGAATGAAGGAGGAGGGAGGGAGGTTGGAAGGATGGAAGGAAGGAGGGAGGGAGGAAGTAAGTAAGGAGGGAAGGAGGGAAAGAGGATGGAAGGAAAGAAGGAAGGAAGGAGGAGGGAGAGAGGGAGGGAGGTTGGAAGGAAGGAAGGAGGAAAAGGAAGGGAGGAGGGAGGAAGTAAGTAAGTAGGGAAGGAGGGAAAGAGGATGGAAGGAAAGGAAGGAGAGAAGGAAGGAAGGAGGAGGGAGAGAGGGAATGGGGGATGGAAAGACAGAAAGAAAGGTAGGAAGGAAGCAGAGGGGGAGGGAGGAGTGAGAGTGGGGAAAGGAAGCAAGGGAGTGAGAGAAAGAGGGAAGGAAGGAGGGAGGGGGAAGGAGGAGGAAGAAAGGAAAGAAGGAGAATTGGAGGAAGGAAGGAGGGAGGGAGGGGAAAGAGAAAGGAGAGTGGGAGGGAAGGAAGGAGAAAGGAGGAAAGAGAAGAAAGGAAGGAAGAAAGGTAGGCAAGAGTTGTGAGGGTGTGAAGTGGTGCACAAGAGACCCCGTGAAGGTGTGCAGGAGCGCAGGGGTGGCGGGCGCAGCGTGAGCCCCGAGGGGACGGTGAACGGCGGAAGGAGCCTCCCTCCCTCCCACTTTCGGAGAAAGAGAAGAAGACCCCTCCCTCCTCCCTCTTACCTGGGCCCCGGCGGATGTGGCCCGGCGGCTTGGGCTTGGGAAACGGCCGCGGGGATCTCTCCTGCCCGCCGGGCTCTCTGCTGCTGCGGGTCGGGGGCGCCCCGGGGTTGGGGAACTTGGTGATAAATTTCCTTTCCACGTATTTGGCTCGGATCCAGGCTTCCTTCTCGGATCTGGACAAAGAGTGACAGCCGTCACTTTTCGGGTTTTGCTCTTCGGAAGGGAGGGATTAGGATCCATCATCCTCTCGCACCCAGGACCTTTGGACGGGGTCGGGGGGATCGGGACTAGTGGTGGGTTTCTACCGGTTCGCACCGGTTCGGGCGAACCGCTAACAGTCGCCGAATTCGGAGTTACCGATTCGGCCTCGGTCGCCGAATTGGTAACTGGCAGCGCCCCCGAACCGGTTGCCACCCGCTCGCTTGCCCCGCCCACTTGCCGCCTGCTCGCTCGCTTGCCCCGCCCACTTGCCGCCTGCTCGCTCGCTTGCCCCGCCCAGCGAGATGTGAGGTTTAGGGTAAGCTTCTCCGAATTGGACAAGACACCTAGAAGGCACCTGTAGGAGGAGGGCCAGACAGGTGGCCCTGCGGTGTCCCAACAGGCCATCTAGAGGCCAAGGCATGTAACTGCAGCCCTTCGGGGCAGCGGCGCCCCCTGGAGGGCAGGTGCAGAGACAGCAAAAAAGAAAAAAAAAAGTCGTTTGCCGTCACTCAACCTCCAGACATCTCTACTACCTGGATGATGGAGACTCTTGATTGGCAATCGGGGGATGGGTGGGTGGGTGGGGGGCATTTTGATAGAAGGGGCCGGAGGGGGTGGGGGGGATTCTTACCTGGAACTTCCGGGTTGGGGGCGTTTCATGTTCATTTCCTCCACCCTGGCCTCGTAGATCTGATTGATCACCCGGTTGCCCAAGACGGTCATCAGCTGCAGGCGACAAGGGGAGGGGCTTAGGGAGGGGGCGGGGCTTCATCTCAGGGTCCACTCTGGGGACCTCGCCTCCAAGCAGTAGGGAAAGAGTAGCGGAGGAGTAAGAGGAGGCGGCGAAGGTGTCTGGCAGGAGTTCGACAGCTGTGTCCCCAAAACACTAAAAACTTCCCCTCCCTTTCCTTCCTTCCTTTCCTCCCTCCCTTTCCTTTCTTTTACTTCTCCCTCCCTACTTCTTCCTTCTTTTTCTTTCTTTCTTCCTTCCTTCCCTTTTTCTCCTCCCTTCCCTTTTCCTCCGTCCCCTCCTTCCTTCCTTCCCTCCCTCCTTTCCTTCTTTTACTTCTCCCTCCCTACTTCTTCCTTTTCCTTCCTTCCTTTCTGTCTTTTTTTTTCCTTTCTTTCTTCCTCCCTTCCTCTTCTTCCTCCCTCCCTTTCCTCTCCTTTTCTCCTTCCTCTTCTTTCTTCCTTCTTTCATTTCTTCCTTCCTTTTCTTTTTTCCTCCCTCCCCTCCTTCTTCCTTCCTTCCCTTTTTCTCCTCCCTCCCCTCCTTCTTCCTTCCTTCCCTTTTTCTCCTCCCTCCCCTCCTTCTTCCTTCCTTCCCTTTCTCCTCCTCCCTTTTCCTTCCTTCCCTTTTTCTCCTCCCTCCCCTCCCTGTTCTTCCTCCTTCCCTCCTATCCCTCTTTTCTTTTCCCTCCCTTCCTTCCCTCCATATTTCTCCTCCCTCTCCTTCCTTTCATCCTCCCTCCCTTCCTCTTCCTTCCCTTCTTTCCTTCCCTCCCTCCCTCCCTTTTTTCTCCTTCCCTCCTCCTTCTTCTCCCTTCCTTCTTTCCTCTCTCCCACCCTTACTCCTCCCTCCCTTTCTTCCTCTCCACCCCTCTCTCTCTTCCTCCCTCAAAATACTACTTCTATGGGCTGCCACCCCCCCACCCCTACCCCGTGGATCTGTGCCCCAAGGTTTCAGCATGTGCCCCCCCCACCAGATCCAGATCCCTTTGCCACCCTGGGTTCGAATCTCGCCCACCTTTTAACTCGAAGGCTTGCTGACTCTGGATGGGCCCAGAATCTCTGCAGACGTTTTCCGGAAAAACAGCCTATTCCCCCCACATCAAGGGGTCCCTCCTAGCCCCCTCCCCACCCCAGCCCCCCCACCCAATTTCCTACTTTTCAGGCATGGTGACCTATTTCCCACCTTCCTCCGCCCCCCCTGCCTCCCCCCCCCTTACCTTGACCAGCTCGGGCTCCCAGGCATCCAGCGTGAGGGACCTCACCTTGGAGAAATGCACCCCCAGACTCCTATGGCAGAGGAAGCGGGTGGAAATCAGGCACGGTTCAACAGGTGAAGACAAATCGGCCTCTTCTCTCGGGGTCCACTAACAGCCACGGCCCCCTCCCACCACTGTGGCGTCCACGTCGCAAATACGAAGGCCCCACCCCCAGATCTTTTCCTTCCAACACAGCAAAAGACCGAATCCTTATCTAATGCAGGCTGTCCTCGACTTATGACCCAACATTTCCGTTGCTAAGCGAGACTTTGACTGCCTTTCCTGCCTTTCCTGTTAAGGGAATCTGGCTTCCCCCGTCGACTTGGCTCGTCGGACGGTCGCAAAAGGGGATCGCGGGACATAACACACCCCGGGACGCTGCGACCGTCATAAATACGAGTGTCTGAATTTTTTGATCCCGTGACCGCGGGGGTATGGCTGCGATGGCTGTAAATGTGTAAAACCGTCCCGAGCCACTTTTTTTCAGCTGTGTTGCAACTTGGAACGGTCACTAAACGAACCGTTGTTAAGTCGAGGACCACCTGTAACCCCTTTCTCCCATCTTCGGTGGCTATTTCGGGCACTCTTATGTGTCCTTTCTTGCAACCCCCGTTTTTATTCTGGCTTATCTTTGGCTTATCTCAAATTTGAACAGAATAACAGAATTGGGAGGGACCCTGGAGGTCATCTAGCCCAACCCCCTGGCTCAAAGGAGTCCCGGGGGGGGGATGGAAGGGACCCTGGAGGTCATCTAGCCCAACCCCCTGCTGAAGGAGGAGACCCCATCCCATTCCAGACAAACGGTTGTCCGATCCCTTCTTAAAAGCCTCCATCAAAGGGTTCCCGGGGAGGGGGGATGGAAGGGACCCCAGAGGTCATCTAGCCCAACCCCATTGGGTTCCTTGCCGTGAGGCACCTGTGGATGCCGGAGCACTCGATGCAAAGGGTGATGCCCAGGTTGATGCTGGCCCACTCGGGTGCCGCCTCCCGGCAGTCGCAGCACTGAGCGTTGCCCTCCAGGCGCTGCACCTGATCCACTACATGTTTGTCCACCCCGCCACGCAGTTTGCGGCTGGAGGGGGACTGCAAGGTGGCCGCCGTCATGGATGCGCTCCGCTCCAGGTGCTGTCCCCCCCAAAAGAAAAAAGAAAAGAAAAAAAAAAGAAGAAGCATTATCAGCAAAAGCCAGCATGCACAGGGAGAGGATTCAACCAGAATAGAGCCGGAAGGGACCTTAGAGGTCATCTAGTCTAACCTTCTGCTCAGGCAGGAGGCATGATGTGTGTTAGGAAATCATCATACTGTGTCCTGATTGGTTAGCTCGGTAGCCAATCTCCTTAAGAGGGAGCTAGAAACATAGCTTGTTTTCTCTTTGCTGTTCTTGCTCTCTGATAGTTCTGCATGCAAATCCAGAAGAACTTTTTATTGTGAATGACTGTGACGACTGGTAAGAAGACTTTGTTATTGGATTATCCCTGGACTGTCGTTTTGGCTATCTCCTGCTTTATATGTGTATGACCTGGACTGTTTATTGGACTGTGCCTTACTATTTCCTGAAAATAAACACAACTCAGTGTATCTGTGTGTTGACTGTGTTTATTTGTAACTACTCAGTCGCTTTCATGTGCGCACCCTTGGTACTCAAGGGTTACTCTGCGAATTCCTTAACAATGTGTATGTAATGTAATCAGAAGGGACCCTGGAGGTCTTCTAGTCCAACCCCCTTCCCAGGCAGGAGACCCTACACCATTTCAGATAAATATGTAATGTAATCAGAATAGAGCCGGAAGTGACCTCGGAGGTCATCTACTCCAGCCCCCTGCTCAAGCAGGAGACCCTATAATCATTTCAGACAAGTGGCTGTCCAGCCTCTTCTTAAAAATCTCCAGTGATGGAGCACCCATAATTTCTGGTGGCAAGCCGTTCCACTGGCTAATCGTCCTCGCTGTTAGGAAAGCTGTATGTCCTCGACTTACGACCACAATGCCCCCCCCAAATTCCTCAACTGTCGTAATGTGAGACCCTTGCTGAGTGCCCCAATGGCCGTCACGTGACCCCACGTGGTGGTGCGACGGTCATAACGGGAGGACAAAGTCATGTCACTTTTTAAAAAGACCTTTGTAACTTCAAATCATCGTTAAACGAACGGTCGTAAAGCGAGGACCTCCGAACCTGACATCTCTTATAACGACCTCATCGCCATTTGGGTTGGAGGCCGCCAGGTCTTACCTGCCCAGGGGATTCTGGCCGGTCCTCGTTGTACGCCGAGGCGATGCTGTTTTGGACGGCGCACATCCAGGCCTGTAGGTGATGCTCTGAATCGGCCTGCAGGAGGCACGCCCTAAAGCGAGACGGAAGGAGAGGATAATTGACCCTGGACCCATCAGAGATACAGGCAGTCCTTGACTTACGACCGCAATGGAGCCCAATGTTTCTGTTGTTAAGTGAGACAGTTGCTAAGTGAATTTTGCCCCGTTTTACAACCGTTCTCACCACAGTCGTTAAATGAATCACCACATTGTTATATTATTATTATAATTGTTGCAGTCGTTATACCGTTTTTCACACTTACGACCCCGTGATTTACATTCGGGTGCAAGTCAACGGGGGGGGAGCCGGATTCACTTAATGACGGGGTGACTCATTCAAGAACGGCGGCGATTCACCTCACAATCGCATCAGCTTAAAGGTATAAAAATGGGACAAAATTCACTTAAGAAACGTCTCCACTTAGTGACGAAAGCGTGGGCCTCCGTTGTGGTCGTAAACCAAGGACGACCTTCGACGAAATGTCGAAGAACGAGAGGCGAAAAAGAGAGGAAAACGGGATTCTGGTTCTTTTTGAGGGCGAGAGAAATCCGGGGTGGGCGAGGGCTCTGCTGACCACCCCCTTCAAGAGCATTGATGGGAAGGGCCAGGGCGCCATCTTGACTTTTTTGACCTCCCCGTGTGAATGGCCTGGGAGGAAGAGGGGAGGGGACTCACTTGGAGGGGGAGACCACCTCGAAACAGAAGCGGCGCTCGTGATCCGGACACGGCTTGACCGTACAGAGACGGAGATCTTCCACTACCACCGTCACCACATCCTGGGGGTTTGGGGGGGTGGAGAAAAGGGGAGAGGAAGAAGAAGAGGATGAGGTGAGGGGTCCAGCACGTCCTCAGGCCCCCCACTCCCACCCAGACGCTGGAGAGAAAAGCCTTCTTCCTTTCCTTTCCATCCATCCGACCAGCTTTTCTTTCTTTCTTTCTTTCTTTTTCTCTTTCTTTCTTTTTTCTTCTGCCTTTTTTCTCTTTCTCTCTCTCCCTCCCTTCCTCCCTCTTTCCTTTCTCTTCCTCCCATCTCCTTCTCCTATTCTTTCTTCATCCCTCCCTCCCCTTTTTTGTTCTTCTCCTTCCTTCTTGTCATCCCTCCCTCCCTCTCCTTCCTTTCTTCCCTCCCTCTTCTCCTCTTTATCCCTCCCTCTTCTTTTCCTTCTTCTCCTTCCTTCTTGTCCTCCCTCCCTCTTTCCTTCCTTCCTTTCTTCCACCCTCCCTCACTTTTTTCTTTTTCTTTCTTTCTCTCTCCCTTCCTTTCTCCCTTTTTCTCTTCCTCCCATCTCCTTCTATCCTTTCTTCATCCCTCCCTCCCCTTTTTTGTTCTTCTCCTTCCTTCTTGTCATCCCCCCTCCCTCTCCTTCCTTTCTTCCCTCCCTCTTCTCCTCTTTATCCCTCCCTCTTCTTTTGCTTCTTCTCCTTCCTTCTTGTCCTCCCTCCCGCTCCTCTTACCTTCCTTCCTTCCACCCTCCCTCACTCTTTTTCTTTCTTTTTCTTTCTTTTTTCTTCTCTTCCTTCCTTTCATTTTTATTTTTCCTTTTCCTTCCTTCCTTTCCTCTTTCTTTTGTTCCTCCTCTTCTTTTTCTTGTTCTGCTTCCTTCGTTTCCTTTCCCTCCCTCTCCTCCCCTTCCTTCCTTCCTTTCCTCCCACCCACCCAATAAAAACTGCCCCCCTTTTCCTCCAAAGAAGCCCCCAACTCACCTTGGCCTTCTTCTGATACACCAGCTGGTTATTCTGGATGGAGAACCAGCGCCTGCAATCGAGACACAGCCGGTGAGCAGGGAAGGGAGGGACCAGAAGAGCTTCCCTAGGCCAGAGCAGTCTACCTCACCGAGAACAATGGCAGGGCCAGGCTCCCTTCAACCTCAAAGGTTAAACAGGCAGAGGTAGTCCCTGACTTACGACCACCGTTAGGAGCAGAATTTTTCTTGCTAAGCAAAGTGGTTGTTAACGGGGACGCTGCAATGGTCGTAAGTGTGAAAAACGGTCATAAGTCACTTTTTTCAGTGCCGTTGTAACTTCAAACGGTCACTAAATGAATGGCTGGAAGTTGAGGAGTACCTATACTAAGAAAGTTACCCTATTCAAAAATATGATATTTGTTCTTGTCCTATCCATGTTGAATTCTAGTAAACCCTTGCCAGCTGGGGAATTCTGGGAGTTGAAGTCCAGAAATTGTAAATCAAACTGACTGGGGAATTCTGGGAGTCGAAGTCCAGATATCTTAAATCAAACTGGGGAATTCTGGGAGTCGAAGTCCAGAAATCTTAAATCAAACTGGGGAATCCTGGGAGTCGAAGTCCAGAAATCTTAAATCAAACTGGGGAATCCTGGGAGTCAAAGTCCAGAAATCTTAAATCAAACTGGGGAATTCTGGGAGTCGAAGTCCAGAAATCTTAAATCAAACTGGGAATCCTGGGAGTCGAAGTCCAGAAATCTTAAATCAAACTGGGGAATTCTGGGAGTCGAAGTCCAGAAATCTTAAATCAAACTGGGGAATCCTGGGAGTCGAAGTCCAGAAATCTTAAATCAAACTGGGGAATCCTGGGAGTCAAAGTCCAGAAATCTTAAATCAAACTGGGGAATTCTGGGAATTGAAGTCCAGAAATCTTAAATCAAACTGGGGAATCCTGGGAGTCAAAGTCCAGAAATCTTAAATCAAACTGGGGAATCCTGGGAGTCAAAGTCCAGAAATCTTAAATCAAACTGGGGAATTCTGGGAGTCGAAGTCCAGAAATCTTAAATCAAACTGGGGAATCCTGGGAGTCGAAGTCCAGAAATCTTAAATCAAACTGGGGAATTCTGGGAGTCGAAGTCCAGAAATCTTAAATCAAACTGGGGATTTCTGGGAGTCGAAGTCCAGAGAAATCTTAAATCAAACTGACTGGGGAATCCTGGGAGTCGAAGTCCAGAAATCTTAAATCAAACTGGGGAATTCTGGGAGTCGAAGTCCAGAAATCTTAAATCAAACTGGGGAATCCTGGGAGTCAAAGTCCAGAAATCTTAAATCAAACTGGGGAATCCTGGGAGTTGAAGTCCACCTCTCTTAAAGATGCCCAGATGGGCAAAGACCGCTCTATGAGAGGCCGCAGGTGTGCTCCTCCAGGGAAGGCAGCCTGAGCTCACCTGCTCCAGGTCTTGAAGGCGTTGCTGGCCCGTTTGTATAGATATCCTTCCGTCACCACCTGGCCGGGTTCGGCCTGGATTTCCGGGACATCGTCGTCTTGGCTCAAATCCTGGAGAAGGTGAGAAGAGAGCATGAACCTGCCCGCAAAGGACCTTCTGTTGGCCAACAAGAAGCCAAAATCCCACGTCAGCTATTCCCCACTATCGAAGGAAACTCCTCCCTTTGGGCCCAAGCAGGAGACCCTCCACCATTTCTGACAGTCCGGTCTCTTCTTCAAAGCCTCCAGTGATGGAGCTCCCACACCTTCTGAAGGCAACTTCTGTCCCATCGGTTGATTGTTCTCACGGTCCGAAAATTCCACCTTATTTCCAGGCTGAATCTCTCCTTGGTCAGTTTCCATCCATTCTTCCTTGTCCAGCTTTGGAATATAGCTTGACCCCCTTCCTCCTCTCTGGGGCAGCCCCCCAAATATTGGAAGACTGCTCTCCTGTCTTTCCTGGTCCTCCTCTTCAGTAGACTAACCATTGCCCAGTTCCTGCAACCGTCCATCGTCTGTTTGAGCCTCCAGTCCCCTAATCTTCTTTCTTACTCTTCTCTGCACTTTTTCTAGAGTCTCCACGTCTTTTTTCATAGTGTGGGGACCAAAACTGGATGCAGGACTCTAGGTGTGGCCTTACTAAGGCTTTGTAAAGTGGTATTAGCACCTCCCTTGATCCTGATTGTATCCCTCTGTTAATGCAATTTAGGATTGCATTGGCTTTTTTGGCTGCCGCTGCACACTGCTGGCTCCTATTTAGCTGGTTGTCCACTAAGACCCCAAGATCCCTCTCACAGTAACCACTATTAATCCTGGTTAATTATTAAGCCAGGTTTCACCCCGGGACCTCACCTTCTGTTTTATGGCGGCGTGTCTCTGCTCCATGTCCCTCTTCTCTCGGGCCGATTCCAGGACCAGTTCGTGCAGCTGGAAAAGAAAACAAAAAAGACATGGAAATCTCGGGGCGAAGGGAAGGATGGAGAAACCCCCCCCCAAAATCACCCTCCCTTCGGTAAAATCCCTGGGCTGGGAGGAGGGGGGTCACAAACCAGGATCGAGGGGAGGGGGGGGTCCACTTTGCAGGAAAGTCCAATTCTTGCAAAAGGAAATGGCTGCAGTGAGATTTGAAGCCAAGAACCCAGGATGGAAGTTGCAGGAAGTCCTCGACTTATGACCGCCATCCAGCCAAAAAAACCCCATGTACGTCGCTAAGCAAGACATTTCTTCAAGGAGTTTTGCACCCCTTTTACGAAAGTTGTTAAGGTCGTTAAACGGTCGTTAAATGAATCCGGCTTTTCCCCCCGTGGACGTTGCTTCTCGGAAGGCAGCAAAAGGGGATCACGTGGCCTTGGGACTTGCAACCGTCGTAAATAGGATTCAACTGCCAAAACGCCCGAATTTTTACCACATAACCACAAGGATGCTGCAAGCGGTCGTTGGTGCGAAAAGAGGTCCTCGCTCACTTTTTTCAGCGCCGTCGTAAATTCAAACAGTCACTAAGCGAATTATTGTGAAGTCGAGGACTGGCTGCATTGATTTATTCGTTCAATTTCTATAAATTCTGTCCGTCTCAATCAGTGACTCTGGACAGTTTACAGTCCAAAAAATAAAAATAAAAATCGATATATATGGCAGCAAACAGCTGAATTCTGTTTTCTTCCCTGACAAAGGCAGTCCTCAACTTATGACCGTTCATTTAGTGACCGAAGTTACAACAGCACTGGAAAAAAGTGACTTAGGACCGTTTCTCACACTTACGACCGTTGAGATATCCCCGTGGTCACGCGATTTAAAATTGAAAGGCTTGGCGACCGACTCGTATTTATGACGGTTGCAAAGTTTTGGCGACCTTCTGACAATCCAAGTCAACGAGGAAGCCGGATTCACCGAACAACCGCGTGACTCACTTAACAACCGCAATGTTTCACTTAACCGCCGAGGCAAGAAAGCTCGTAAAATGGGAGCAAAATTCACGGAACGAAGCAACAGAATTTTGGGGCTCAATGACAGTCGTAAGGTGAGGACTCCCTGTAGAGGATCTGAACGAACGTGAATCTACAGGCGTCCTGTTATGCTTCATATGTAGTTGGACTACAAGTCCCATCACACCCAACCAATTGATTTTGTTTTTTTTTCTACAACAGGCCTGGCTTTGAACCAATCGTTAATTCAATCGCAAGGACAATTTTCACACCCCGTCAGTAAGTCAGAGTTTCTGTTTATTCAGGATTCTTTTTTTCCCTGGCTGGTCTCCAACTCTCTTCCATCCATTTCCTCCTCTCTGCCCTTAATTCTGGCCCAAGGATCAGACAATCTCTCCATGCACAGACAACTGTGTTTGGCCTCCCACACCCAGTTATTATTATTTATAATAATTGAATTTTTTTAAAAAATGCAATAAAGTAAAATAGGCAGCAAAACAAAATAAAAATGCAAAGTACAATATCAATAAAATGAAATAAATGAAAAATGCAATAATATGAAATAATATGCAATAACATGAAATAAGATCTGCAGTGAAATACAATAAAGAAGGAATCAAACACACAATAATGTTAGCTGGGCAATGAATTAAAATATAAGTAAAAGATGCAATAAAGTAAAAGATGCGATAAAATGTAAATGAAACACACCAGCAAATAAATAAAATTTGCAATAAAACATACCAGAAAATAAAGTAAAATGGTCAATAAATTAAAATACAAATAAAAGATGCAATAAAGCAAAATAATAAAGTAAAATAAAATAGAATAGAATAATGGAATGGAATGGAATGGAATGGAATGGAATGGAATGGAATAGAATAGAATAGAATAGAATAGAATAGAATAGAATAGAATAGAATATACAGAATGGAATGGAATGGAATGGAATGGAATGGAATGGAATAGAATAGAATAGAGAAAATATGGAATGGAATGGAATGGAATGGAATGGAATGGAATAGAATAGAATAGAATAGAATAGAATAGAATAGAATAGAATAGAATAGAAAATACAGAATGGAATGGAATGGAATAGAATAGAATAACAGTAGAAAATATGGAATAGAATAGAATAGAATGGAATAGAATGGAATGGAATAGACTAAGTAAGAATGAATGGAATGGAATGGAATGGAGTAAGTAAGAATGGAATGGAATGGAATGAATAAAATAAATAAAATAAAATAAAATAAAATAAAATAAAATAAAATAAAATAAAATAAAATAAAATAAATAAAATAATAAAATAAAATAAAATAAAATAAAATAAAATAAATAAAATAAAATAAAATAATAAAATAAAATAAAATAATAAAATAAAATAAAATAAAATAAAATAAAAAAATAAAATAATAAAATAAAATAAAATAAAATAAAATAAAATAAAAAAAATAAAAATAAAATAAAATAAAATAAAATAAAATAAAATAATAAAATAAAATAAAATAAAAAAAATAAAAAAATAAAAAAAATAAAAAAAATAAAAAATAAAATAAAAAAAATAAAAAAAATAAAATAAAATAAAATAAAATAAAATAAAATAAAATAAAATAAATAAAATTAAAATAAAATAAAATAAAATAAAATAAAATAAAATAAAATAAAATAAAATAAAATAAAATAATAAAATAAAATAAAGATAAAATAAATAAAAACAAAAACTTTCAGCACTGGCTTGTCCTCCTCACCTGAGCAGCTAGGCTTTTGCGATATTCCTCCAGCTCTTTGGACGCCCGAGACCCCTGTTCCAGGAAGACGGACTGGGCCTCCATGAAGGACAAGACCTGGAAGGAGCAGAGGCATCAGAAGGGAGACCCCCCACCCCAGTGGGGTCTCTTCAAGTAAGATTTGGGCTGCCCTGAAAACGGTGCTTTGCAAACAGAGAGAGTGACAGATAAAATAGGTTTAAAAAAACCCCAAAAACCAGGAGCCTTTGGAGGAAGGAACTTTTGACGAGCTCAGGGGTGCTGTGTTTGGATTTTCTCATCCGGGATCCCAAAAACTAAAGTTCGGTTGAAATCAGAAGGGAAAAAGAGATTTTTTTCTGGCATGAGAAAGCCAAGTCAAGGCAGATTATATCACGATTTACGACGAAGATGGAGCCCAAAATTTCCGTTGCTAAGTGAGACAGTTGTTAAAGTGAGTTTTGTCTGCTTTTTCGACCTTCCTTGCCCCTGTCGTTAAGTGAATAGCTAAAGCCGTTCAGTGAGCAACCCCGTTGTTAAGTGAATCTGGCTTCCCGATTGACTTTGCTTGACGGGACGTCGCAAAAGGGGAATCGCGTGACTCCGGGACACTGCAACCGTCATAAATGTGACTCAATTGCCAAGCGTCTGAATTTTGATCCCGTGACTCTGGGGAATGCCTCAACGGTCGTAAGTGTGAGTCACTATTTTCAGTGCCGTTGTAACTTTGTACGGTCACTAAACGAACCGTTGTAAGTCGAGAACTACCTGTATGTCTTAAAATGTGGTCATGTTGAGATCTCGGGACTTCAACTCCCAGAATCCCCCAGGTGCGCTGCGGTGTCACCCTGTGCCGAGTGCGAATCTCGCTCAAATCAGCTCCACCAGACACTCCAGCATCCCACAGAAGCCATCTTTGTGAATGTGTGCCAAAAACTAAGCTACACATACATACACCCCCCCCCTTAGCAAGGCCCTCTCCTCTCCGGGCAACAGGCTCAAGGCTGGGGATGATGGGACTTGCAGTCCAAGAAGACCAAGGTTGGGGAAGGGAGTTACTCACGAATTTGAGGATCTCAAATTTCTTCTTGGATTGAATCACATTGATCTGAAAGACAGGAGAAGGATCGGGAGTTCGATTCCTACGTCGACCCGCCACGACGGGTGTCCCAAGAGCCCTCACCGTCCGTCCATCCCCCCCTCAGACCCGGAAACGGGACCCTTGGCCGGGGGGGGGGGTCTTTCAGGACCTCTCCCCCACCTGCAGCACGTAGTCGAGGGCTCGGTTACGGAAGGTGGTGCGGGCTGCTTTGAGGGTGACCATGGCGTCTTCGGCATCGTGTTGGCGCCGACGGGGCACCTCGGCGTTATGGTGCAAGGCGCTGCCGAGACTTTCGCTGCCCCGCTCGAATTCCTTCCTGGTTTCTTTGAACTGCTTAATGTCCCTGAAAGAGAAGAAGGGTGCAGGGTTCACACAATGTCCTTAACCCGGGTTAGCTGCATTCACAGAACCGGTGGTCCCAGAACAGGTTAACCCTCTCACAGTGTTATATATGATATATATATATATATATATTTATCTCCTGTTTTTTTTGCACTGGTTCAAGTCGGCGAGGAGACTCAATACTCTTTCTTCTGACATTTTCCTCCATAACAACAACCTTGTGAGGTGGGTTGGGCTAAGAGAGAGAGGCTTTCATGCCTAAGGCGGGACTAGAACTCCCCGTCTCCCAGTGATTGGCCCAAAGTCACCCAGCCGGCTTTCATGCCCTAAGGCGGGACTAGAACTCCCCGTCTCCGGGTGATTGGCCCAAAATTACCCAGCCGGCTTTCATGCCTTAAGGCAGGACTAGAACTCCCAGTCTCCCAGTGATTGGCCCAAAGTTACCCAGCCGGCTTTCATGCCTAAGGCGGGACTAGAACTCCCAGTCTCCCGGTGATTGGCCCAAGTTACCCAGCTGGCTTTCATGCCCTAAGGCGGGACTAGAACTCCCCGTATCCGGGTGATTGGCCCAAAATTACCCAGCTGGCTTTCATGCTCTAAGGCGGGACTAGAACTCCCAGGCTCCTGGTGATTGGCCCAAAATTACCCAGCCGGCTTTCATGCCCTAAGGCGGGACTAGAACTCCCCGTATCCGGTGATTGGCCCAAAATTACCCAGCTGGCTTTCATGCCTAAGGCGGGACTAGAACTCCCAGTCTCCCGGTGATTGGCCCAAAATTACCCAGCCGGCTTTCATGCTCTAAGGCGGGACTAGAACTCCCCGTATCCGGGTGATTGGCCCAAAATTACCCAGCTGGCTTTCATGCTCTAAGGCGGGACTAGAACTCCCCGTCTCCGGGTGATTGGCCCAAAATTACCCAGCCGGCTTTCATGCTCTAAGGCGGGACTAGAACTCCCAGTCTCCTGGTGATTGGCCCAAAGTTACCCAGCCAGCTTTCATGCCTAAAGTGGGACTAGAACTCCCCGTCTCCGGGTGATTGGCCCAAAATTACCCAGCCGGCTTTCATGCCCTAAGGCGGGACTAGAACTCCCCGTCTCCGGGTGATTGGCCCAAAATTACCCAGCCGGCTTTCATGCCCTAAGGCGGGACTAGAACTCCCAGTCTCCCGGTGATTGGCCCAAAGTTACCTAGCTGGCTTTCATGCCTAAGGCGGGACTAGAACTCCCAGTCTCCAGTGGTGGGATTTAAATAATTTAACAACCAGTTCTCTGCCTGGGTAGGCGTGGCCGGGTGGTCATGTGACTGGGTGGGTGTCTCCAACTCAACGTCACTCATCACACCCAGCCCCGCCTCCTGGCCATCCGCCTCAAAAGGCAGAGGTGGGATTCAGCAATTCTGACCGGTTCGGACTAATCCCACCACTGGCTGGACCCGCCCCTGCCCGTTTTTCGGGCTATTTTTGCATGACTCCCCGTCGCTCCCACCGCTTTTGGCACGCGATGGCCCGGTGGGCCCATTTTTCGCCCTCCCCAGGCTCCTAGAAAGGCTCTGGAGCCTGGAGAGAGCGAAAAATGGGCCTTTCGGTCCTACTGGAAGTCAGCAAACGGGCCATTTCCAGCCTCCGGGGGGTTGGGGAAGGCTGTTTTCACCCTCCCCAGGCGCCTAGAAAGCCTCTACAGCCTGGAGAGAGCGAAAAACGAGCCTTTCGGTCCTACTGGAAGTCGGCAAACGGGCCATTTCCAGCCTCCGGGGTGTTGGGGAAGGCTGTTTTCACCCTCCCCAGGCGCCTAGAAAGCCTCTACAGCCTGGAGAGAGCGAAAAAACGGGCCTTTCGGTCCTACTGGAAGTCGGCAAACGGGCCATTTCCAGCCTCCGGGGTGTTGGGGAAGGCTGTTTTCACCCTCCCCAGGCGCCTAGAAAGCCTCTACAGCCTGGGGAGGGTGAAAAACGGGCCTTCTCCACCCTCCCGGAGGCCCTCCGGAGGCCGGAAACAGCGTGTTTCCCAACTTCTGGTGGACCCAGAAGGCCCGAAAATCAGCTGGCCGGCACGCACATGGACGCCGGAGCTGAGCTCGCGTGCCCACCGATATGGCTCCACGTGCCACCATCACGGCATTAGACCAAACTGACTCTGGGAAGCCAATGGGTGCATTCTAACCCCCGATATCTAAACCCAGTTGGGCCTGGTCGAACATCTTGTGAGATCACAGATATGTGGGGAGGCAGCTACCAAATGCAAAGCTAACTAACCATAGTTGGCGAGTTCAATAGACAGAGATCCGAAACAGAGACCGGGGGATCCCAGTTCAAATCCTGTTCCGTCCCGAATAATTCCCGCCCAATAATTCTAAGCCGACAGACCCCCATCGGACACACTTACTCCTTCACCAGAGTTTGCAGCTGCAGCTTGAGCGACTGTTGCGCGGTCTCCAGGAGTTCCTAGGACAAAAAAAAAAGAGCACTTTTAATCGAGTTGCAACCAAGTTTATTTTATTTCACACCGTTACTTTATTGCATTTTTTTGTTGTTGCATTGTATTGCATATTTTATTATATGGCATGTTTTTTTTTCTATTTTATTGCATATTTTATTCCATTATATTGCATATTTTTGGTCACGATTATTAAGAGAAACTTATCCTTAATCCTCCTTGATTTGATTTGGGGGGGGGGGGAAATCTCTTATTATTATTTTGGGAGGCTTTTTCTGAGTTTTGCATCTCATTTACAGGCTTGGGATTTCCTGGTGGTCTCCCATCCTTAACAGCTTAACAGGAAGATCAATCCGCTCACCTCTTGCTGTTCCATCATTCTGCTCAAACTTTGGGAAAACTTTTCCAGGCACTCCTAGGAGGGGAAAAAAGACATTAGAGGGTTTTTTTTTCTTTTAAAAGCCTCTGACGATCCAAGCTGAGCTGCCTGATCGGCAGAGTTTTTTTTTCTTTTAAAAGCCTCTGACGATCCCAGCTGAGTTGCCTGATCGGCAGAGGTTTTTTTTCTTTTAAAAGCCTCTGACGATCCCAGCTGAGTTGCCTGATCGGCAGAGGTTTTTTTTCTTTTAAAAGCCTCTGACGATCCCAGCTGAGTTGCCTGATCGGCAGAGGTTTTTTTTCTTTTAAAAGCCTCTGACGATCCCAGCTGAGTTGCCTGATCGGCAGAGGTTTTTTTTCTTTTAAAAGCCTCTGACGATCCCAGCTGAGTTGCCTGATCGGCAGAGGTTTTTTTTCTTTTAAAAGCCTCTGACGATCCCAGCTGAGTTGCCTGATCGGCAGAGGTTTTTTTTCTTTTAAAAGCCTCTGACGATCCCAGCTGAGTTGTCTGATCGGCAGAGGTTTTTTTTCTTTTAAAAGCCTCTGACGATCCCAGCTGAGTTGCCTGATCGGCAGAGGTTTTTTTTCTTTTAAAAGCCTCTGACGATCCCAGCTGAGTTGCCTGATCGGCAGAGGTTTTTTTTCTTTTAAAAGCCTCTGACGATCCCAGCTGAGTTGCCTGATCGGCAGAGGGTTTTTTTTTCTTTTAAAAGCCTCTGACGATCCCAGCTGAGTTGCCTGATCGGCAGAGTTTTTTTTTCTTTTAAAAGTCTCTGACGATCCCAGCTGAGTTGCCTGATCGGCAGAGGCTTTTAAAAGAAAAAAGCCTCTGACGATCAGGCAACTCAGCTGGGATCGTCAGAGGCTTTTGAAAGCATTTTTTTACAACTTCTTCGCCAAAGAGGTTCTAGAATAAATGGGTTTTAAAAGAAAAAAAAATTGGCCATGCCCACCCGGTCACCCACCCCCCACCAAGCCACGCCCACAGAACCGGTAGTAACAAATTTTAGATTTCACCCCTGGTTCGGGGGCACCCCCGGCCTCTCCCCCACCCCCCTCAAATCCACTTACGCTCATCAACGTGTCCCCCGAGGAATTCTGGGAAAGCTCCTGGATCCCCGAGGCAAAACTTTTGCTGTGGCTGCAGAATTGGCGCCCGGATTCCAGCATGGTGCCACCCAGCTTCAGCAACTGCCAGGGAGGGCAAGGAGGACAGACGGCGGGTCAGAATTGGGACACACGGACCCCAGGAGCGGGCACCTGGGCTTTGCTCTGCTGAGGGGGTGGGGGCTGGGATAACTGCACCCCCCACCCCACCCCACAGACCGGCCTTGGCACACCCTGGGGCAGTGCCCACCTGCTCAAGACGGCACCAGACGGGCGTTCCAGCTGGCAAGATCAGGAACAATACAGGTAGTCCTCGGCTTACGACCATTTGTTTAATGACTATTTGCAATTAGGTCCTTGCACTAATGTCCCTGTAGACCCATATTTTAAATTTGGGTGCTTGGCAACCAACAAGGGTGGTACCATCCCAAGGTCACGTGACTACAATTTTCCTTCCTTCCTTCCTTCCCTCCTTTTCCTTTTGTCTACTTTCCTTCCTTTCTTCTTTCCATCTTCCTTTCCTCCCTCCCTCCCTTCTTTTCTTTCCTTCTTCCTTCCTTTTGTCTTCTTTTCCTTCCTTCCTTTTGTCTACCTTCCTTCCTTTCTTCCTTCCATCCATCTTCCTTTTCTTTCCTCCCTTCCTCCTTTCCTTCTTTCCTTTTTTCCTTCCTTCCTTTTGTCTTCCTTTCCTTCCTTCCTTTTGTCTACCTTTCTTCTTTCCTTCATCCTTCCCTCCTTTTGTCTACCTTCCTTTTCTTCCTTCCATCTTCCTTTCTTTCCTCCCTCCCTCCCTCCTTTCCTTTCTTCTTTCCTTTTTTCCTTCCTTCCTTTTGTCTTCCTTTCCTTCCTTCCTTTTGTCTACCTTCCTTCCTTCCATCATTCCTTCCTTCCTTTTGTCTACCTTCGTTCCATCTTCCTTCCTCCCTCCCTTCTTCCTCCCTTTCCTTTTTTCCTTCCTTCCTTGTCTTCCTTTCCTTCCTTCCTTCCTTTTGTCTACCTTCCTTCCTTCCTTCCTGTCTTTCTTTCCTTCCTTCCTTCCTTCCTTCCGTCTACCTTCCTTCCTTCCTTCCTTCCTTCCTTCCTTCCTGTCTTTCCTTCCTTCCTTCCTTCCCTCTGTCCCTCCTTTTTTGCCTCTCTTTTTCCCTTCACTCTCTTTCCTTCCCTTTCTCTCCTTCCTACCTACCCAGGGGGATTCTGGGAGAACTCCTGGATCCCTGATACAAAAACAGAGTCCCTAGGGAGTTGGGCGGCATAGAAATATGATTAATTTAATTAAACTCTTGCTGTGGCTGCAGCATTCGCTCCCGGATTGCCATCTAACGCACCTTTAACTCGTTGATTAATTTAGCTTGTCTTGAGTTATTTTTTTCCCACTTTGCTGAAGTCAAGATATATTACGTTGACTGCATTCCCACCATCTACTAAGAAAGTTACCCTACCCCCCAAAAATGTGATCTTTGTCTTATCCATGCTGAATTTCAGGAAACTCTTAACCGGCTGGGGAATTCTGGGAGTATCGAAGAAACACCCGTTTCGGATCTAAAAGGACCTAAATCCAGTGGTGGGATTCAGCCAGTTCGCACTTAATCGGGAGAACCGGCTGTTAACTTTCTAAGCAGTTCGGAGAACCGCTTGTTGGAAGAAATCTTATTTTGTTTTTTCCCACTTTACAGGGCTAATCCTGTAAGGAAGGCAGGAAGGAAACATTCTGGTGGCGTTTCTAGCCTAATCTTTATTGTCCTGCTTATAGAAACTGCCTCTCTGATTAACCCTTGTTACATTGTAACAGTAAGATGAAGCGCCTATTGACGTGAGTGACATTGAGTTGGCCACATCCACATGGTCACATGACCACCAAGCCACGCCTACCCAGCTGGTCATTAGGGCAGAGAACCGGTTGTTAAATAATTTGAATCCCACCACTGCCTAGATCACAAAGGATCTGAGCTGTTCTAGGACAGATTCTGCTTTAGGCAGGAAATTGCTCTCCTGCGGTGTCAAATGGTGCAATCCAGAAGCATTTAAAGGCCTGTAAACAAATATTTTGTGATGTTTCTCTTTCTTGCTCGTCTCCAATCCCCCTCCTTGCAACTTCTAGATTTTTCTCCGGGAGGGGGGGAGGAGGAGGAGGAGGAGGGGCAAAGTATTTTGTGCAAAGTTTGCAACGTATTTGGTGCAAAAACTCAGCCGGGGTCTTAAGCTGACACGTCGTGGAAGACCTGCTCACCTTTTCCAACTGAGTTTCCAAAACCGATACTTCTAGTTCCACAGTCTCAACGGCGGCCCTGAGAGTAGGGGGAGGTTTGTGGGGAGAGGGGGGGGAGAGAAAGAAAGGAAATATGTCACCCAGGGCGGGTTAGAAACCACTGCAGAGATATGATGAGCGCGAACGCCTGGGCTTCAAAGCTGAGCCGTAGCCACAGAATCATGACACCGTACGAGTCTTGCAATTTCCGTTTGCGTCTTGCAGTGCCACGTTGGGAACAAGCAGCCACGGAAGGCATTTCTTTTTGCAGAAATTAAAAGGAGTCGGTGGGTCTGCTTCTTCGTCCTCAACCAAGCGGGCTGTCCCGATTTGGAGTTGGGACTCCATTGCCCAGAATTCTTTGCAGGAGATTCCCAGGGTGCATCTCAAAAGAGTGCCAGGCTGGGAAAAGCTGTGTGGAAACAATGTTTTTCCAACTTCAGCACGATGGACTTCAAGTCCCAGAATTCCTCCACCAGCACATCAGTTTTCCATTTAATTATCCTGCCACGTAGTCATAATTCGTTTATTCGTTTAGCTTGTGATGTTATTTTTTTTTCACTTTCAAGATATATTACGTCTACCGCATTCCCACTATCTACTAAAAAAGTTACTCTATCAAAAGAACAAAACAAAAAAAAGGGATATTTGTTCATGTCTAATCCATGCTAAATTCCGGTAAACCCTTGCCGGCTGGGGGATTATGGGAGTAGAAGTCCACCCCTCTTAAAAAAAGCCATGTGGGGAATTATGGGATAAGAAGTCCATCCCTCTTAACTTCCTGAGGTTGAGAAACACTGTGGTCGAGTTACGTTGCAGGTGATACTTGACTGACCGGTCCAGTCAATGAGGAATTGCAATTTCCCAGTTAGAACAATTAACCGGTGGAACGACTTGCCACCAGAAGTTGTGGGTGCTCCATCACTGGAGGTTTTTAAGACGAGATTGGACAACCATTTGTCTGAAATGGTATACTGTAGGGCAGTGATGGCTAACCTTTTTGCTGTCGCGTGCCAAAAGCGGGGGAAGAGCGGGAGGGTCGCGCACGCGTGTCCACACCCATAATTCAATGCGCCCCACCCCCACACGCATGCGTACGTGACCCTCCCCTTTTGGCACGCGATGGCACAATGGGTCCGGTAGGCCTGTTTTTCACCCTCTCCGGGCTCCAGAGGCTTTCTAGGAGCCTGGGGAGGGCAAAAACTGCCTTCCCCACTCCCCAGAGGCTGGAAACAGCCTGTTTCCCGACTTCTGGTGGGACCGGAAGGCCCGAAAATCAGCTGGCCGGCGCACGCATGCGCACTGGAGCTGAGTTAGGGCAACGCTCATGTGCCCACAGATATGGCTCCGCGTGCCACCTGTGGCACGCATGCCATAGGTTCGCCATCCTGGCTGTAGGGTCTCCTGCTTGAACTGAGGTTGGACTAGAAGACCTCCCAAGGTCCCTTCTATTCTGTTATTCCGTACATGATAACATTTTCCCTTCCAGAATACCCAGGAAAAACAATTCCAGCTTTTTTTCTATCTTCTGCCCTGTTATTTCATCCAGCCATTTTTTAAATCTTGTCCCAAAATTTCCTAATCTTAGGACAGGTCCACCACATGTGGTAGAATGTCCCTTGTTTGTGTCCGCACCTCCAACAATTCGGAAGACCTATTCGAGAACATCCTGGCCAATCTCGCTTTACATTTTGTAAAGATTTTTTTTATAAGCAGAGACGGACAGATTATCGATGGAAATGAAGGAGAGGGAGGACACCGAGTACTATTTAATATGGTTATTCTATATTATTTAATATTTTAATTATTATTTAATATGGTATTCCTGGTTGGAGAGTAAACACAAAACTTAAGGGATGTTTTTGTCACGAGGTCGGATTGTAAATAGAAGTCAAGGTCATTTAGATAAAGATGTAAGTTTAAAATAAAGAGATATTTAGAAGTAGAATTTGTGTAAAGAGGTTAAATAGGCTAGAGATGCCGATGCAGAAAAGTTGTTATGAGTATTGAAATTTTGATATGTTTGTTTTCGGTTGTTTATATTTTTTCGTTTTCTTGTGTGTGTGTGCATGTGTTTTTCTTGATTTTTTTGTGTATTATGTTTCTTTTTGTACTGTGTATTTTAATCTTTGGAAATTTAATAAATATTTAAAGAAAAAAAAAAAAGAAACACACATCCATACAGCCTCTGCTCCGTTGCGGTCATCTCACAATTTCCTGCCTCCGTCAAGAGGTTGAATACCTTATTTATTTATTTATTTATTTATTTATTTATTTATTTATTTATTTATTTATTTATTTATTTTGTATGTATGTATGTATGTATGTATGTATGTATGTATGTATGTATGTATGTATGTAATTTATATGCCGCCCTTCTCCCGTAGGACTCAGTGCGGCTTACAAATGCAGTGATGACAAGAACCCAAAGCCTCTCTCCAACTTGGCCCCTACTAAACAGGTTGGGGTTCGTTGGCCATCATCCTACAGCCAGCCAGGGTGTTGTGGAGGATGGGATTTGTAGTTCAAAAATCTACCAATGCTGGGAAGGCAGTGTCTGCAGATGTCGTAACCCTCCTGCCTTCAAAATATTGGTAGACTTAGAACAACAAATCCCATCATGTGTAGGGTCCTGAGTGCTGTCCGAGCAGGGTGGACGTTTCATGACCCAACTAGGGAACGTCTTCAGTGCTAGGAGGGAGGGGGGATTGTGGAATGGTGGGAGGAGGAACAGGAGGATTTGGGGAGGGTCCTTGGGGCTCTTTCAGCTTGGTGGTTTTCTTGCAGGCGTTTCATGAACCATATGGTAATGCCATCAGTGCTAGGAGGCACGTGGGTTTGCAGAAGGCAGGAAGCGAAAGAGAGGGAGGGAAGGAGGGAGGGAGGGAGGAAGGAAGGAAGGAGGGAAGGTAGAGGCTATGGGGTCTTCAGTGCTCTCTGAGCTTGATGGTTTTCTTGGAGGCATTTTATGACCCAACTAGAGAATATCATCAGTGCTAGAAGGGAGGTGAGTTTGCGCTGCAGAGGGGAGGAGGAGGAGGAGGAAAAGGAGGGAGGGAGGAAGGAAGGAAGGATCATGAATGCTAAAAGGGAGGTGGGTTTGCAGAGGGGAGGAGGAGGAAGAGGAGAAGGAGGAGGAGGAGGAGGAAAAGGAGGGAGGGAGAGAGAGAGCGGGAAGAAGGAAGGAAGGAAAAATGGATCACCAATGCTAAAAGGGAGGTGAGTTTTCAGAGGGGAGGAAGAGGAGGAAGAGGAGGAGGAAGGAAGGGAGGGAGGAAGGAAGGAAGGAAGGAAGGAAGGAAGGAAGGAAGGAAGGAAGGAAGGAAGGAAGGAAGGAAGGATCATGAATGCTAAAAGGGAGGTGAGTTTGCAGAGGGGAGGAAGAGGAAGGAAGGAAGGAAGGGAGGGAGGGAGGAAGGAAGGAACAATGGATCATCAATGCTAAAAGGGAGGTGAGATTGCAGAGGGGAGGAAGAGGAGGAAGAAAGGAAGGAAGGGAGGGAGGGAGGAAGGAAGGAAAAATGGATCATCAATGCTAAAAGGGAGGTGAGTTTGCAGAGGGGAGGAAGAGGAGGAAGGAAGGAAGGAAGGAAGGAAGGAAGGAAGGAAGGAAGGAAGGAAGGATCATGAATGCTAGAAGGGAGATGGGTTGTGGAGGGGAGGAGGACAAAAAAGAGAAGGAGGAAGAGGAGGAGGAGGAGGAGGAGGAGGAGGAGGAGAAGGAGGACAACTGCGGGGTCCTTGGTGCTCTCTGAGGTTGATGGTTTTCCCATTTCATGACCCAACTAGGTAACATCACCAGTTCTAGAGGGAGTGGCGTTTGCTCTCTCTTTATATCCTAGATATCTCCCTTCTTTATATCCCATCCTCCACAGCCAGCCTGAAGGCGATGGGCCCTTTTCAGCCAAGATGGCTGCCGGCCCCCCCACCCTCCCTCCCTCCCTCCACGGGGGCCACGTTAGAAAATCCAAACCAAGAAAAGAGAAGCGAAGCGAAGCCACATCCGCTGCGAAATGAACCAAAACTGCAGGAAACGTTATGAAAAACAAAACGAAACCCTCCTGCAAAAAACGAAAAAGCAGATTCACGCACGGGGTGGGGGGGGGAAACCCTGCACCCCCAAAACAAGAGGGGTGCAGCCCCCCCGGGACACGGAAAGCCTGGAAAAATTCTGGCAGGAGGAGCAACGTGGCACAGGTGGAAAAAAATACGACTTTTGGAAACCATTTCTCACATCCTTGGCAAGCTTCAGAAGGGAAATATATTGCTTTTTTGGCCCTTGGCATCGCGACCGGGGGGGGGATGGCTCACCCGACTTCCCCCCAACCATCATCCTCTGCCAACGCAGCCCACTCGCCTCCTGGCAGGGGATGATGGGCGCTGGAGCATGCCCCAAGCGAAGGAGGAGAGGAGAGAGAGTTTAAACAAGCCCAATCCAACAAGCCATGATGGCTAGGGAACAGCCGGTTTGCAGGCGTGGAAGTGGGGGCGGAAAACACCAAATTTTCCACCCTTAATAATGAGGAAGAAATTATATTTCCTAAATAACGCACAAGATTTGGGGACCCTAAGACGGTTTGCTTGCGTTTAAAGCAAAGAAACAAAAAAATCCCTTGAAATAGATCCTAATGTAAAACGCAAGCGGGTCCTTGACTTACGACGGTCCGCTTAGTGACCGAAGTTACAATGGCACTGGACAAAGGGACTTAAAAGGCCCTTTTTCACACTTGCAGCCATCCCCGTGGGATTAAAAAAAAATTCAGAGGCCTAGACACTGACTCACATTTATGACTTTCGCAACATCCCGAGGTCGCACGATTCCCCTTTTGCGACCTCCTGAATCCGGCAAAAAAAAAAAAAGCCGGATTCGCTTAACGACCTCGTTACTCACTGAACAATCGCACTGATTCTCTTTAACAACGGTGGCAAGGATGGGCACAACACGGGGCGAAGCTCGCTTAATACAAGTCTCGGTTAACGACGGAAATTGGGTGGGGGGCGGCTGCCCCCTGGTACTGTAAATAAAAATAGAGCAGGGAAATAAGGGATGACAAAAAGGAGGGAAGAATATAAAAAAGGAAAAGAAAAGAAAGAAGCAAGCATTGATGTCCAACTGTCTTCGCGGCAATAAGAGAGTGCAAAATTGAGATTAAAACCTCAATTTTTTTTTTTCCTGTTTTTAATGTTGAGCAGAAATGAGTCATTTTTTGGAACAGTCGACTAATCTGATCATCATATTCAAACTTCAATTTTTTCCCCCCCGCTCTGTTTCAAACACGAAAGTCCCCAAAGGGGTTTCTAAGCAAAACAGGATTTATTCTTTTTTTCTCGGATTAAAACAGATTACGGGTTATCCTCTCTTTACAACCGTTCATTTAGTGTGAACGGTTCCAAGTTACGACAGCTCAGGAAAAAAAACCCGAGTTAGGACCCTTCTTCACACTTAATGACCTCCTCCGTGCACACCATTTTTGACGATTCACGACGGTGGCGCCGTGAAGTCAACGGACTCGCTTAACAACCATGGGACTCGCTTAACCACGGCAGCGATTCGCTTAACAACGGTGTCAAGGAAGGTCTCTAAACGGAGGGCAAAACCCCACTTTGAATCAATGCCTCGCTCTTAGCGACAGAAAGGCTGCGTTCCCCCCCCCCTTAGGGTCGTAAGACGAGGACTGCCTGTAATTTGGCCAGCTCCATCCTTCCGCCCCCTCCGTCTGTTCTTCCGTTGCGAGAACTGACCTACAGAAGATGGGGGTTGCAACACGGGAGGTGGGGCAAGGCTCCGGAGAACTCGGTGTGTTTTGTGTGTGTGCTTGCGTGTGCGTGTGTGTGTGTGTGTGTGTGTGAGACAGGAAGCCACAGGCCACAAGTTGTTCTGCAAGCGGCCGTAACAACAAGCTCATTTATGGCCCACCCGCAGCCAAGTCAGGTTTTTCCGGCCTCGCCGCTTCCAGACACGGCAGTTTTAATTCCCCAGCTGGCCTTTTGCAAGGAGATAAATCCTGGTTTGCGCGACAGGCCAGCCGATCATGGTTTGCGCCCCTGCCTTAGGCCCAACAGACCGAATCTCTCGCTAAACCGTGCTTAGAATGGAATAACAAGAGTCGGAAGGGACCTTGGAGGTCTTCTAGTCCAACCCCCCTGTTTAGGCAGGAAACCAGACATCGCTTAATCGAGGTTGCACGACGGGCTGGTCAAAGATGGCTTCTTTGAGATTGCGTGTATTTTTTAAAAAAAAAAAAGAAAAGAAAAGGTTTTATTTATTTATTCCAACAGGCGGGGCTAAACATACGAACATGCGAATGATTTTTTAAATGTTATCTAATTCTGGGTTTTATTTGATTGACCAAACTAAGTAATAATTTTAATTAGCAATTTTATGATGTTTGTGCCTCTATATTTTTTCTTGACTGTACACCGCCTGGAGTCCTACGGGAGAAAGGCGGTATAGAAACACAATAAATAAATAAATCAATAAATTGGTTGATCAGAACGTAAAACGCAAAGAGAGCGGAAATTAAAGGGGAGGAAAAAGGGAAAAAAGAGCAAAAAGGGATAGAAGGAAAAAAATAGGGAGGGAGGGGGAGTGACTTCTGATTCTTTTTAGCATAGTAGAAAGATAATCACATTACGGCCTCAATTTTTATACAATAATATACAGCGGCCATTTCTATCGCAACAAACCGATCTAATAAATAGAGACACCCAAAGTCAAAATTTCATTTTTTTTCCCCCCCTCCCCATCCCAAGCACAAAGCCCAGAAACGGTTTCCAAACGGAAATAAAAATAAAATACGTTCTTTTCTTGGAATAAAGCAATCCATTGAACCGTCTTCTACTTTAGGATTGGGGGTGTTGTGCGAATGGAGGCTTGGAACCTGCTGGTTTCCCGGGGGGGGGGGCGGGGGAAGGAGAGGTCTGGTGGGGGGGGAGGGGTCTCACATACCACTGCATGCAAACATGCGTGTTAAACCGGGTTGCGTCCTAGGCCTGTCGCTGGCTTGCTGTCGGGGTACAAAACGGTTCTCGTGCGAGACACAAAAGTGTGTCATGTCTACACAACCACGGAGAGAGTAGCTGGGTGTGTATACCTACCACTTGTCCTGTGGCCCACCCCCCACAATTAACACCAATGCATAACCCTGCGTCTCCCAGTTGCAACCAGTTTGCAGGTGGAAGCTGGGGACGAGCTGGGAAGGAGGGTGGGGTAAGGGGGATGTAAGAAGAGACCCCCCCACCCAATAGGAAGCGGATCTCCTGGCGCCCTCCCCCCCCCCAATCTGAACCAGGGCAAAATTGCAGAAGTCAAACTCAGGGTCGCCTCCTTGGGAGGGTCTGACAGCCCCTCACCCCACTTTGCTCTCAGGACCCTCCTGGCAGAGGGAAGATACAGGGATGGGAAATGGGGAGGGGGCTGCCCTTTAAAATTGGTCATAGAGCCGGGAAGGGCCAGAGCCAAGCGAAGGGGGGGAGGGAGGGGGAGAGAAATAGGGGGAGATGGAGAGAGGGGGGAGAGAGGGAGGAAATGGGAAGGGAGGTAGAGGGGAGAGAGGGGGAGTTGGGGGGAGAGAGGGAGGAGAGAAGGGGTGGGGTAGAGGGGAGAGATGGGGGGAAATAGGGGAGATGGGGAGTGGGTGAGATAAGGGGAGTTGGGGGAGAGAGGGAGGAGAGATGGGGAAGACAGATGGAGGAGGAGAAAAATAAAGGAGTTGGGGGAGAAAGGGAGGAAATAAAGGGGGAAGGTAGAGGGGAGAGAAATAGGGGAGATGGGGAGGGGGGAGATAAGGAGGAAATGGAAAGGGAGGTAGAGGGGAGAGAGGGGGTGGGGTAGAGGAGAGATGGGGAAGATAGGTGGAGAGAAATGGGGGAGATGGGGGGATGGAGAGAGGGAGAGAGGGATGGGGAGGAAGAGGGGAGAGAAATGGGGGAGGGGGAGTTGGGGGAGAGAAGAGAGAGGGGGAATGTGGAGGGAGAGAAATAGGGAGATGGGGAGGGGGGAGATAGGGAGGAAATGAAAGGGGGGGGGAGGTAGAGGGGAGAGGGGAGTTGGGGGAGGGAGGAGGGAGGGGGTGGGGTAGAGGAGAGATGGGGAAGATGGGGGGAGAGAAATAGGGGAGATAGGGAGGAAATAGAGGGGGAGGTAGAGGGGAGAGATGGGGAGGAGATGGGGAGATGGGGGATGGAGAGAGGGAGAGGGAGAGGGGGAGAGAGAGGAGGAGGAGACGGGAGGGGGGTAGAGGGGTAGAGGGGAGAGATGGGGAAGATAGGGGGAAATGGGGGGGATGGGGGGATGGAGAGAGGGAGGGGGAGGAAGAGGGGAGAGAAATGGGGGAGGGGGAGTTGGGGGAGAGAAGGAGAGAGGGGGAATGTGGAGGGGAGAGAAATAGGGGAGATGGGGAGGGGGAGGATAGGGAGGAAATGAAAGGGAGGTAGAGGGAGAGGGGGAGTTGGGAGGAGGAGGTAGGGGGTGGGGTAAGGAGAGATGGGAAGATGGGGGGAGAGAAATAGGGAATAGGGAGAAATAGAGGGGAGGTAGAGGGAGAGATGGGGAAGATGGGGGAGATGGGGGGATGGAGAGAGGGAGAGGGGAGAGGGGGAGAGAGGGAGGAGGAGACGGGGAGGGGGGTAGAGGTATAGGGGAGAGATGGGGAAGATAGGGGGAAATGGGGGATGGGGGATGGAGAGAGGGAGGGGGAGGAAGAGGGAGAAAATGGGGAGGGGAGTTGGGGGAGAGAAGGAAAGGGGAATGTGGAGGGGAGAGAAATAGGGAATGGGAGGGGGAGATAGGGAGGAAATGGAAAGGGAGGTAGAGGGGAAGGGGAGTTGGGGGAGGAGGAGGAGGGGGTGGGAAGGAAGATGGGGAAGATGGGGGGAGAGAAATAGGGGAATAGGGAGGAAATAGAGGGGAGGTAGAGGGGAAATGGGGAAGATGGGGAGATGGGGGGATGGAGAGAGAGGGGAGAGGGGGGAGAGAGGGGAGGGAACGGGGAGGGGGTAGAGGGGTCGACGGGGAGAGATGGGGAAGACAGGGAAATGGGGGGATGGGGATGGAGAGAGGGAGGGGGAGGAAGAGGGGAAGAAATGGGGGGGGCGTTGGGGAGAGAAGGAGAGAGGGAATGTGGAGGGGAAGAAATAGGGGAGTTGGGGGGAGAAAGGAGGAAACAGAGAAGGATGGGGAGGTAGAGGGAGGGGAGAGAAAGAGGGGAGGGATGGAGGGAATAAGTGGGGGAGGGGAGAGAGAAAGGGAGGGGGCGAGAGGGGGGGTCCTTGCCCTCTTTCTCCGCAGCAGCCCCTCCCCCAAAGGCTGAGAGCCGTGGGGCCGAGGGAGGGAGGGAGGGGGGGAAAGCGAGCGGAGCGTGCATCCACCAGGTGCCCCCTGGACGGCGCCTGCCTCCGCCTGGCAGTGCCTGTGGGGGGGATTGGGGGGGGGGGGCGTTGTGGGGAGGGGGGATTGTGGGGGGGGCGTTGTGAGGAGGGGGGGATTGTGGGGGGGGTTGTGGGGAGGGGGGGCGTTGTGGGGGGGGGTTGGCGTGGTGTCCCACCTGAAGCGGGGGGAGTCGCGGAGCCCTTCCTCCAAGCCCAGCGTGACCGTCATGCTGGCCGGCGGGGCGTCGGGGGCTGCCGGGGGGCGGCGGAGGCGGCGGCGGGGCCAGAAGCGAGGCAGGAGCCGGAGCTGGAGATGCCGGAGCTGCTGCTGAAGCCGCCGCGGTGCCCGCTCCGCCCCGGGAGGGAGTTGCCAGCCGCCGCCCAGCATCCCTTCGCCCGCCCAGCCCAGAGGAGGGGAAGGCCCAGGGCGCCCCCTGCAGGCAGGGCTCTCCCCCGCCACGCCCCCCCACACACACCTACACACAAATACACACAAACACAAACACACAACCACACACACACACACACACAAGTACACACAAACCCACAAATACACACAAACACAAATACACACACTCACAAACACAAGCACACAAACACACACAAATACAAGCCCACAAACACACACACAAGCACACAAATACACACACAAAAACAAACACACACACAAATACAAGCCCACCAACACAAGCCCACAAATACACACACACACACACACACAAGCACAGAAGCCCACAAACACACACAAACACAAGCACACAAACACATACAAAGAAGTCCACAAATACACACACAAAGAAACACAAGCACACACACAAGCACAGAAGCCCACAAACACACACACAAGCACACACACAAACACAAGCAAACAAACACACACACCACAGAAGCACACAAACACACACCCAAACACACACTCTCACAAGCAAAGAAGCCCATAAACAAGAGACACAAACAAACACAAGCACAGGCACAAGCACAGAAGCCCACAAAACACCCACAAACACACAATCACACAACCCCCCCCCCCCCAGTCAGGCCTGGCTTTGGACTCACTCCACCCGGCCCAGCACTCCAGCTCCACCTGCACCTCATTCTCACGTGCAACTCCCGTTCAGAGGTGGGGAAAGAGCCCCCCCCTCCCCTCCCCTTCCCCAGTGGACTTGTCCCCCCCCCCCGGGCAACCTTTCCTCTCACCTGGCCGGCAGGTAGGAGCGGCTGGCGTGGGACCCCCGAGGGCTTTGGGACTAAAACTCCCGTGTTTTCGTTTCCTCCCTCTCCACGCCTTTCAAGCGTGGGAAAATCGCGTCCCCAAAGGAATTGTTACCCCACAAAATTCTCCCCCACTTCCCACCCACCCCCCCACCCCCGGCAAACTCGGCTCCAAATGCCGCTTTGGGAACAGGCGGGGACGGGAGACGGGGACGATTTGCACTGCTCTCTGCCGGGATGGCTGTGGGATTTCCTTGTGGTCTCCTTTCCCAGTGCCAAATCTTTAACTTCTTTTTTGTTTTTTCCCAAGGCCGGCTGGGCGAAAAGTGCAAAACGACCCTGGTAGGTAGGTAGGTGGCCTTGAGGGGTTTCTGTCTTCCGCGGAGTGCTTTTCTCTCCCTCTCCGCCCCGCAAGACTCAGTTCAAAAGTATTTAAAACTCTTCCGAACAAACCGAGATCGGAAGTCTGGGCTGTCGACGCGTCTATAAACCCACAAAATTTCCCTTCGAGCCAACTCGGCTCTGGGTGTTTCCTTGGCAAGAGGAAGCGTAAAGATTTGGATGGCTCTCCGTTCGGGGTTTCTTTCAAGCTCCCAATTTCCTTGGGATTTCCTTGTGGTCTCCTTTCCATGTACCAATCTTCACTTTTTTTTCCTCCCAAGGCCGGCTAGAACAAAGGTGCAAAGCTTGAAGATCAGGCCGGTTCAACCCCAGATAAAACTTTTAATAGAGAGGCAACCCCCCCCCCACTTTTTAATCAGGAAATGACCCCCCCACTCGCACACACACTTAGTAATCATTAAAATAAAGATTAAGTGAGGTGTAAAGATACTACAGATTTCTGGATCGCCGTTTCCTTCAAGCAGAAATGATGACATCAGAAGTGCCCCCCTCACCCTTAAAGTGATCAAGGTTGACAAACAGAAAACTTATTTTACCTGAATTATTTATGATTATTATTTATGATTAATCATTATAAATAATAATTATAATTATTAAAATTATATTTAGATTTAGATTGATTGCTTATTTAGCTTCCTGGGAGTGTTGTATCTTATGATTTATGATGAATTTTTTTTTTTTAGGATGACTATGATTGTGATTGATCACTTACGGCTTTTATGCACAGTGAGAGTTTATGCACCAGAGACAAATTCCTTGGTTGTGTCCCATCACACCTGGCCAATAAAGAATTCTAGTTTTTTTGAAGGACTGTCCCATAGAAAGGAGAGCCCACTCCCCCTCTCTGCAGCCCCAGAATGTGGGGACCAGAATCGGGGGGGGATGATAGCTGACTGGGTGACTTTGGGCCGACCGCCAGGAGACGGTGAGTTCTAGTCTCGCTTTAGGCATTAAAAGCGGCTGTGAATTGAAGCAGTCACTAGGAGAGGGTGAGTTCTAGTTCTACCTTGGCATGAAAAACCAGCTGGGTGACTTAGGGCCCAATCACCAGGAGATGGTGAGTTCTAGTCCCGCTTTAAGCATGACAGCTGGCTGGGTGACTTTGGGCCAATCACCAGGAGACGGTGAGTTCTAGTCCCGCCTTAGGCATTAAAAGCGGCTGGGTGATTTTGAAGCAATCCCTAGGAGATAGTGAGTTCTATTCTACCTTGGCATGAAAACCAGCTGGGTGACTTTGGGCCCAATCACCAGGAGATGGTGAGTTCTAGTCCCGCTTTAAGCATGACAGCTGGCTGGGTGACTTTGGGCCAATCACCAGGAGACGGTGAGTTCTAGTCCCCCTTAGGCATTAAAAGCGGCTGGGTGATTTTGAAGCAATCCCTAGGAGATAGTGAGTTCTAGTTCTACCTTGGCATAAAACCAGCTGGGTGACTTTGGGCCCAATCACCAGGAGATGGTGAGTTCTAGTCCCGCTTTAAGCATGACAGCTGGCTGGGTGACTTTGGGCCAATCACCAGGAGACGGTGAGTTCTAGTCTCGCCTTAGGCATTAAAAGCGGCTGGTGATTTTGAAGCAGTCACTAGGAGAGGGTGAGTTCTAGTTCTACCTTGGCATGAAAAACCAGCTGGGTGACTTTGGGTCCAATCACCAGGAGATGGTGAGTTCTAGTCCCGCTTTAAGCATGACAGCTGGCTGGGTGACTTTGGGCCAATCACTAGGAGACGGTGAGTTCTAGTCCCGCCTTAGGCATTAAAAGCGGCTGGGTGATTTTGAAGCAATCCCTAGGAGATAGTGAGTTCTAGTTCTACCTTGGCATGAAAATCGGCTGGGTGACTTTGGGCCAATCACCAGGAGACGGTGAGTTCTAGTCCCGCCTTAAGCATGACAGCTGGCTGGGTGACTTTGGGCCAATCACCAGGAGATGGTGAGTTCTAGTCCCGCCTTAAGCATGACAGCTGGCTGGGTGACTTTGGGCCAATCACCAGGAGATGGTGAGTTCTAGTCCCGCCTTGGCATGAAAGCCAGTGAGTAACTTTGGGCCAATCACCAGGAGACGGTGAGTTCTAGTCTCGCCTTAGGCATTAAAAGCAGCTGGGTGACGTTGAAGCAATCACCAGGAGATGGTGAGTTCTAATCCCACTTTAGGCATAAAAGTAACCTGGTTAACTTTGAGCCAATCGCCAGGGGATGGTGAATTCTAGTCCTGCCTTAGACATGAAAGCCAGCTGGGTGACTTTTCCCCAGTCCCTCTCTCTTAGCTCAACCTACCTCACAGGGTTGTTGTGTGGGAAAACAGGAGGACGAAGGAACATTCCTCACCTTGAATGACCTACAACGTAATAAAGGCGGGATTAAAAAAAACAAAATCCAATAAATGAATAAAAGAACGTTCCGACTTTGTGGGCTGGGTGAGTCAGCGGAACAGCCTGCCACATGAAACGGTGAGGTCTCTTTTGCCACTAGGAGTCTTTGCTTCTTTATCCAGAAGACGAACCAGCTTTGGAAAGAGCGGGGAAGAAGCAGCAATAGCAAACTGTTAATTAATCCCTGGGATTTGAACGATTAGCAAAATTATTTGGCCAAGAGAATAAATTAATATTCTCGTCTCTGGCTGTGCATTGCTCCACCAATGGCCTCCATACAATGCCAGCCATGGAAACCAACTGCATTACCCAAGTGGGCCATGGGAGGGGGCTGTTGTTCCAGAACTAGATGGGACCCAGATTAAAGATTAACAGAGAGGGAAGGGACCTTGTAGGTCATCTAGTCCAACCCCACCTCCGCCCAAGCAGGAGAGCCTACACCATTTCTGACAAACGCAGTCCAATCTCTTCTTGAAAGTCTCAACCCAATATCAGGTAGTCCTCAATTTAGGACCACAATGGAGACCAGAATTTCTGTTGGACTAGAAGACCTCGGAGGTCTTCTAATCCAACCCCCTGCTCGAATAGGAGACCCTACATACCATCTCAGTCAAATGGTTGTCCAATCTCTTCTTGAACGCCTCCAGCGATGAAGCACCCAAAACTTCTGGTGGCAGGCAGTTCCACTGGTTAATTGTCCTCGCTGTTAGGAAATTTCTCTTTAGTTCTAGGTTGCATCTCTCCTTGGTTCGTTTCCATCCGTTGCTTCTTGGGTTCTTTGGAAAAATAGCCTGAAACCATCACACACACACCCCTCTTCTTTGGGGCAGCCCCACAAATATCAGAAGACTGCTATCATGTCACTTCTTGGTCCTTCTCTTTGTTAGACTAAGAGAGTTGGAAGGGACCTTGGAGGTCTTCTAGTCCAACCCCCTGCTCAGGCATGAAACCCTATCCCATTTCAGACAAGTGGCTGTCCAGTCTCTTCTTAAAAACCTCCAGTGATGAAAGCACCACAACTTCTGGTGGCAGGCAGTTGCACTGGTTAATTGTCCTCACTGTCAGGAAATTTCTCTTTTAATTCCAGGTTGCTTCTCTCCTTGGTTCGTTTCCATCCGTTGCTTCTTGTCCTGTCTTTCAGGTGTTTTGGAGAATAGGTGGACCCCCTCCTCTTCTTTGGGGCAGCCCCTCAAATATTGGAAAGCTGCCATCATGTCCCCCCCCAAGTCCATCTTTTCATTAAATTGAATACATCCAATTCCTGCAACCGTTCTTTTATATTTTATCCTCTAGCCCCCTAATCCTCTTCGTTGCTCTTCTCTGCACCCTTTCCAGAGTCTCAACTTCTTCTTTTTTTTATATCGTGCCGACGAAAAACCACCAAACCAAGGGATTCGAGCCCCTATTTCTGTGGGTCAGGCAGGCATTGCCCCATCCAGTTGCTCTTCCAATTATTTATTTATTTATTTATTTATTTATTTATTTATTTATTTATTTATTTATTCATTCTATCATCCATCCATCCATCTATCTATCCATCTATCTATCTATCTATCTATCTATCTATCTATCTATCTATCAATCATCTATCTATCTATCTATCAATCAATCAATCATCTATCTATATCTATCTATCAATCATCTATGTATCTATCTATCTATCTATCTATCTATCTATCTATCTATCATATTTATTTATGATCACATGTATTGATTGCTCATCTTACCATAGAGTAACTCTGGGCAGCTATGATTAAAAACTTAAGTATTTTTTTTCCCTCCCTAGCATTCCGTTGCAACCCTCTTTTCCGGAGATTTTGCATCCGGTGCTCCGAAGGTCAGGGACTTCTGATATTTTGCAACCTCCCGTGTTATCAGTTTAGGTATGCTGTGGGTTTTATCTAGGATTAAATAAACTCAGCTCCTTTATCTCTCTTTTTCCTTCCAATCCCCTGACTCATACATCTGAATTTAAACTGGGTTGTTTCTCTGTGTCAGAGAATATGTGTGGGCATATGCATAATTTTGTATTTATCTACTTATTTATTTTGTCATGTTTACGTAGTATAAATTACAAAATTTCGTTTTAATGTATGCAGATTAGTGTACATGCAATAAAGTTATATATTATATATATATATATATATATATATATATATGTATATATACAATAATAATAATAATTTTATTTCTATACCGCCCTTCTCCCGAAGGACTCAGGGTGGTGTACACCTGATTAAAAGCACAAAGACAAGCAAAATTTAAAAATAATTAAAATTATTAAATAATTGGCTCAATTATAAAACCCCCAAATTTAAAATCCCACATTTAAGACCAATTAAAATCTTTACATTGATAGCCCGGCCTGCGGAACAACAAGGTTTTGAGCGCACAGCGAAATACATAATACATATATACATACATGTGTACATCATCATCATATATATATAAATATATATCTATCTACGCACGATATCAGACCTCCGGACTTTTCGTCGGGCCCTGAAAAACACACTTATTCCATCTAGCCTGGCTGGCTTGATCCCATCCTCTCAGTTTTAATTGAATTCGGTTTTTAATTGGGTTGTTTTAAATCTTGGGCCGAAATTATTTAATTGTTTTTTTAAACTGTTTTTAAATTTTATATGCAATGTTTTATCTCGGCTGTACACCGCCCTGAGTCCCGCAGGAGAAGGGCGGTATAGAAATAAAATATAATAAATAAATAAATAAATAAATATATCCTCTAGCACCCTAATGCTAGATATGTACATTTTTTTTACGCATATATACATTTTTCTTTAACGTATATAAGTATTTAATAGACAGTGTATTATTATCTGGGTCATTTTACATGTATATATTAATAGTAATAATAATATTCTTTACTTGTACAGTAGTAGCCAAAATTGTGGAAACCTTTTGGGAAAATGTATTTTTGAGGTTTGATGGCTAATAACACCACTTTTTGGGGGGGGGGAGTTTCAAGATAATCCTATTCCGCTGCAGGAAGGACCTGGGAATAGCCCAGACCTTGTTAACCCAATTGAAAATCTATGGAGCAGACTAAAGAAACTGGTTAGTCAGAAGCGACCCAGCGATAAAACCCAGTTAATAGAAGCCATCATTCAATCTTGGTTTCACATTAGAACAGCTGCAGAAACTAAAAAACTTGGTTCACTCCATGGGAAGACGTTGTAAGGCCAAAATTCATGCTTAAAGGTTACCCAACTAAGGATTAACTGATATGGGGATAATTTTTGTATATCTCGTTTTTTTTCTATGGTGATAATTTTGGCATATCCCGTTTTTTCCACGTGTTTCACTTTTCTTCTTTACACTGTAACTTCATAAAAGTTATTGCATTACATTCTTGATTAAATTATTCCGTGTCTTCTTTATCCTTTATCTTGAATGTTAACCTATCCATTTCCGCACAATCGAATGTGGTTTTTTTTTAAATTAGATTTCCCTCTGAAAACAAGGAGTTTCCTCATTGTTCCAATGTTGTGCAAATACAATTCTCGTGTCAAAACATCTAGTATTAAATATACATTCCTATTATTATTATTTTATTATTATTATTATTATTATCCAAGCTGATTTCTGCTAATCTAATCTAATCTAGAGGGTTTACCGAACAATTTCATTACAATCAACTCTACAATGAGGCCAAGGTTTTGTCCAAAACAGTCTTATTTATTATATACAAAAAAAAAAAAATTAATATCAGTTGCCCAGTAATACGAATTTTTTTTAAAAAAAAAATACACAAAATGCACACAGCACCCGAAGAAATCAGGGCTTTAAATAAAGGCTAGGTTTTACTCTAAGGAGTAGATTGAATCTCCTTTCCGATTCCAATTTCAATTCCTCCCTTCCTCCAAACTCCCCCTCAAAAAAAGGTTAAAATCTATCCAAGCAAGCAAATCCCTTAACTCAAGGTAATCCCCCCACCCCCCAAAAAAATTTTTTTTATGATTTTGCAATAAAAGCCAGGAACCCTATTTACTGGGAGAATCTAAGGACGGGGTAAAAAAAAATGATCCGTATTTTTAAAGGGACAGGCTCGCATCAAACGGCCCCTCGCTTAACCCAAGGTTTCCCCAGCGAATGTACATATTTACACCATTTTCGAAGTCTTCGACCAGCGTGGCAAGAGTTAGCTATAGGAGTTTTGCGCTGGGCTGCCCCATGGAGAAGGAGGAAGACCCCTTTCCCTGGGTGAGACGAGACGGGAGGGTCAAAATTCCCTGCCCAAAAGATGCCAGTCTTGTAAACATCTGCCAGAGAATTCCGGTGACTGTGACAATTCTATGGGTCAAAAGTAGCAGAGATCCCCAATGCCAATTCCTCAGAATTCGGGGAGTGGAGGAGTGGTTGGGGGCTTTCTTTAGATCAATCCGACCTTCCCTTCGGGCCACCCAAAGACCATCTTCTCCCGGTGGATCAGTTTATTAAAGGGGAGATGAGTCCTACCCAGAAAACCTTACTAGCGCTTCCTCGATCTCGTTACCTTTCAGATGCGCTGGACTCCAAAGCCCATAATCCCCAGGGTCGAAAGGATTGGTGGAAGTCTTCCGTCTCCAATCTTTCCGGGCAGCCCGAGGAAAATACATCAAGGGGTTAACAATGCCCACCCTCCTCCCCTTCAGGGCCCGATCCCCAATGAAAATATTAAAATATCGCTTAATTAAAATAGGATCCCTATTTTTTTTTTTAATGTTAAAAAAAAATCAACCGATTCAATCGAAGGAATAATAAAAACAGAGTAAAAGGCTCCCCGACGGGGGTTTGGGATTTAAAAGTCTTAGATGCCCAGTTGGGCAGCAAAATCCAAACTGTTCCAGGCTCAGTGGCACATGGGTCTTGGCAGTGGCCTGGGCATCTAGACGTATTCTCGGCTACTGGGGGGTTTGGAGATGGGCATCGCTGCAGGATACTGGCGATTTTTGTACCCGGCTTCGTTTCCTGGACACGAACAGGCGAGCATCCCGCCCCCCAGCAACGACAAAGCGGCACCTGCCCAGCCGATGAAGATGGCAGGGCCAAATTCGTACCTAGGGCAGAAAAGGAGATTTACCGTCAGATGGCAAATAACAGGGGTGGGGTGTCCGGAGAGGTCCCTCTACCCCCTAAGACCCCCTCCTCACAAAGTTCCCCATTTGCCTGTCTCTGCAGCCGGGAAAGGGGGGAGGGGGAGAATTTGCTGGGTGTGGGAATTCTAGATGAAAAGAACTCTTCCCCGGAGCATTTATTGGGTGCTCTCCGGACATCACCTTGCTCCGGTGTTTTTCCCACGTTCTCGTCCTGTCTCGGAAGCAGCAAGACGGGGGGGTGGGGGGGTGCGAGGAAATGCCAGAGATGGGGTGTGGAGGTAGGAGGGCCCCCATCTCAAAAGGGGTACACTCCAAGTGGGCAGGGCCAGGGAGAAAGGGCGGGGCCAGAAGAAGTGAATCTCGGTTTACGGTCCGGAAGTTGTTGCAAGCGAGATGCACCACATTTGCGGGGGCCGTCTACCCCCACCCCCACCCCAGTTTCTCTGGACAACGTACCTTTTATTCATGGGGGACAGGGGGTTGTAAAAATCTTGGACGATCTGGTTCGCGCTCCAGGAACAAGCCACCAGGGAACCCAAACCTAAGCAAGGTGGAGAATAAAAGGAAAGTCACAAAACTTGGTTTGAACTTGGTTTGATAGCTTTCTCCCCGGAGGTTGATATAAACTTGGGAACTGCAGCGAATAAATTTGATATTTTGGATGTTTTGCCATTATGGAGACCAGCAGGGTCTACTTCGGGCTTCTCTCTCTCTCTCTCTGTATTTCTCTCTCTCTCTCTCTCTCTCTCTCTCTCTCTGTATCTCTCTGTCTCTCTGTCTCTCTCTCTGTATCTCTGTCTCTCTCTCTGTCTCTCTCTCTGTATCTCTCTCTCTCTCTCTCTTTCTCTCTCTCTGTATCTCTCTATGTCTCTCTCTCTCTCTGTATTTCTCTCTCTCTCTCTCTCTCTCTCTCTGTATCTCTCTCTGTATCTCTCTATGTCTCTCTGTCTCTCTCTCTGTATCTCTGTCTCTCTCTCTCCCTCTCTCTCTGTATCTCTCTCTGTCTCTCTCTCTTTCTCTCTCTCTCTGTATCTCTCTCTCCCTCTCTCTTTCTCTCTCTCTGTATCTCTCTATGTCTCTCTCTCTCTCTGTATCTCTCTGTCTCTCTGTCTCTCTCTCTGTATCTCTGTCTCTCTCTCTGTCTCTCTCTCTGTATCTCTCTCTCTCTCTCTCTTTCTCTCTCTCTGTATCTCTCTATGTCTCTCTCTCTCTCTCTGTATCTCTCTCTTTCTCTCTCTCTCTCTCTCTCTGTATCTCTCTCTGTATCTCTCTATGTCTCTCTGTCTCTCTCTCTGTATCTCTGTCTCTCTCTCTCCCTCTCTCTCTGTATCTCTCTCTGTCTCTCTCTCTTTCTCTCTCTCTCTGTATCTCTCTCTCCCTCTCTCTCTGTATCTCTCTATGTCTCTCTCTCTCTCTCCCTCTCTCTCTGTATCTCTCTATGTCTCTCTCTCTGTATCTCTGTCTCTCTCTCTGTATCTCTCTCTCTCCCTCTCTCTCTGTATCTGTCTCTCTCTCTGTATCTCTCTCTCTGTATCTCTCTATGTCTCTTTCTCTCTCTCCCTCTCTCTCTGTATCTCTCTATCTCTCTCTCTCTCTCCCTCTCTCTCTCTCTCTGTATCTCTCTCTCTCCCTCTCTCTCTGTATCTCTCTGTCTCTCTCTCTCTCCCTCTCTCTCTGTATCTCTCTATGTCTCTCTCTCTCTCTCCCTCTCTCTCTGTATCTCTCTATGTCTCTCTCTCTCTCCCTCTCTCTCTCTCTCTTTCTCTCTCTCTCTGTATCTCTCTGTCTCTGCCCTGGCCACTTCTCCATCCCCCACCGTCGCCCTTACCTTCTAAGACTAGGCGAGGAGTGACTGGGACGGGAGGGAGAGGGGCGGGGCCAGCCAGTGGTGGGATCACCTGACAGGGAGCCACAGCAGAGGGCCCAAAGAGCCACATTCGGCTCCGGAGCCACAGGTTGCTGACTCCTGTGCTAGAGGATCTCAGGCAATGCTAAGTAAAGCCAAGGCAAGGACGGCCGGCTTCGCTCAACGACGGAAGCAAAAGGCGGTTTGTTTTCACGGAGCCCTTTTGGGGGCAACCTGCCCAATGGGCACGTCGATCTCGTGCCGTGGTGGGATTCAAATAATTTTTAACAGCTGGTTCTCTGCTCTAATGACCGGCTGGGTGGGCATGGCCATGGTGGGCGTGGCCAGGGGTGCGTGACAGGCAGCACTCGGCTTCCTGCACCTCCCTGGGAGCCAAAATGCGGCGCATGGGGACTCCTGGAAGGGGCGGGGCGGGCCAAGGCCAGCCATCAACTTAACTACCGTGTCAGCACTCCAAACTACATTCGTTCCAGTGCTGACATAAGGAGAAGAGGGGGCAGCTGGCAAGAGGACGCTTGACTTTTCACCTACTTATTTTCCCTGAAGATAATATCCCCTAAGAGATGAGATGGGAGGGGGGACATTCCTGGGAGCTGAAGTAGTAGATATGGGGAGAGTGATTTGGAAGATGGCCAATGAGACGCAGAGAATTGGGGAACGGAAAGGAAGGTTTGGGGTCAGGAAGTCAGTGTTGGCTACGACATAATCGGGGACAGATTGTCACGCTTAATAAATGAAAGATTTCATCAAAGATTATCTGTTTGGAAATGCCATTTATTTGAGACGACATCAAAACCTGACATACCGATTCGCCCAAACCGGCAGAATCCGGCACCACTGATCTCACGCCAACGGGCCGCGTCCCTGCCAGGTTGGGGACGGGAAGACAGAGGGAAGACAACTCACCTGCCACCAGGAAGATGATGCCGCCGGTCATGGCGATGCGGGCCTTGGTGACCTTGTTGTCGTCTCCGCAGCGGGTACATTTCATGCCCATGGTGGCGATGCCAATGGCGATCACTCCCAGGACGATGGAGATGACCATCAGCGCCCGGGTGGCTTGTATGGAAGCTGCAGGGAAGAGAGGCAGAGCCAGAAGGTCAGAGGGGGTCAGCAGCCGGATTTGGGGAGGGGTGTATAGAACTGTAATAAGTGTGGTGTGGTGGCCTGGAGGCGGAGCTTTCGCCTCACAATCAGGAGGCTGTGAGTTCGATCCTAGGTAGCGGCAGATATTTCTCTCTTTGGGCTCGGTGAGAATATATCTGCTGAACAAAACTCCTCACTGGTGATAAGAAAGGCATCCGGCCAGTAAAACACTCAGCTCCATTCAATTGCCCAGACTCCACCCCGCAAGGGATTATGAGGACATTAAAAGACCAATATATATATATATATATATATAAGTCACGATAGGAGCAACTAAGATGATTAAAAGGCCTGGAGATTAAAACGTAGGAAGAACGGTTGCAGGATAAAGAAAAGAAGAATTAGGGGTGACGTGATAGCAATATTCCAGTATTTGAGGGGCTGCCCCAAAGAAGAGGGGGGGGGCGGGGTCCACCTATTCTCCAAAGGACCTGAAGGCAGAAGAAGCAACGGATGGAAACTAACCAAGGAGAGAAGCAACCTGGAACTAAGAAGAAACTTAAGACAATTAACCAGTGGAACTGCCTGCCACCAGAAGTTGTGGGTGCTTTCATCACTGGAGGTTTTTAAGAAGAGAGACTGGACAGCCACCTCTCTGGAATGGGGATAGGATCTCCTGCTTGAACAGGGGGTTGGACTAGAAGACCTCCGGGGTCCCTTCCAAGTCTGTTCTGATTGATTGATTGATTGATTGATTGATTGATTGATTGATTAAAAGGTTAGAGAATGAGGCAACCGGGAGGCTTGGCTGCAGGAACGGGGATCACCAGCACTGCTTTCTAGATACCCCAGCACCCCCTTTTTTGTAAGCTGGTCTCTCTTGGCCTCCCAAGTCGTGCCACTCTTATGGAGAGCCACTGTACTCCAAAATCCACCCTGGCACCCCAATAGACACCCCACTTCCTCAAAACACAACCTGGCACTCTAATTAACACCCCAGCACCCCAAAAACCAACTCCGTCGGCATCCAATGCCCACTCCCAGCACCTGAAATACAGCCCAGCACCCCAATGCACACTCCAGCACTCAAATACCCCTCCCTGGCACCCCAATAGCCATCCTGGCATCCAATACCTACCCCAGTACTCCAGGATGCAACCCAGCACCCCAATACCCATCTCTGGCTCTCCAGAAGCCATCCCGACATCCAATATCTACCCCCGGTGCCCCAATGCACCCCCTCCCATCACCCCAGCCTTCCGCATTAGACGCTTCTCCCCAGAGGTGGGATCACGATGCCTGCCAGCCCCCCTTTCGGGGCCCATCGCACCCCCACGGAGGGCGGAGCTTTGGCAGACCCCTCCCAGCACAGAAAAGTCGAGGAAGGCAGTGTGTTTGCATGGGTGTGGCACACACTTCGCAAGTGTTCTGGCTTAAGGCACCCAGCCGTGGGCACAGAGAGGTGCCAGGGAAATGCGCCATTTCAGGGAAGGAAGCGGGGGAGGGGGAAGGGTGCCAAGGGGCATCGGCCACAGGAGGGGGGGGTGTCTTGCCCATGCTGAGAGTCAGGTGGTGAATAAATGCGAATAAATAGAAGAGGTTTCTCTCCTCTTTTGATAGGAAGGAGGGAAAGAAGGAAGGAAAAGAGAGGGAGGGAGGGAGGGAAGGAAGAGAAAAAGGGAAGAAGGGAAGGAAGGAAAATGGGAAGGAAGGGAAGGGAAGGAAGGAAGAAAGGAAGGAAGGAGACAAAGGAAGGAAGGAAAAGAGAGGGAGGGAGGGAAGAAAGAGAAAAAGGGAAGAAGGGAAGGAAAGAAAATGGGAAGGAAGGAAAGAAGGAAGGGAAGGAAGGAAAAGAAAAAAGAGAAAAAGAAAAAGAGAGATGGAGGAAAAAGGGAGGAAAGAAAAGAGAAGAAAAAAAGAAGGGAGGAAACGAGGGAGAAAAGAAGGAAGGAAAGGAGAGGGAGGAAGGAAAGAAAAGGCAGGAGGAGGAATAGAAGGGAGAGGAAGAAAAGAAGCAAAGAAGCAAAGAAGAAGAGAGGGGGAAGAGAGGAAGGAAGGAAGGAAGGAAGAAAGGAAGGAAGGAAAAGAGAGGGAGGGAGGAAGGGGAGGAAGGAAGAGAAAAAGGGGAAGGAAGGAAGGAAGGAGATGAAGGAAGGAAGGAAAAGAGAGGGAGGGAGGGAAGGAAGAAAGAGAAAAAGGGAAGAAGGGAAGGAAGGAAAATGGGAAGGAAGGGAAGGAAGGAAAAGAAAAGAGAGAAAAAAGAGAAAAAGAGAAAAAGAGAAAGAGAGAAAGAGAAAAAGAAAGATGGAGGAAAAAGGGAGAAAGAAAGGGAAGAAAAAGATAGAAAGAAAGAAAAGAGATGGAGTAAAAAGGGAGGAAAGAAAAGAGAGAAGAAAAAAGAAGGGAGGAAACGAGGAAGAAAGGAAGGAAGGAAGGAAAGGAGAGGGAGGGAGGGAAGGAAGAAAGAGAAGAAGGGAAGGAAGGAAAATGGGAAGGAGGGAAGGGAAGGAAGGAAAAGAAAAGAGAAAAAGAGAAAAAGAGAAAAAGAAAAAAGAAAAAGAAAGATGGAGGAAAAAGGGAGAAAGAAAGAAAGGGAAGAAAAAGATAGAAAGAAAGAAAAGAGATGGAGAAAAAGGGATGAAAGAAAAGAGAAGAAAAAAGAGAAGGAGAAAGGAAGGAAGGAAAGAAAGGAGAGGGAGGAAGGAAAGAAAGGGCAGGAGGAAGAATAGAAGGGAGAGGAAGAAAGGAAGCAAAGAAGAAGGAAGGGGGAAGAGAGGAAGGAAGAAGGGAAAGAAGGAAAGGAGAGGGAGAGAGGAATGAAGGAAAGAAAGAAGAAGGAAGGCACGAAGAAGAAAAACAGAGCCAGCTGGTATAGTGGTTATGGGGCTGGACTCGGGTTCAAGAATCCCCCCTCAGCCACCAGGCTTCTCCAGGGGACTTTGGGCCTATTCCTCGCTCAGCCCAGTCTACTCCGCAGGGTTGTTGTTGTTGGGGGGGGAAAAGGAGGAAGCGGCCCTCTATATGCGGCGTAGAGCTCCCCCGGGAGGGAAGGGAAGAAAAATTAAACGCCCTCATTGCTGCCAAACGTCCCATCGATTCGTCTCCGTGTAATTGATTAGCTGTCCTACCTGCCAGGGTTGGTTTTCTGCAGGGAGGAGAGCTGAGCTAATAGAAGAAGGATGGAAACCTAATCGATAAGTGGAGGTGGGGGAGGAAAAGAGGAGAACTTTGGCTACTCAAAGGGAAGAAAAGAAAGAGAGGGCCTTCGGAAGCCACGTGAGGGTGGGGCTGCCATGAGTCACCCCTAAGAGCACCAGAAACTCTGGGCCACCCCGTGGCACGTCGTCACCGGAGGCTCCGTCACTCGGCACCCAAGGCTGCCTGGCCACTCACGTGGCCGCCTCCGTCCGTCCACTCGGAAAGAGCACAACATGGAGCCCCCTGGTTGGGGGTCAGCGAAGCCCCCTCTGTCCCCAGTGCTCCCCCAACGTCCTGGGTTTGCCTTGCTAACTCCCACGTCCCTTTCTTTTTCTTTCTTTCTTTCTTTCTTTCTTTTCTTTCTTTCTTTCTTTCTTTCTTTCTTTCCCTTCCTTCCTTTTTCTTTTTCTTCCTTCTCCTTCAATCTTTCTTTCTCTTTCTGTCTTTCTGTCTTCCTTCTTCCTTTCCTCCCATCTTTTTCTTACCATCTTTCTTTCCCGTCCTTCCTTCCTTTCGTCTCTTTTTCTTTTTCCTTTCCTCCTTCCTTGCTTTTCTTTATGTTTCTTTTTCTTTCCTCCTTTCTTTCCCTTTCCCGTCCTACTTCTTTCTTTCCCGTCCTTCCTTCCTTTCGTCTCTTTTTCTTTTTCCTTTCCTCCTTCCTTGCTTTTCTTTATATTTCTTTTTCTTTCCTCCTTTCTTTCTCTTTCCTGGCCTACTTCTTTCTTTCCCTTCCTTCCTTTCTTTTTTCCTTCCTTCTTTCCCTTCTTTCCTTCCTTCCTTATCTTTCTATTTCTCTTCCTTCTTTCTTTCCTTCCTTCCATCATTTTCTTTCCATCTTTCTTTTCCTTCCCTCCCTTCTGTCTCTTTTTATCTTTTTCTTTTTTCTTTCTATCTTTCCTTTTCCTTCTTTTTCTTCCTTCCTTTCTCTTTTCCTTCCTCCTTTCCTTGTTTTTTTCTTTTCATCTTTCTTTTCTTCATTCTTTTCTTTCTCTCTCTCTGTCTGTCTCTTTCTTTCTCCTTCCTTCCTTCCTTCCTTCCTTCCACTCTCTTTCTTTCCAATCCTTATCATTGGCTTCTTTGATCCTTTCCTAGGTTTTCTGGCAATTTTTGCAGGATCATTTTAGACATTTTTAAAGACGCTTTTAGAGGCCATCGCCGCGAAGGCAAGCTGAAAAAAAACTACGAAGGGTGGTACCCCTTCAGACCCTGCTGGATGAAGAAAAGGAGACCCATCAGCTGCCTATTACGTGGCATAAATCTGTTTATTGGCTGGTCCCAGAAGGGGCAGCAGTAACTTTGCAAATGAGTTACACGAGGAAGTAGGAAAAACATCCCGTCAAAAGGCAAACGGAAGAGTTGACTCACCTGCTCGAGATGGGGCGGCTCGAGACTTTGAAAAAAGTAAAGTAAACTACAGCGCAGTCAAAAGTACACTGCACAAAGTAAACTGTAAAATGAAAATTAAGGGGAAAAAACGCAGGCGGTCCTCGACTTACGACCGTTTCGTGACCGTTCGAAGTTCCAACGTCACTGAAAAAAGTTTTTTCACACAAAAAAAAAACGTGGTGAGAAAAGGTTGCAAAAAAACCAGGGCCCCAAACTCACTCAATGTCTCGCTTGGCAAGGGAAATTTGGGGAGGGGGGTGTCGGTTGGGGCCATAAAAGTCGAAGATCAGCTGGAACGTCCAAAGTGTAAAATAAAGTAAAGTCAAATAAAAATAAATCAAATAAATTGTGGCGAAGAAAAGCGCACGGATAAAGCCGGGAGGCGTAAACGTGTTTCTCCG